GCTGCCCATCCTGCCGCAGCCCCTGGACCTCACGCAAACGGGGCCCGGGGCCCCCCTGCCCGGCCACTCCCTGCGCCACGATGAGATCCTGGACCTGACCTACAGCCCCCCCAGCAACAGCATCCCCGACGTGGTGATGAACCCAGAGCCCGGCGCGTTGTGCTTCCCCTTGGAGCCCGTTCTCCAGCCACACCAGCAGCACAGGTTGCCCTTTGGCTTCAGCCACCCTTCTGCCTTCAAGAGCCCGGCCCCCGTCCTGGAGGGGAGCGTGCCGCTGAGCTCTCCGCTGCATGAACACTTGCCTCTGCCTCACCCGGCGCCCCTGCAGACACTGCAGCAGCAGCAGCAGGAAGATTTTGTCCAACAGGATGGGAATATCAATTTTAGAGAGATCCTGGAGGACATGCTGAGGACGTTGAATGGGGCCCCCCAGGACAACATGCTCCCCCAGGAGCGCCAGAGCGTGATCCAGTTCAGCGGGCCTTTCCCAGACTTCTGAAAGCCAGCTGGGCAAGCCTGGCGAAGCTCGGCTGCTCTGGATCCATATCCTTTGGTGCAGAGGTGAGAGCTGGGGAGCCCCGGCTTTTCTACTGGTTTGGATTGACCCTTTTCTGTTCTTGAGGGAGGAAAAAAACCCTATAGTTCCTTAAAGCAAAGTTTATTTATATATAATATACAGTCAGGCATGTATAGATTTGTATATAACATGCGCTTGGGGGGAGTTGAGCGCTGCCAAGTTCAGCTGATCTGGGCTGGTGGTCTCTGCTGTGTTGGAGTCCTACTCCAAGGTCAGTGCCCGTGTAGGATGGGGGAGAGCCGCCCCCTCCTCGGTGCCCGTCCCCCTGCAGACTACTGAGTTTCCGAGCTGGGCCGTGCCTTCCCCAGCCCTCCCAGGGCACGGCTGGTCACCAGTACGACCCGGTGACCAGTGCTGGTGCGTTACCGAAGGGTGGGAGCCCGGTCCCCCCACCCCTGAGAGCTGGCTGACCAAACTGTGGGCTGCTGCCAGCTCTCCTGGGCTGCCCCGGCCCTGCTGGGGACCTTGGGGCTGCTCTGGAGGCCGGGGGGAAGGGGAAGGGAACGCTGTCCCAGCGGAGCCGGGCGCCGCTGAGCTCGAGTGTCCCTCTGCGCGGGGCTGAGCAGGTGGAGCCGAGAGAGGCAAAACTGCCTGTGCCTGCCCTGCCCTCCCCAGGAAGGGGCACCAACACCTCGGGGGCTGCCTGAGCTCCGTGGGAGGGGGCTGGTTGGGCCCATGCCTCCTGTGGCAGTAGGGTGGCAGAGCTGGTGGGTTTGGCAGAGCTCAGCCACAGCAGGACCGCGGGGGGATTCCCTGGCGCAGAAGGGCCACGTGTCCCATTCCCATCAGCCTGTCCTGCACTTTAGCCTCGCCACGTCGCGGTGGCTGGCTGTGCTTTGTCCAACTCCTCGCTATCGCTTGTTGTCCCTTCACCTGCCTGTCTCACTGGTCCAGTTCTGTAGGGCTTGTCCTTGGCTGGGCCACGGACACGGGTGTCTGGCTCCGGGCGACCCAGCCCTGCCCACCGCTGACCTGGGTGAGAGCTGCTCCCAGCCCCCCGAAGGGAAGAGTTCCCCGGTGAGCTCCGGGGACGTGCAGTATCGCTGCTCATGCTGCAAATTCAACCTCTGAATACCAAAGAGCAAAGGTCTGCTTTGCAAAGCACTGCCCCAGACACCCCGCTGCCCCTTGGCCGGGAGCGGCTGGGCGAGCTGCCTTCTCCCCAGGACAGAGGGAGCCTCCAGCCACATCTGCCACCGTCCCCGTTCCTCCAGCAGCATCCCACCTCGGCAGGTCCCGGGGAAACAGTCTTTTGTTTTCTCTCTTTAATCTAAGGAGTCTGGCAGGAAGCTGCCTGCTGGCAGGAATGCTCCAGGCCTGGCAGCTCCTCCGCAAGCCTCCCCTCTGCTGTTTCTTTTCTCTGCCTTGAGTCATCGAGGTATTTCCTAGAAGAGGCACCAGGATGTTTTCAGGGGAAGGACACGAGACCTTCCCTGGCTGACCCGGCCGTTCCTCGGTGAGGACCTGGGACAGGGGCTGCAGCCAGGAGAGGCCTCTGCCGGGGACCCCCCTGCCCTGACAGGTCAGTCTTGAGGGGCTGGAGCTCAGTCTCCACAGTGCCCAGTGGAGACCCTTCCTCTGGGCAGAGCCTTGGCCCCCCCATTCCCCCCCCCCGAGGGCTCAGGGTCCGGCCGAGCACCCTCTTTGCTGTTGGGAAGTGCTTTGGGTCAGTGTTCATGCTCCTGCCAAGACGGGAGCTCCCTTCCCCGACACGTCGAGACCCTGGACCTGCCCCACGTGACGCACGCGTGGGCTCGTTTTTGAGGTTGCTCTGGTCCCTGCCCTTCGTTCTGGGGGCTTGTCCTCACCCCCCCGCCCCAGCTGGCATCTGCCTCTCACCAGCCCGCCTGGCCGGGGTCAGCCCTGCAGTCGGGGCCACGTTTTACAGCATTCAAGGAAACCTCCTTACCTCAACATAAACACCAAAGCCAGGGGGGCCCTGCGTGCCCCCCACCGCTGCCCTCAGAGGTTCGTGCTTTCCCTGCAGCTTCGCTCGTGGCAGCCACGCTCGCCTCTCGCCGTGGGGCTGCCCGGGGACCGGCGCTTTCTCCGGGTGCGGCAACAGCCTTTTCCTAGTTCTGAACAGAGCAAGGCTCTCCCCTTCCCCAGACCCTCTATTTAAACTAAGTCCCAGTCCACACCACTCGTGGAGAGGCCCTGGCTACGCCCATGTCCTGGTTTGCTCGTGCGGTGCTTGCTGAATTCTCAGCAAGGAGAGAAAAGGACGCCAGGAAAACCCATTTCAGAGAGGCTTAAACTCAGGAATAGCGAGGAGGAATTCTCCCGCTAGGCAACCTCCGCCAGCCACTTCTCCACTGTCACCTGGAGCCTTATCTGGTGGCTTTGATATTAATTTTAAAATATATGCAATCCTCCCTCCCTGATCTCTGGAAAGAGCACCTTCAAGGAAGCCCTTCCCTGCCCCAATCCTGTGTTTTTGTCAGGGTTAATAATATGTAACGATATCTTTTAACTAAATTATTATGCAGTTGTCCTACTGATTGTATTTTTAAATGAGTCCCTTTTTTCTTCCCTTACACCTTTTTGTTAGCACTTTTTAATCCGCTTGTTGTTTGCCTTTGTTTTTCTATGTGTATTTATAATTAATTGAGATGTATATATGTAAAGAGATTTTTTTAGAATATGTGCCTTTGACTAATAATTCCTGAATTTTCTACTTGCCTCAGAAGGATAATTTTTCATTCTGCTCAGTAAAAATGGAAAGGAAGACACGTATGAGATTTCTGTAAGTCCCAGCTCTCTGTCTGTCTGTCTGTCTGTCCAGAGGTGTAGACCTGCCCCAGGATCGCACCTGGAACTCAGCTCAGGATAGAGGATCCAAGGGCCAGGGTCCTGCCGGCAGCTGGAGTTTCTCTCCTGTGTCTCCTGCTGTCCCTGGGACACGCGGGGCAGGGGCTGTGCAGGGCAGGATCGGCCCTGGGGCGGGGGAGCAATTCGTACCTCGCCTTGCACAACGGCGGCCGGGCGGCGCGGCAGCTGCCGGCAGATCCCGGCGAGACCGAGTCGGGCCGTGGGGCAGCTCCCGAAGCCAGCCTGCCCCCCCCGGGGGCAGCGGCCAGGCAGGCCGGGGCAGGATCCTCATCCCAGTGCAGGCAGGATGGAAAACTGCCTGTGGGCAGCAGGGCCGGGGAGGGGATTCTCCCCCTCTGCTCCGCTCTGGGGAGACCCCCCTGCAGTGCTGGGGCCAGCTCGGGGGCCCCCAACAGCAGAAGGACACGGAGCTGCTCGAGCGGGGCCAGAGGAGGCCACGGAGATGCTGGGGGGGCTGGAGCAGCTCCCCTGGGAGGCCGGGCTGAGAGAGGTGGGGGGGTTCAGCCTGGAGAAGAGAAGGCTCCGGGGAGCCCTTCGAGCGGCCTCCCAGGGCTTAAAGGGGGGACAGGAAAGGGGGGGAGGGACTCTTTGTCAGGCGGGGTGGGGACAGACAATGGGTAATGGCTTTAAACTGACAGAGGGCAGATTTAGATTAGATAGAAGGAAAAAATCCTTCCCTGTTCAGGGGGTGAGGCACTGGCCCAGGGTGCCCAGAGAAGCTGTGGCTGCCCCCTCCCTGGAAGGGTTCAAGGCCAGGTTGGACGGGGCTGGGAGCCCCCTGGGCTGGGGGAAGGGGGTCCCTGCCCGGGGCAGGGGCATGGGACTTGGGGGGGGCTTTAAAGTCCCTTCTGACCCAAACCAGTCTGTGATTCTATAATCGGGCTTTGGGAGGGAACCCCAACAAGGATCCTTGGCCCCACATTGAGGACAGGGCTCCCCACGGGGGCGGTGGGAGCTCTGGGTGTTGGGGAGACCCAGCAGCTCCGCCGGGCGCTGGGGAAGGGCAGCAAAGGCAGCAGCCGTCCTGCCCAGCAGATCGGTGACCCAGGAGCTCTCCCTGGGTCACAAGCACCAACACGCTGCGGCCGCAGCTCCCCGAGGAGGTTGGATGGGGCTGCAGGCGGACGCGTCTCCGGCTACGTGAGGTATTTCACCCTGTCCCAGCACAACTTGGTTTCGTTTTGCAGCAACTGCTTCGGGCTGTGGCTTGTGCCACCGCTGGAGCGGCTCCTTTCACCACCCAGCCAGGGCCAGGCGGGGCCGGGGCCGCGCGCCCGGACTTTGCCTTTCAGCTGCATTTGGAGAAAAACAACCCCCTTGCCTCATCAGGGCAGCCGGCTGTTGGGGTGAGGCAGGAGCCCAGCGGGGACACGCACCTTCCCCCCGCCCTGGCAGGAGCCCCTCGGGAACGCCGGCCGAGCCAGGATTTGTGCGCTTCCCCCCTCAGCACTAATAAGGATTATCCTGCTGCACTCAGGAGTTGCGTAAGGGCTCGGCTCCCCTGCCAAGCTCTGTGTTGTCGGCGGGAGCAGCGCGGCACATCCAGCCCTGTCCTGGCCACCCCTCCATTCCACACACCGACACAAACCGGTCACTTCTAATACATTTATTGTGAGGGGACACGAGCTCTGGCCCGGCGCTCATAGGAAAGGGCTGCCCAGCAGTGGCTGCCGGCCCCGTGAAGCCTTCTCCCAGCGGGTGCACGCCAGATCGTCAGGTTTGCCTCACCAGAGAGCTGGCTTGAAGGTAAACCGTCATGGGGGCTGGAAGAGAAGACTCCACGGGCAGCAGGAGAGCCGGTGCAGGGACAGTGCAGGGGGGAGATGAGCCAGGCTACAGGTAGGCAGGGAGGTCCTTCTCGATCACCTGCGAGGAAGAAGAGAGCATCGTGCTAGGAGAACATCACTGCCCCCAAAACATCCCCTCTGTCCCCCCCACCCTGAGGGACTGCGTGGAGCAGCACCCCCAGAGCACAAGGGTGCCTTCCCCCCCAGCCAAAGGAGGGAGAACCGAGGCACAGCAGCGGTGCCCAGCCCCAGCACCGCTGCGTTTCTCCGCGGCGCTGCCGGTGCTGCCGTGGGCCAGGCAGAGCTGGAACACGAACCGCACCGGCTGCAAACTTACGTAGGGATCCTCCATCGGGCTGTACCGCTTCACCACCTGGCCCTCGCGGCTAATGAGGAACTGTGGAAGCGAAGCAGCACCCGGGTGAGCGAGCCCAGGGGCCCAGAGCGCGCAGGAGAGCAGCCCAGGAGCCGGCTACAGGGGGCTGGGCTGTGGCAGATCCTGGAGCCCCCCCGCAGACCCGCTCCCCCCTTTCTGGGCCAGGGCCGGAGCCCCTCGGGACGCTCCCACCCTGACACCCGGGGTAATGGCAGAGAGCGGAGCCTGCGTGAGGGTCCTTCTGCCCTGGGACTCCCCACAGCCCCCCACAGCACGGGGGCACGATGCAGGCAAGCCCAGGAGAAGGCAGCTGTACCCTACCTTGGTGAAGTTCCATTTTATTGCGCTAGGAGAGAAAAAAATAGAAGTGGGATTTTGGCAGAAACAAAAAAATCCCTTTCTCTTGCTGCAGGCCACCCACCCACTCGGATGGAGCGGCCCAGAGCTGCTCCCCCCTCCCCACTGGGGTGCAACCCCCCCCCCACACACACACACACTCACTTGCCCAGGGTGCCTCTTCCTTTGGGCTGCTCCTTCATCCACTTCCAGAGCGGGTGGGCATCGTCCCCGTTGACATCGATCTTACTGTACATGTCAAACTTCACCCCGTAGTTTTCAGCAAATGCCTTAATCTGAGCGTTGTCTCCGGGCTCCTGCGGGCAGCACCGAGGGGACCCTCTGAGTGTCCCGGGGCTGCCCCTGCGCTCCCGGGGAGCCCTCGCCCCGCTCCCCCACGGACCTGTTTCCCAAACTGGTTGCAGGGAAAGCCTAAGATGCGTAAACCCCTCTCAGCGTATCGGGCGTGCAAGTCGACGAGCTGAGTGTAGTTTACAGCGGTTTTTCCTCATTTGGAAGCCACGTTGGTGATGATGCAGCAGCAGCCGCTGGGAAAGGGGCGAAGCGGCGGCCGTTACGGCGGCGGGAAGGTGCCGCGACCCAGCCGGTGTCCCGGGTTACGCAACGCTTCACCCCGCCGCGGCGGGGTCGCCGCCCGGCCGCGTTACCGGGGCCCCGGGAGCCCCGAGGCCGAGCGGCGCCCGGCCCTTCCCTCCTACCGGTACTTCTCCAGGGACACCTCGTTGCCATCGATGTCCGCGGCGTGGAAGTCATAGATGGCCCTGGCCGAGCGCCAGTCCCCGGGCTGGGCACACTGCGGGGCACCGGGACGTGCCGTCAGCGGGGGCGGGGGGGGATCCCCAGAGACCCCCCCCGGCTCCCCCGGCCCCGCACTCACCATCCTCCGCGCCTGGCCCCGCGCCGCCGCCGCCCCGCCGAGCAGCGCCCGAGCCCAGCCCATCGCGCCGCCGCTCCCCGCCCCGGGGCAAATCAGCCAATCGCCGTCTCGGGCGCCCGCCGGGGCACCGCCCGTTTCGGCCGGGCAGCCAGTCAACAGCGTGTCCGGGCGGGTGATGGAGGGGAAGCGGACCAATGGCGAGCGGGCGGGTCGTCAGCGGGAGAGGGGGGTTACGGGCGAGACCATGGCGGGCGGGGTGGGGCAAGGACAGGCCAAGGGGCGGGGGGCCAGGCTGCGTTGCGCCATGGCGGCTGTTTCGCCCCTGATCGGCTCTTGGGCAGCGGCTTGTGCCGGGCTGGGCCGCGGAGAGCGGCGGAACCGTCCCGACGGCGGCAGAGGGACCCCCGGCCCCTCTCCACGCCCCCCGGGCGGGAGGGCGGCCCGTCACGGACTACAGCTCCCAGCAGCCCCCGCGGCCGGGGTCCTCGCGGCCGCCGCCGCACAGGCGTTAAGGCGGGCAGCCCGCAGGGGCCTCGGGCGGGCGCCATGGACGACGAGGAGGAGACGTACCGGCTGTGGAAGATCCGTAAAACCATCATGCAGGTGCGGGGGGCGGCGGCATTGGGGGGTGGGGCGGGGGAACGGGGGATGTGTCCTGACCTGGGCCTACCGCCCTTTCGCAGCTCTGCCACGACCGGGGTTACTTGGTGACCCAGGACGAGCTGGACCAGACGCTGGACGAGTTCAAGTCGCAGTTCGGCGAGAAGCCGAGCGAGGGCCGGCCCCGCCGCACCGACCTGACCGTGCTGGTGGCCCACAACGACGACCCCACCGACCAGATGTTCGTTTTCTTCCCGGGTGAGCGGAGCCGGCGGCCGGGCGAGGGGGGCGGCCCTGTCCCCCGGAGCCGGGGGGGGGGGGGGGGGGGGGGGGGGGGGGGGCGCTTCCCAACGCTGGCGCTGCCCCTTCCGCAGAGGAGCCCAAGGTCGGGATAAAGACGATCAAGATGTACTGCCAGAGGATGCAGGAGGAGAACATCACGAGGGCGCTGATCGTGGTGCAGCAAGGCATGACCCCCTCCGCCAAGCAGGTGCGAAGGGCCGGGCGAGGGCTGCGGCTCCGCGCCACGCGTGTGCCGCCCGCCTGTTTTGCGGTGCGGTGTTAGGTGAATAAAAACCTGGGATTTCCCTCCGGATAAAATCTTTCACCAAAGCCTGCTGTGCCTTACCGCAGGCTCTTGCTTAACATGCAAGCGTCTTTAACCAAAGCAGCTGGTTCTGGTTCCAGAACGGCCGAGGGCCCGTGAGCTGTTGGGAGGTGGGTGAGAGGAGGGGGGACGTTTGCCAGCGGTCAGGAGGTCTGTGCGCTCGCTCTGTCTGCGCGGCTGATCCCGTAGTGCCGGGGGCACATCGAGGGGCGGATCGGAGCGCTGCCCGGGCTGTCCCCAGCGCAGCGCTGCCGCCTGACAGACCTTCCCCTTCCCAGTCCCTGGTCGATATGGCTCCCAAGTACATCCTGGAGCAGTTCCTGCAGCAGGAGCTTCTGATCAACATCACAGAGCACGAGGTGAGCGGTGACGGGCAGCGGGGCAAGGCCGGGATCATCCGTCCGTTGTGCGGAGCCGCAGCTCGGGCTGCTGCCAGGGACCTTCCCTCAGTCGCTGAGCGACGCAGGCGTAGTTTCCTTCCTTGCAAACATGTGGCTTCTCCTGCCGCTGTGAGGAGCCAGTCGCTGTCTCTGCCTTTCTAATCTTAGAGTCTCTCCCCCGTTGTTTACAGCTGGTCCCGGAGCACGTGGTCATGACAAAGGAAGAAGTAACTGAGCTACTGGCCAGATAGTATCCTTTGTTTGTTCTTCCCTTCCTGCCTGGGTGTGATGCATGCTTGCTTTGGGCTGAGAATTAATACATCCACGTGTGAGAATTGATTACTTTGTTCCGTGAGCTGGGGGAGTTGCTCCTTGACTCCCTGCGCAGCAAGCTGAGAGAGAACCAGCTCCCCAGGATCCAGGCCGGGGACCCTGTGGCCCGGTACTTCGGAATAAAGCGTGGTCAGGTAAGAGAGAATTAAACTCTGGCTCCAGCTCCCTGCGGGCAGGGCAAGGAGAGGAGACCCCCAAGGGCACTGCAGAACTCTTGGAGGCAGGAAAGGCATCTGTTTGACCAGTAAAAGCTGTTGTAGTTGGGCATGGGCATGTGTCAGCTGCGCAGACCCAGCAGGGCCGCAGCTGGCTTGCTGACCCAGCTGGTGACGGGCAGCAGATGAGACCCAGCCCCGTGCTCTGTGATTGCCCCTTCCCCTTGCACCGAGGCGGGGGGGACACTTCCACACAGCACCCCCGGCCGAAGGGCTCCGTGGCTGCCCCGTGCTGCAGCTCTTGAGCCGCAGCCGCCGGGTCTGGGCGCCCACAGCCCCGCGGGGGAAGCTCGCCACCCGCCCCTCCCGCTCCCGACCTCCTTCTGTCGGCCTTGCAGGTGGTGAAGATCATACGGCCGAGCGAGACTGCGGGCCGCTACATCACCTACCGACTGGTGCAGTAGCCTGGAGCTGTGGGGTAAGGGGGAGCGCAGAGGCCTCTGGCTGGTGGCAGCTTTTGGGCAGTGCATTGGGCTCACACTGGGACTTTGCGGGGTTGGCTTGAAGTGAGCTGCCTCTGAGAAAAGACTATCTCAAAACTTTAGATTGTGGAGGGTGCTGCTGGGGAGGGGGCGGCCCGCGGCGAGGCGTACCTGCTCTCTGCCTCAGGAGCCGCTCTCGGGACATGCCTGTGGGTGTTGAGTGGGGCTCGGCCGCGAGCGTGGCCTGTGGAGGGAGGCGCGAGGCGATTCTCATCCCGAGCTCTCTCCTCCAGGTGTGCAAGAGCTGTGTAACCCCCCTCCCCCCCATCTTCCCACCCACCGACAGTTCACAGGCGCTCGGAGGTGGCTGCATTTTCATAGGCGGCCAAGAAAATTTGCTTTCCGTGTTGCCTGTATGCAGTCATGCTACTTGGCCTAGTTCCTTGCTTTCCAGCATGGACTTTGCTGTAACTCCTTAGTCTTCATTAAGGACTTAAGCCATGGAGGTAGCCTAAAGGAACAGAAGCGTGCAGGGAAGAAGAGAGTGGAAAAAGGCCTTTGCTTTCCTGTTTAATAGGATCTTATTTTTAATAAAGATTTGTACTCTTGCTGTTCCTCACTGGTATTGTATTTCTCAGCCTCACCCTGTAGCAAAGCCTTGTGGACTTCGGGAGTTCCCGTATTTTTCTGTCTGTTTAGAGTATCTTGCTGTGGAGGCTTGGGTGGGCTCCCCATCGTGGCTGCGGAACTGATGCAGCTCTCGTGTGCAGCTCTGACGCTGCGGTTCACTTACTTACCTTGTTGTTTACCTCATCTGTTCTGCCTGCCAGCCCTTGTTTTGAGACCTTTGTGTTCAGATATTGCAACAGGGAGTTGCTTATCACCCGCAAGTCGCTTTCATTTTAGTCTGTTCCAGGTCTCTCGAGGGTTTTTAAGCTTCAGTTTACTTGCTAGAAATCCTCAGAGTGCTTCCTTCCAGCGCTTGGCCTGCTGCAGCTGTGGGTGTACGAGTCTGGAGGACTCATCTCCAGGATTGACACAGGTTGGAACACACACATTTTATTTATTTTTTTGGAAGCGTGTCCATCCGAACACAGCAAAGCACGTAACACAGCTTCATACAGCAGTACAGACATGTCATAACAAACATGCGTTACTTTTTCCACGCTGAAATAATACACAGCCAGAAGGGTGCCTGTCACCGTGTGAAGCTCAAGCGGAGCTTTTGCACCTTCCCTCACTCACGTTCACCCGCCGTCCACCCTTGCAAACACCTGGCACCACCCGGGTGCTCTTGCCACCGTGGAAAGGACCTGCTGGAAGAATCCAGCCGCCTTGTTGAAGAGCTGCGGAGCTGAACGTCTCGCAGGTGTCCAGCTCCTCCCTGGATCCGTTACGAACCGCGCAGCTGCAGGTCACCGCGGGGCTTGTGTACCTTTGCCCTGCGATGCTGAGATGCGTTTCCCATCAGTCCGGGAGAGCTCTGGCAGCCGTGGGGCCTCACATCTCCCCCGGGCTGGGCACAGCCTCTGTCCCCAGCCCAATTCTCCAGTACCAAGGTGCCCTGGCCCCCTCCAGCCGCCGCTCACCGTTCCTGCAGCGGGGACGTGGCTGCTGCTCCGCTCGCTCGGCTCCCTCGGCCGGGGACCTGCCTCCGCCGTCGCGCTGGGGCGGGTGCGCGAGCAGAGCGAGAGGGAGGCAACCCGGTGTCCAGCGCCTCACGGGGAAGGGTCTGGCTAATCCTGAGAAACCAGCATTGCATTGGTGCTGGTTCTCAGGAGCCGCTTTGTGGCGAGGAGCCTGTGCAAGCCCTTGAGCCCCCTCCCCATCGCTTGGCCCTGCGGGACCGAATGCAGCCAGGTACGAGCAGGGTAACAGGAGGAAGCAGCTTTCAGCCCTTTCTAACCTAGAAATCTACTTGTTTCTCTATGCTTCAGTGCAGAAAAGTCTCATAGCTTTAAAAAAATACTTTGGCTGGTCTTGTTTAAACCCTGAAGTTCCTTTGCCAGAAGAGGTAGTGGGTTCATGTTGAAGGGTTATCTCTACAAAAAAAAAAAAAAACAAAACCAAAAAAAAAAAACCTCTTGCATTGGGAGGGGCTGTGGCTCGATTCAGGCCCTGGCAGTCCCGAGGAGGAGAAGGAGGCAGCTCCCTGGGGTGACCTGCTCTGCCCAGTGCCACCTCAGGGCCAGCTGGAAGAGCAGAGGTGTAGTCCTGGACTTGCAACTTAAGATTTTTGGAGACCAAATGTCTACCAAAAAAAAAAAAAAAGTAAAACCCTGAGAGATCATGCAATGCTCAGGACCCTGCAGCCAGGAGCACCTGTCCCCTGAGCTTGCTCACAGCCTGCAGGTTGCTCTTCGCGTGGCTCCCGCCAAGTAGAAAAATGCCCATAAATACAAACAGCAACGCAAACCTTGTCAGCCGAGCCAGGACAGGCAGGTCGCCCCTTGAGTCCTGTGTTGCTTAGAAGTGCTGATGCAATCAATTCATCGCTAGACGTTGGAGGCCTGGTACAGTCAGTTATAAATGATAAATGTACCGTGCAGGGCCTGGCAAGCAGCGCAGCTGCAGCCCTGAAGCCAAGGCCGGCTCTGGGCGAGATGGTGCGGGCGGTTTGTGCCGATCCCCGCGCTCCTCTGGCCGCGTTGCCTTGCCGGGGAGCAGCTCCCCGGGCCGGCAGAGCCAGCCTGCGCGTGGTGCTGGGCACTGTCCGTCTGTCCGTGCGGTGCCCGTGCCTGGCTGCAGGGCCCTTCTTCCCACCCCCCCCCCCCGCCGCTGTCGGGGAACTCTCCGCGTGTCCTTCTGGCAGCCTCGTCTCCCCTTCCAGCTGCAGCCAGCGAGGATGATCAGACCCTTTGATTTGTCCTATTTTGATTTCTGCAGTAGCGGCATGGGATTAAGGAGTGTGGCAAAAATTAAGCCTGCAGCCTGGCCCGGGCATGACAAAGCGCTGGGTCCCTTCCCAGTCCTGAACAACAAGCGAAGGGTCTGCCCTGCTTCAACTCCTTCCCAAGAAATGTGCTTTGTGGGCTGCTGGCCCCAGCCAGGGCTCCCAGACTGGCCGGATTGTCCCCGCCGGGAGCCGAGGGGCTCGGGGGTTTTGTGTGAAAGCTCCAAACAGCGAGATCTTGCCTGCAGCCGACACACCAAACCCCCCTGCGCTGCCCCTCCCCGCCCCATCACAGCTTCCCACGTCACTACGCCGGGGCAGCATCTGGATTTTGCCCCTTTTGCCCCGTCCCAGCGTCCGCGGTACTTTTGCTCAGTGGCTTAAATAAACCGGGGCTGCTGCTGGTGGCTGCCCGGGCTCCTGGCTGCCGCGTGCCCAGCTGCGTTGTTGGACTGGTTTGTGTTGTAGTCCGTGTCGGCGGGGCAGCTCTCAGGATACTCTTCTGCGTCGCTTTGCTCCTCTCCCGGGGGGCTGCAGCAGCGGGGAGCGCTGCCCCCCGCATCCCACTGGCCCACGCTGCAGCTCCGGCTCCGCTGTCCCTCGCTCCCGTCATCGCCGAACTGAGCTTCGTCTGTGCTGGTTTCGCTCTCCTGCTTCGTTAGCTGGGTTCGGGGGGCCCCGTCCGCGGCGGCCAGCAGCTCCCCGCTGTCCTCCAGCTCTGAGTCGGAGTCGACGGAGCGGTCACCGGGCTCTGCGGGACAGAGGGAGCCCTGCGTTACGCTCGCCCAGCACCACGGCATCAGCGGGAGCTTTGGTCAGCAAACGCCGTCTTCAGGACAGGGGAAGGACTCGGTGTCATTGCCACTGGTTCCTTGTACTTCCCGAGAGACCTGTGCCCACCGGGGAGGAGACACCGGGTGCCCTTCACTTACCTGCGAAGGAGTCAGCGCTGTAATCCAGGTTCCCCTTCTCCGAAGGCAGCTGTAGGTAGGGGACACTGCCAGGAGGAGCTGCAGGCTGGGAGCCTGCGCTGGCCTGGAAGGAGAAGAACTGGTGGTGAGGGCATGGAAGAGGCCATTTCATTTCATGGAGAAATGGTTTCAGAAAACGGAGATGTACCAACTACTTGTCCCGGGGTAAAAGTGCGCAGGCTCCATCCCCCCACCCCCTGCCTATCTCACCTACCAAGACTGTTCTTTTGGGGCAGAAAATCACTCGCAAGCAGAGCGGGGATGCCTATGGGGACATGACGAAGCAAGGTGCATTTTGTAAGAGAAGGGCAGCAGCGTCAGCTGGGCCCGTACTGCTGTGGGGCACAGCAGGGATGTTCCCCGTCTGCGGGGCAGAGCACGAGGCCAGGGCACGGTTCAGGAGAGGGGTGGGGGTGTTGGGGCTGTGGGAGGGTCTGCCCCAGGTCGCAAGTGTGAGCAGAGTGTCTTGAAAAGCTCCACATCCCTTCCCCAGAGACTCCTACCCGCTCGGAGCAGCTGGCTGCCTCCTCCTTGCTGTCTGTGCCGTATTTGCTGGAGTCGGCCAGCACCGTGGTCTCCTTGGTCTCAAAGATGGTCGAGTAGAAGATGATGAGAGCCTCGATGATGCGAGCTTGGTGCGGATAATCAACCAGCGAGGACAAAGAAATAGTGGCATCTGTGGGCCTTGGGCGCATCAGTGTTGGCCCAAAGACAATGCCCAGGTTGCTTGAGGTCATCTTGTTGTCCTGTTCCACTTCCACGATCCTGGAGAGGAGGAGGGGGAACTCGCGAGAGCGAGAAGGGACAGACAGACGGGCAGGGCTCACCCCACCAGGCATATCGGGGCCGGGGGAGCTGCTGGTCTGGCAGCACAAGGCTCCCCGTTTGCTGCACACACAAGCTCCATGAGCAGCAGAGAATTATCTGCAGCCATGGATGGGCCATCCCCAGCGCCAGCGCGGGTCCGGTGGGGAGGCTGCACTTCCCTTCCCACCCCAGGGAAGAAGAGGAAGGTGCCCCAGCACCCGCAGGGTCCCTGGACCTGCCGTCCTCACCTTCTCAGGTGCTGCAGGAGGTACTGGAGCGTGGCCATGTTCTCCCAGGGAAGCTCCTTCAGCAGCTCCTTCAGCTTCAGCACCAGGTTCGCCACCACCTTGTCCGTGTCGGCTCCTTTGTCCACCAGCTCAGGGCCCCCTTTCCCGCTCTTGCCCTTGGCCTCACTGCCCTGCAAGCTCTCCTTGGCCAGCCCCATCAGCTCGTTGTACATGCGGAACGGCATAATGGGCTCGGGCAGCTGCAGGGAGAACGGGGGAGATGGGTGCTGGTGAGCCGTGCCTCCCCCGGGGGCCCCCGCCCTGGGACCCAGACCTGTCCCGTGCTGCTGAGTTGAAGAAACCCAGGGCCCTTCTACAGCAAGGAAACATCCCCTGTGCTCCCGAAGCCTGATACCCAGGGGGTAATGTTTGTTTATCCATCCCCTGAAGCATGTAAATCCAGCCTCCTTTGTGCTAGCCAATTAGTACCTGTGAATTTCAACCAAAAAGCAACGTTTGATCAACCCGTGGGTGCTCTCTGCTGGGTAGGTACCTCGGGTCAAGGTTAAGGGATTCTCTTTTTCCCTGGAAAAGCCCTGGCCTGCAGGCAGAGGGGAGGTGGTTGGGAAGAGGCTGGGGGTGGGTTGTTGTGGGGTGAAGGCGAGAGGGATCAGCAGCGCCTGCAGCCCAGGCGGGGCTGCCCTCAGGAGGAAACGCTTCCTTTGAAGTTTGTCTGAGGCAGCCAGAGCAGCACGTTAACTAATTGGTGGTTTTGCATGGCTGGTGATGTTTTCAGAGTGGCTTAAACTGACATTTCTGAGGACAGGCTGCCTCTCAGGGCAGAGCAGATTCCCTCCAGTCCAGCACTTTGCAGAGGGACTTTAAACATATTTCTCTGCCTGAGCTATCAGATTGTGCTTCAGGACTGATTTTTTCCTCTCTTTCCATTCTGCTTTTCTCTGGAGAAACTGCAGAAGCGATCCAGAGCCCTCCTGGCCTCTCCGTGCTGAGGTCCGAGGGACAAACCCCCCCCCTCCTCACACTGAGCCCCGAGGCCACGTACAGGAGCCCCCCGTGCAGGGACACCCACCCCCGGAGAGCGGCGAGGCTGCGGTGGGAAGAAGCAGCTTCCCCTCCTCGGAGGATGTGGGTGACGCTGCTGTTGGGTACCAGTGCCAGGGCGGAGGGTGCCTGGGCAGAGCCACCGTGGGTGGCCCGGGGGGCTCAGCACCCACCTGAATCCAGCGCAGGGTGACCCGAGGGGCTCGGCACCCAGCCGAGCCCAGCGCAGGGTGACCCGAGGGACACGGCCCTTCTCGGGGAGCCGCGAGCTCAGCCCCGGCGCTGCCGGCGACCTTTGCTGCCTCGCTTCCCTTTTCGGGCGCTCAGTTCCCCAGCTGCAGCGGGGAGGGGGGATTTGGTGCTTCCGCACGTTGTTTTTCTGCGGGCGCGGTGCAGGAGCTGCACGAAGCGCCAGCGGGCGAGTTGTGCGAGGGCTCGCCCGGAGCAGGAAACCCGCGGTCAGCTCGGAGCGGGCGCAGCGTGGGTGCTCGTCCCCGCTCCTGCATGTGGCCCCATCCCCACTGCTGACCCGCTCCCACCTGGGAGTGGCCCCTCTCACCACCCACAGTTATTAAGCCCAGTTCGTGCAGAATTACTCCTGCCGGAGATGTCCCAGTGAAGCCACGTTTGGGTTTGGGAAGTTGGTTCCCCTGGCCGCGTCTCCTCTGTCCCCCCAGCACCTTACCTGCCGCAGGTAGAGCTTCAAGACGTTGCTGATATCGTGAGGGGAGGCCTGGGACAGCTCCACCAGCTCTTTCCCGTTCTCAAATGCCTGGCAAAGCTTCTCCACGCGGGTCTTGACACCATTAACTCGGTAGATGCCCTGTAAAAGAGGGAAAAGTGGAGTTGAAGTGAGATGTTTTTCTTCGAGATTGCACAAGACAGTGAGCTTCTGGCCCCCACGCTCTGCTTCTGGGTTTGGAAATCCCTCTCAGAAGTCATTCTGGGACATCCCCTGCCAGCTCAGACGTTACTGTCATTCCTGATTCACAGGAGAGAGGCAAGAGATGTGACTTTCCAAGGTCAGAGTTTGGGGTATTGGGGCCGAGTTTATCACCTGGGACTTTCTGGCTTCCTGCCTCCAGCAATCTGAAAACTGAGACTGTCGGTTTTCATGCCAAGGCAGAGGATCATTTCTAGAGAAGGCAGCTGAGACAGCTTCGCCAACAAAGAGGGAAGAGAGAGTGCGTCACCTTGGTTTTCAGTGCCCGCTTCTCGATCTCAGAAATGCACTTCTTGATGATGAAGGGGATGCCGTCTGAGCTACTCTGAGAAGCCTTGGTGAAGTCTTGCCCGAAAAGCTGCAGCTTCCCTTGGAGTTTCTTGTGCCCACACTGGATGGCCAAGGTTTCCAGGCACTTCTTGTGGCAGGCCAGGTAGCACTGGAAAACAGAGCAATGGGCGGAGGTGGGCGGCAGCACCAGGCTCAGGTGGAAGGGCACCCACTGAGAGACACCACGTATTGCTCTGAGAATGAGGAGCTCATTGAGCACGATGGCAGGCAGGAAAAATGCCTGTCTTGGTGACGCTGCAGGACCAAAGCAAAGCACCTTGAGCCCTCCCCAAAGGAGGATTGTCTTCCTAAACACAGGTTAGAGCTGGGCAAAGGTAGTCCTGCCCCAAAGTTCATGCTGGCACCTCTGCTTCCACAGAGAACTTGGCCCTCCTGGCTGTGGTTACACCCATGGTTTTGTCCACATGTGTCACAGCTCCTGGCTGGGTTTCTGCAGCAAACCAGTGACACCCAGGTAAAAAGCTGCCCTGCAACGTGCTGCTGCAGAGCGCGTGGCTCTCATCGGCGGACACTGAAGCAGAGGACCGTGCACAGGTAGAGGTGAGGTCACCCTATCCATGGGCCATGTCCTCCACCTGTTCCACCCTCAGAGCTCCCTTCCCACTTCTCCCAATTTTACCTCCTCGCATTCTGCTCCCTGGAAGTAAACGTAGCTGTTGCACTCCCGACACTTGGAAGGGGCGCGGAGCTTCCTCAGCCGATGAGTCTGGGCAGCCTTGGATAAGCCGACGTTCCGGAAGGGCCCTGTTGGAGCCGTCATCTCTGGGGTCATCCCATTGATGCCTGTGAGCAGAACAGGAAGAAATGCGTCTGCACACTGGCTCCTGAGGAAGGGTTAAGCACAGCTTGAGTGGAAGGGTCACTGTCACAGAGCAGGCAACCAGTTGGATGCATTAGTTCTTTAGCAACATTACAAATACCCTGCACTCTGAGGTGTGCAGCCCCAGTGCATCTGTTCCCACTGCTCTGAGCAGAGCTCATCCCTTGGTAAAGGCAAAGCTATTGGGCTCCTCACGGGTCACCGGCAGGTATCCTCCCAGCAATTGCTCGGTTTAGCTCCAGAACTACTGAACTGGGGGCAAGTCAGCCTGCAGTTAGCTTTGCCACGGTCTGTGGGTGCAGCGCACACCGCGTCACTGTCACGCTGGCACGTACTCTGCTCAAAGGTGGTGGCGGTCTCATCCTTCTCCTCCAGCTCTTCGCTGGAGGACATGGTGCCGTTGGAAGACAGCCGCTGGAGCTTACAGCCAAATTCACCTGGCAAAGGAAAACCCACGAGCCGGTGAGAACACTGGCACAGTCGTTTCTCTTCTAAGTGTGCCCTGATGCATGTGGCCACAGCAAGCAGTTGTGTGCCTTGTGCAGCTGGGGCAGCTCCCGGGAGAAAATGGGAAACTGGGAGCTGGTGGGGGCTGTGTGGGCCTGCCGTGGTCTGCGGGGAGTAGGCTGCAGCTGGTGCAGTGAAAATGTTCTGGGGTCCCCCCTCCCACCCCATCCCACCCCACCCCACCCCACCCCACCCCATCCCATCCCATCCCACCCCATCCCATCCCATCCCATCCCATCCCACCCCATCCCATCCCATCCCATCCCATCCTGTTGAAGACTGGGCTCAGAGCAGTTATTTACAACAGTGTTCCTACAAGGCTGATAAAGAAGTGACAAGTCCTGCCTAATGCCAACGTTCTGCTTTTAGGCTGACAGTGTTAGGAGGGGAAGGGCTGCCTGCCCTGGGCTGGGTTTGGTCTCTACCTGCGTTTGAATCCAGGCTGCTGTCAGCTTCAGTAATGGTGGTCGGCCAGGATTTATGGACCTGGTGTCCCCTCCCACCTGCAGAAGAAAACACATAGTCCGTTTGAGATTGCTTCCTGCGTTCAGGAGAGAAACAGAGGAGGACAGCCTGGACACTGAAATTACTGCAGGAAGCTGCTCGGGTTTCTGTTGACGGGCTGGTGAGGGGGCTGGTGGGGCTGTGATGGGAAGGAGGAGATGGGAAGATGGGGAATGGTCTGTCAGGTAGCACTGGACAGCAAAAGCAGAAAAAAAACCTTCATAGATCTGATGTTGTGTCAGTCAGCCTGCAAGGCTTCCAGCCTGTCCTACTGCTGCAAAGAGAAGCCCCCGCCGCGGTGCCCGCTGCGGTCACGCTTCGCTCCTGCCCGGGGGGACGCAGCCTGCAGCGAACGGTGCCGGGGAGGGGCTGGCGGAGCAGAGACCCCCCCCCCCTCTGCTCCGGGCTCACCTCTCCGCTCAGCCCCGCTTTGGTGCTCCTTGGCTCCTGCCCCCCCTTCCGAGCCCGCCCCGTCCTTGGGCAGCCCAGCCCCGTTGGAGCCGGTGTTCGTTGAGAAGTCGTTGGCATTGAAGCTGCCTTTCCGCGTCCGAGTAAAGGGGGACCTGGTGGGCAGGAAGAAGGAGAAAAACGAATGTCTGAGGGGATGAGAAGGAAGGACACTTGAAAACCTTATTCATGGCTGCTATCCACCTGTCTTGGGATTTACAGGCCTCTCATGAATTCTAGATAGCCTGTCTCATCCATCAGAGGATGTGAGGCAAATTCCCAGCCGGTCCAGCCCCAGCTTTCCCAGCAGGAGCTGAAAGCATGCTGGTTTCTGTGGGGGAGCGTAGTGCCAGCCCAGGGGACAGCTGTCAGCGACAGAGAAAATGAGTGTAAACCAAGAATGATTCCCCGCTCGCCTTTCCTACCAAGCGTTGTGTGACACGTAGGGCTCAAAGTCGTACTGGATGTCGGGTTCATCCCCTCGCTGGAGCTGCTTGACGTGGGAGGCGTATTGCTGCCCGGGGTCGTAGAGCTTGCTGCTCTCGCACAGCGTCTGGAAGTTGACGGGCAGTGGAGCCGTCTGCATGTGCATGATCTGGTAGAAGGAGATTGTGGCCTAAAAATAACGTAGAGAAAATTAGACATGAGCTTTGTGAGCTGATGCGCACAGAGAATAGAGACAAGGAGCTCCGGGTTAGATGGGAAATCAGGAGCACGGAGCAGTGCTTGGTCTGCAGCCTTGAGCTTTTCAGAGCACAAGGGAGTGAGGAGTGCTCTGCATCCAGCTGGACCTCATCTGAAATAGGGGCAGCTAAGCCAGGTCTGCTGGGGAGGCAGCTCTGAACCTCTCCCGAGCAGGATATGACCACCCCCTGCCCTGGGGCCATCCCAAGCAAGCCCCACTCACCGTCTTGATGACCTGGTCGCTCTGTTTGATCACTTCGTGGATCTGCCGCAAGGAGTTCACCTTGGTATCCTCCAGCTCCTGCTTCTGGGTGTTTGCATCCGCAACACAGGTCCGGTATGTGGCCATCGCCTCTTCTGCCTGTGAGCAAGAGACAGAAACATCTCAGAGGGAAGGAGAACAAGGGGAACAGCTCTCTGCACTTGGACCCCGTTCCTCTGGGCATTCCCGCGCCGTGGCCGAGGATCTGTGGGGAGCTCAGTTCAGTCCATGGAGCTCCGGGCTGCTCCAGTGCTAGAACAGCAGGGAGCCAGAAGGTCCTTGCCCAGCCCGAGGCCAGAGCTGTCATGTTCCTACCTTGTTCTTGGCTTCCTCTTCCAGCCGCCTCTTCTTGTCCAGGGTTTTGGTGGTGATGCTGCTGGTGGTGTTCTGCTGCTCTTCTTCCGCTTTCACTGCCATGTACTTGGCCTTGTCATGCTCCTCGCTGCGCTGCATGTATATCTGCTTGGCCTTGCGCAGGTTCACCTCAGCCTCTTGCTGCCAACGAAAACAGAGACCCAGGGTGAGGACTGGCCTCTGCAAGAGGATTGTTATCTCCTCCAAGCTCCCCAGGGCCCTGCGTTTCCCCGGCGTCCCCCAGCATGGCAGAGCACCCTTGGACAAAGACCCTAACGCTGCTGGCGAGGGGCAGAGTCCAGCACCAGGGTACGTGTCACCGGGGCTCTCCAGAGAGAGCTCGGGGAGCGCAAACCCAGCCTGTGCTGCCTGGATGTCACTCACCAGTTTCCTCTGCGCCCGGTGCCACTGCTCCTTGATCTCCTTCCTCCGTTTTTCATGTTCAAGGCGTCTCACCGTCAGCGGCTGAATCAGGAGGGAGAAACAACCCCCACAGTGGTCTGAGCTAAACGCTCACCGCTCTTCCCTTTGCAAAAGGCTTTGCAAGGAGAAGTCCCCTGTGGCAATTGTTGTCATTCCCCAGCACATCTGGGCTCGGTTGCGGGGAGGGTTTGTGACACGGATGAAAATCTGCAGCCTGGGAAGTGCCAGATGCAGTTTCTTCCAGGCTGAGCTAAGCAAGAGCCACCCTCTGCAACGAGAGGACGTCTGCTGCTCCCCAGGGACACAGACTGCAGGACCGTGTCCACCCTGCACCAGATCATCCCTCTCAGGACTCATCCTGTGTCTGAGCACCCCTGCATGAGCCTGCGCTGCCCGGTCCCCTCACCTGGAGGAAGGTTTGGTGCTGCAGGGTGCTGGCAGCCTGCAGAACTGATGTCCCGTGCTCCATGTCCTGCTCCAGGGCCAGCAGGTAGATGGACAGGAAGGGCATGTTGGTCTGAGAAACGAGAAAAATGCGTCACCCTGAGCCCCAGCACCGCGGCGTGAACCGAAGGAGAAGCGTCCTCCGGTGCGGCGTCCGGGGGACGGAGCGCAGGAGGCTCGGCCTGGCTGCCTGCTACTGACAAAAGCCCTGTCCTGGACCACTCTATGACTGGTGTCAGATACCTGCAAATCTTACTGCACTACTATTTTTTGAGTGCATTTTTTCTGTTGCAGCGGTGAATTGTTCTCTCTACCAGCTTCCTACAGACCTCTCTGGGTTCCTATGGGGTAAAGATGGTCATGATCCTATCCTGAGGAATAATCATTCCTCTGGCAGCCTGCACCTTCTTTTCTGACAGCCCTTCTCTCTGTGACCATTGTCACTAACGTCTCTGGCAGTGGCCAAGGACAAGGCAGGCTCTGCAGTGGCAGGGTCAGGGCAAGCAGCAGTGCCAGCCCGGGGAGCAGGGGCAGGGGAAGGGCTGAGAAAGTCTCAAGCCCTGCTGAGTTCTTCTCATCTCCCTGCACAGGCCAGTCAGCGTGGGCGCGGGCTGCTGAGAGGCTGCTTGCGGGGGGGTGTGGGGGGGGCTGGAAGGGCCCGTGGTGTCTCCTGCCCCGCGCCTGGGCTGGAGAGCAAGGGAAAGGGCACGTCTGGCGTGTAAGCCTGCCCAGGCTCTCCCGCCTGGCACACCTGGCATGGCCAGGGCAGAAATACCAGCTGCTGATGGAGGAGCTTTTTCAGGGTCTTGGCATTACCCTTTGCTTCGGACATGTGAATTTTGCCAAGCAGAGAGCTTTGGAGAACCGCACGTTTGTTCTCCTGGGTGATGCAAAACGAGCTCTCCAGGGCTGTTTGCTCCTGGGGTGGCACAGAGACAGCCCGACAGCCTGGGCGGCCGTAGGGACGTGGACTGACCTCCTGACTGATGGTTTGCTTGCAGCTGTTTGCCATCTTCTGGAGCCCTTTGGCAAAATCCATCTCTGGAAGACAAAGGTTGGAAGTGAAAAGACATACGCGACACCAGGATTTCCCTGCTGATTGGGTTCCTTTTGAAAAATAAATCAAGAACTTCAGGAATGAAGTTCACCGCTGCCCTTGCAGTGTCTGACTCCCTCAGCCACGTGCACGTGAGGACCTTGACCTGTTCTGGTGCTGCCGTGAGGGGCTCAGCCCCGCTCCGGAGAGGACCCACCCGCCGTCCTCCCCGCCTCACCCAGCGTGGTCCTTTTCTCCAGGTACCCAATGAGGTCCTTCATGTACTTGGAGATGTTTTTGGCATACTGGAGGGCGGCATCTACACCCCCCTCGCAGCGCTGCAGCATCACGTCCACTTCCTCAGCAGGCGGCCGGCCTGTGATGGGACGAGGGGGAAGGCGGGGAGAGAAAGAGGAGAGAGACACTGAAGGTGCTGCTGCCACTGTGCGCGCTGACCCATTCCCTCTGCCTGCCTTCGAGTTTCCAGCAGCACCAGAACAGCCAGGAAAACCCCAGGACAGCCTGGCTCAGCCCCGCAAGCTCCGTGAGCTTTCAGAGCAAACCTCCCCGTCTCTGTGCTGGCACCGTGCTGGGCTGGTGTCCCGCTGGTCCCCGGTGCCAGCAGCAGCTCCGCTGCTTTTTCTCAGCCGAGAAGCCGTGTGTGGCTCGGGACCACGGCAGCGATGGGGACAATGCTGGTTCCTGCTGGCTGGTTTGCTCAGCCACCCCAAACCCTGTGCCCAGAGCCTGCCTGCTCACCCGTGTCATAGCTCTCCATGCCCGAAGGCATGCCGTCTCCTCCAGGCCCCGGGATCCCCCCGTAGAGGCTCTCCATAGTCTTTGGGAATTGGGAAAGAAAAGGGACAGATCAGACAAGAAGTAGTGGGATGGGGGGGGAGGCAGAAAGCCGGGGCTGCTGGAGCCTTTCTGGTGTTTCTGGAAGTCTGCTGTGCCCAGCCCGTGGCCCTGCAGGAAGGCCAGGAGCTCACGGGGACGTTGCTGGAGAAACACCTTGCTCTGTGCACACACCAGACCGGGACAGAGCTACGGAGAACAGCCAGAGCCCTGGTTTGTGCCTCTGCTGGCAGCGGCTCCATCCCCTCCTGAGCCACCGTGCCCCTTGGATTGAGCTGCCAGGCAGCTTTTCCCTTCTTGGCATGGCGGTGAGGACAGGAGCAAGCAGCAGAGCCTACATGCAGCTCCGCCGGGCTTGGAGGTGGGCCGGGAATCCCACGTCTGGGTCTGGGGGGCTCAGCCCCTTCCCGAGCTGGGGGTGAGCGCTCCGGCACAGCCCAAGACCCCCGCGATGGGAGCAGGCATCACTCACCTGGTTCTGGTCGCTGGGTGGGATGGAGAGGATGGTGCTGCTGTCCACCTCGCCCATGAGGAACTCGGACACGCTGTGATGAGAGGAAAGGGAGGACGGGCAGTGACAAGCTGGGCGGTCACCCTGCAGCACCCGACCCGTGTCCGAGGGACTGGGCGAGGACCAGGGCAGTCGGAGCTGCAATACTAGTTTCAGTGGGGATCAGCTCAGCCCTGCGTGATGAGGTCTGAGCGGCTCAGGCAGGGGAGCAGAGCTTGGCCCAGCACTGATGGGGGGCCAGGGGATGGAGCCTGCGGGCTCAAGCAGGTTTTGGGGTCCCTCCTCAGTGCTGGAGGAATTGCTGGTGCAAGCGGCAGGAGGAGTGAATCCGCCCTCCCCACAGGTCCCCAAAGCACCCCCCCCCAAACCTGCTGCCACATGTGGGGCCGTGCGGGGCGAGGGGACAGGGCAAGGGGTGGAGATGTGTCCTGGTGTTGGGGGAGACGGGGTCTATCGGGGGGGAACCTTCTCTGGGGTTCGGGTGGCCAAAAGTCCCTTACGTGCTGCTGAAGGACACTGCGATGGTCTCCACGGCCTTCTCGAACTCCCGCTTGTCCGTCTCATTGTTGGATTCGTAATGGAAACCTGGAAATGAGGAAATGTGGAAGCCCCGCGGCCGTGAGCGCACCTGTCCCTGTCTCAGGCAGAAGGGGCTGCTGGCTCCTGCCAGGCTCAGCCCCGCTGTGGGTCAAGCTCGAGGGAACAGTGGGGAGGAGAGGACCGTCCCTATGGATAAACGGACTTTCTCGAGCTCAGTGCAGTGCCTCTGACCCCTCCATTTCTCCTGTGATTGACTTCCCTGCCAGCATCACTCGGCTCACGTTTCTGTTTGTTCCCATTTCCCAGAGTTGCTGGAAAGGTGCTGCTGGCTGTGGACCTGCCCCACCGCCTCCAACGTTACGGCACCTCCGGAGCCCCCAGGAGCTTCCCCCGGGGGGGCTCTCGCCCGCGGCCGAAAGAGGAACCACCAGCAGCAGCGGGAGCCGGCACAGCCGGCGTTTGGCAGACGCCCAGACCAAGGGACACTCGTGACACCCTCGCCGGCGGCCAGCGCTTCTGGGCAGACCCCGGCGCCTTTCGAGTCGGCTCCTCTGGGGTGCGGGGGGCTGGTGAGCTGAGCTCCCCCCCCGCCACAGTGAGGGGCTGGGGGCTACTCCCCCCTCTCTGCCCAGGGATGGGGGCAGCCTGCACTCGCGCCGTCGCGGCCCCGAGTGGGACCAGCCCCATGGCAGACCTCCTGCCACCCGCCACGAGGCTTCCTGTCCCCTCGCGGTTGCTGTTTGGTGTCCAGGAAGCGGCACGGTGACGCAAAATGTTGTGTTCTGCCTGTGGTTAGCGCAGCCATCCCCCTCCCTGCTGGGGTAACTGCAGCAGGGGGTGGTGCCCGGGCCAGGCTCTGGGCCCCACAGACCCCGTTCCTATAAACACGAGGTGCTGCCAGGAGCAGGAGCCGATTATTTAAGTGTTTTTCCTGCGGCCACGCTTGGAAACCCCCAGGCAGGGATCTGGCCTCTGTCATTTCTGGCACTACCTAGTCCTTAAAACTAAACCACAGCAAGCAGGCAGCTGATGCCTTCGCGCTGTTTGGGGGGCAGCTCCGCTCCTGGCAGCCCCCCACGGGCTCCCTGCACCCCACACAGCTCAGCCTGGGGCAGGAGGGCAGCGGGACAGAGCTCCCAGCCCCATCTTCTCACCCTTGACCTTGGAGATGAGGGTCCCGGCAGCCGTCAGGGTCTCCAGGGTGTTGAGCAGCGGGTACTTGTTGATGACCTGGCGCAGGATGCGCAGGGTTTCACCCAGGCACTCGTGGGCCAGCGGCCGCTGGGGCTCCTTGGGGTCTGCAAGAGAGGGGGGCTGAAACGCTGCCCCCCGTCCCTGCCCTCCCCAGCCTCCCATCCGCCTCCTGCCAGCCCACCCCGCCAGGCTCCCGGACCATGCTGCCCATCCCCTTGGCTTTGGGGCTCCCCGGGACTGGCACCACCACATCCCCAGCCCTCCCCTTCCATCCCCGCTGTGGCGAAACCAGCCAGTGTGTCCTCGGCGCAGCAGCGGGCCCGGCGCAGCCCGACCTTTTAGGCATTTTTTTTCCTCAGTAGTAACTTTTTCCCTTGAAAGCAGTTCGGGAATTTCCTCCCCATTTCCTTCCCTTCCTGCCTGCCGGATGGGCGCTCCCAGGCGCTGGCAGGGATGCAGCAGGTCTCTGCTGTCACTGTGCCCCATCCAGCCGGGCTCGCTGCATCCCGGGGGGTCCTTCCCTGGGCACTGGCCCCATCGTGGGCTCCAGGGGTCTGGCCCGGGGGTCCAGCCCGGCTCCCCGCCAGCACAGTGCCAGGGCTTGGGGCTGGGTGCCAGCAGCTTGTGAGGAGCCCATGGGATGGGAGCACTGGGATGGGAGCCTGGCACCCACCGTCTGGCCGGGCAAAGCCCCCAGCTCGGCGTCAGGAAGGGGTTTGCTCCATTTCCAGTCCCCTTCCGCAGTGGGAAGTGGGGACACCAGAGAGACTGGGAACAGAGCTGGGAATGGGGCTGGATGGGTGCAGAGGAGAGCTGGATTCTCCAAAATCATGGCTGTGTCCCACAGGTGACCCAACCTCCCCCTGTCTCTGCCAGCTTGGGGATGGCACCGTCCCGGCTGTCCCAGACTGGGTCCAGCAATAACCGGGGACCCCGAGTGGGGACAGCAGCGGGATGGTCACCGTCCAGCTTTGGGCTGTTTCCTCCCTGCCCTACAATGCCCAAACCTTCACAGGGACCTGGAAGCATCACCCCCCCCGGGCTGCCATCCCACGCCCCCCCCCAGCAGCGCAGACCTCAACCCCGTTCCCACTGGCCCAGCCATGGATCCAGGCTGGGTGCTGCCATTTTCCACGCTGAGTGGAGGATGCATCAACATGTTTGCAAAGACAGCGGCGAAAACACAGCACCATGTGACACCCACCCCCCCCCACCCCCCCCCCCCCCCGCCCTGGCCTCAGCCCCACCTCGCCACAGGGACCACGAGATCGTGGCTGTTCCCTTTGCCTCCTCAGGCAGGGACGCCCACTCGCAGCCCACCCAGCCCCAGGCTGGGGCATCGGCCCCATCCCACCGGCTGCCCTGGTGAGGCTGGTCCGGTGAGTCAGGGGGGGCTGTGCCCGGCACCCCGCAGGGCTTTGGGGGGCCCTGGCAGGCAGCTGGCACCGCTGCGATGTAAACAGGAAAACGGGCGGATGAAAATAGCTCGCAGGCAGGAAGCCGCGTTATCCTGGCTCGGAACTCCCGGCAGCCACCCACGGCTGCTGTAGTTCAGCGTGGCCCCCCCCCGGGGGTCCCGCTCGCCCCCCAGCCTGGACAGACACCCCCCCACCCATGGGGAAGGGGGATGCTCCGGGTGATCCGGCGCCGCGTGGGCAGCGTGGGCAGCACCGGGGCTGGGGGCCACGGGGGGACTCACCGTCACGCAGCACCACGTCCCGCAGGTTCTCCAGGGCGTCGGCGAAGCGGGCCACGTCGGCCAGCAGCTGGGAGATGTCCTCGGTGTCGATGAAGGGGCCCTCCCCGCCCTCCATGGGGCTATAGGACGTGGGGGTCTTGTGGCCCTTGGGCACGGCTCTGGGGCCCGCCGCGGTGAGGGGGAAGCCGGCGGCGCTGGCATGGCGGCTGAGGCTGGTGGGGCGCTTGAGGGTCCCCACGGCGCTGGGGCTGGTGCTGAGCTTGGAGCTGGAGGGCGGCAGCTCCCCCAGGCTGGAGCCAGGTGTTTCCAGGCAATCCTTGCGGGAAAGGTCCTGGGGAGCGGGGACGAGCGTGAGGACCCAGCAGGCACGGCCAGGACCCCGGCTTGGGTAGGGAGGGGGCAGCACCCTGGGCACCCCCTTCCCCCCCCGCCGTGCCACCAGCCTGGAGGGGTGAGCTGGCACCAGAGCCTGCAGCCGTGCCGTGCCTCAGTTTCCCCAGTTAGGTATCCTGGCAGAGCCCGCGGGCGATCCTGCCAGGCTGCGGTGCTGGGACAAGGCGCAGCCCCCCCCGGCGTTTCCAGCCCTTTGGGAATCTTGGGGTGGGGGCTGGTGGGGACAGTCTTGGGACCCTGCAGGGTGAAGGCAGTGACTCTGCCATCCCGCCCCCCCCCCCCCCCCCGCCTCCCTCCACGCTGCAGGCAGCCCCTGCAGCCAGCACTGCCCTGGGCTCCCTGCGATTAACCGCCCCAGCACTGGGGTCTCACAAGGAGCCTGTGTTCCTAATCCAGTGGCCAGGAGCTGGCTCGGCCACCACATCTGCCCGCTGGCCCCATGGCCCACCCTGGGCCCCACCAGCTCCTGTGGGCCCGGGGTTTGTTTTGGGGGGCACACAATGACTGTGTGGGTGACACTGCCTTGTCCCCCACCAGCACCCACCGTGCTGGATCTCCCCATCCCCGGGGGGCCTGGGGACCCCAGCATGGCCAAATGGCATCAGGATCTGGCCCCACTTGTCCCTTCCTCTTTTTCATCACCAGGTCGGGCCCGGCCCCTGCCCTGCAGGGATGGGGGCAGGGATGGGGACACCTCCCAGGCCACTCTCTGGAGGCTTCGCAGATATTTTATGGACAGGGACCCCCCAATTTCTAGGGGTAAAATTGCCCTGAGGGTGGGGCTGGTACCGGCACCATCCGGGGCCGTGCACTGCGTGGGGGCCACGCACCCCGTGAGAGTCCCTGCGGCACGGGGAGGGGGCCCACCCTCGCCCCTCCAGCAGCTCCCATCAGCAGCCCTCGGGCACCCAGGTGTGACACGAGTGTGCTGGGTCTCAGCATCCCTGGCTGGGCGCTGCTGGCTCGGCGGGGCCAGGAGCCATCTTTGGTGCCGACAGGGCAGACACCGAGCCAGCCAAGAGCGCGAGGCCGCCGTGGGCGAGAGCTCAGCCCCACGCTGCTCCCAGGGCTGGCCACACTCACCCAAGGCCTGCGAGGGGGCTGCCCAAAGCCCCCCGACCCAAAACAGCTTGGGACCAGCCCAGCCTGTGGAAACCTGTGCAGCAACCCCCCCCCCCCCACCCCCGACACCCTGGTCCCCCCCACACCGGCACCCACGGTCCGCACCCGGCCATACCGTCAGCCACACCGCGGGCGCGTGGGGCAGCGAATCCAGGGAGCGTTTGGGGGAGTTGGCTTTACCCGCCCCGCGGCGCCCGGCCGAGTAGGGGCTGTAGCTGTTCCTCCCAGCCGCCCGGCCGAGCATCCCTCCGTCCACCACCCATAGGCCCCTCTCCTGGGGCACGGGGGGTGGGTGCCCCTTGCTAAGGAGCCACGGGCGGGCTCCCGGGCCCCATCGGCCCCATGCTCTGCGGGCTGGGGCGCAGGCGCGGGGCGGGCAGTGCCAGGGTGCGCGAGGAGCCCCGGACGCCGGCCAGCCCCGCGGAGGTGAGGCGCTTCCTCCCGCACCCCCCCAGCACTGGGGGGGTGCCCACAAGTAAATAAATATATGGCAGGACCGAGGCGGTGGAGCCAGCCGAGCCCGGGTGTTCCCCTGTGCTCCCACTCCTGTCTCCTGGGAGGTTTGGGGGTTTCTCCGCCCTCCCCAAACCCTCAGCTGCAGCCCCCACAGCCGGGCTCCCCTGCCCTTTGATGCAGTCCCCCGTTTCCCCCCAGCCCCGCTTTCCCTCCCAGGGTGGCTGCCCTGCTCCCTTCATATGTGGCAAAACCCACTCCCAGTGAGCAGGGTCCTTCCTCAGCCCCCTCCTCCTCCTCCTCGCAGACCCCCTGGCCGTACCCAAATCCCCCTTCCCACCTCACAGCTGTTCCCAGCAGCTCCGTGGGCGCAGTGGCCCCATGACCCCCCAGCCCGCCGAGGGTGTGGGGGGGACACGGGACACTCACCGGCAGGGTCTGTGGGACGGGGCTTCCCGCCCGGCTCTTCTTGGAGATGGAGGGGGTTTTTATCAGCTCCCGCTTCTTCCGGGAGAACATGGTTCCCGGGGGCGGCAGAGCCCCGGCCCTGGCAGCCCCTTGCTCGGCGCGGCCGCGGGGCCTGGCTGCCAGCTCCTCACCGCGCCGGCCACATTCGCCGGGGCGAACTGTCAGGAGGGCGCGTGTGACGCCGCCTTATTTCCTCATCGGCTTCGCAGGCAAACCTGAAACAGGAAAAGCCAAACGCGCACCCAGGGCGCGAGGCCGGGGGGGCAGGGGGACCCCGGCCGCCCCTCCGGGGGCTCGGGCCAGTCTCCAGCCTCGCAGGAGGCAGCTGGGATGATGCTCCCGGGGGCTGTTTGCAGCGGGGGGGGGGGGGGGTCAGCGCTGCACCCCGTGGCTGCACAGAAGGGCCTGGGGGGCAGAGAGCCCCGCTCTGTGGGACCGGGGCTGACCCCCGTGGCACCCCAGGCCTCTGGGGGGGTTTACCCCTGTTTGGGGGTGCCCAGGGAGGACAAGCCCCATCCCACGGGGCACTGCTGGAAGCCGCAGGGATGGGGGTGAGTGGGGTGCAGGGCTCTGGGCTCCCACCTGTGGGATGGTCCCCGCTCTGCCTCTACCCGTGGGCTCAGTGCCCACCTGCCCCCCCCCAGGGTCACTGCCCTGCCCCTGGCCCTCACCAGCCTGCAGCCTCTGTGCACCCACACTCCCCCACCCACGGGGTAATGCAGCCCCACAACGGTCTGTTCACCCATGGGTGCACCCAGCGAGGTGGCAGATAAACCCTAGGAGAGGGCCGAGCACCCTCAGGGTGCCACTCCCGCAGCGTGGGGACCCCCAGCCAGATCCTGCCCCGGCCGCTGCCCACCGGGACCTTCCCATGGGGCTGCCTCCCGTGGGCGATGTGCCGGCCGCGGGGCCGGCGCGGGACACAGACACGGACATGGACACGGAGCTGGCGGCTCCCTGGGGTCGGGGCGAGGGGAGCAGGACGCGGGGGGGTGCAGGTTGGAGGTGTGGGGGTGCGTATGTGTGCCCCGCGTGTGCCGTGGGTGTGCCCAGGCAGGTGCGCGCGCGTGTGAGTGTGCGCGTGCAGGGGAGTGACCGTGGGTCGGGGTGCGCACATCTGTGTATGCACGTGTGTGGGGCGATGCACACGCGTGTGCCCGTCTATAGGGGTCTGTGTGTGCCCGTGGGCTCGTGTGCCCACGCGAGACCGGAACGGCTCCAGCCCCGGCTCCCGCAGGCTCCCGGTGCCCCCCTGGTTCCCCCCGGTTCTCCCGGTGTCGGGGTGCGGGACCCCCCCGCGATCCGGCCGCTCCTGTCCTTATTTGGGCATTTCGGCCCCGTCCAATGAGCGCGGGGGGGCCGGGCCCGCCCCCCACCCCGCCCGCCCCGCCCGGTCCCGCCGCCGCTCCCCGCTCCGCTCCGGTACCGGCTCTGCTCCCCGCTCCCGCCATGAGCAGCTCCCAGTTCAACAAGGGCCCGTCCTACGGCCTCTCCGCCGAGGTCAAAAACCGGGTGAGCCGCGGCGGGGGGCGCGGGGCCACCGGGCGAGGGCAGGGGGGTGTCGGGGCTACCGGGCGCTGCTGCTCCCGGTGCTCCTGGGGGCCCTGGAGAGCCGAGAATCCCGGTGCCTCTGGCGGGTCCCCGGTTGCCTCTTGGGGTCCTGGAGAGCCGGGGGGTCCCGGGGCGCCCCGGGCACGTGGAGCCGGAGGGGACTCGGTGCCACCGGGGGCGGAGAGTAGAGAAGTCCCGAGGGTGGAGGTCGGGGGGTCCCGGCGCCACTGACGGGCAGAGAGCCGGGGGGTCCCGGAAAGATGCGGAGCTAGGGGTCCCGGTGCGCCGGGGGCTCTGAGGAGCGGGGAGTGCTGGGAATGGGCTCCCGGGCTCGGTGTGCCCCGGCCCAGCCCGGGGCGTCCTGGGGAGGTGTTTTGGAGGGACCAGGGCTGGAAAGGGTCCCGGGCACCGGCCGCCTCGCCCACCCCCACCCAGGCCGGTGCAGTGTCTACTATCGCCCCCCACCCCCGGTAACCCCCCGGGCACCGTTCCCATCCGCCCCCAGCGCTGGGGGTGATGCCCGGCCCCCCGCGGCTCCGGCCACCTTTCGCTGCAGCTTCCCGGAGATTCTCCACTTTCTGCTCCCCCGCAGCTCTGCATCCCCCAGCGGGATGCTCTGACCCGCCCCGTGGCCCTCGCTGGGGATGGGGCTGGTGGCCCCGTTGGGACGTGGGCAGGAGCAGCCCCCGGCCCACACCTGCCCTTGGCAGCCCGGGACCCCCGGCCAGGCGCACCCGGGGCACCCTCAGCAGAGCTGCTACCGCGCTGCTGTGGGGCCGGAAGGGGAAAGGGGAACCGGTGCCTCTGGCCGGGCTGTTTGCACCCCGAGGAAGGAGCCAGGCCCGGCAAGGTGCAGCCAGCTGCCCAATCTACCAGCACCCTCCTGCCCGGGCAGGTGAAATCTCCCCTCGACCAGAACGCTGAGGACAGGGCTGGGTGCTGGCGGGCAGCGCTGGGTGCCTGGGTGCACCCCACGGCTCTCGGTGCCACCATCCCTGGTGGCATCCCTGCCTTCACTGTGCTCCGCTGCAGTGGTACCATGGGCGCCGGGGTCCTGCGGGGCCGAGGGGAGCAGGGGGGGACACTGCAGCCCCTTCCCTCAGCTGCGCTCCCCACGCAGTCCGGGGCTGGGCTCTGGGGACCGCTGTCACCCCGGGCGGTGGCACGGGCAGTGGCCCCGGCCTCAGGCAAGCAGAGGTTGAGCTGTGGTTGCCCCCAGCCCTGGGGCAATCAGCCTGGGGAGGCGGGAGAAGGGGTTCTGGGCCGCTGCCGGGGCTCAGCCATGTGTGGCTGTGGGATGTGGTGGCCATGGCCGTGGCTGGGGCCGGGCTCTTCTTGCGTGGCCTCGCGGGGGATTTGCATTTCATCACAGAGTGGAGACGCGGAGACGGGTCCCTGCTTGCACCTGGGCTGGGCTGCACCAGCCCGAGCGGGTGGACACGCGCCGGAGCCTTGCCGCTGTGTGCTCTTGGGCCCTTCGGCTGGATTCAGCAAGACTTAAGCCAGTTTAACTGCCCCGGTGTGTCTGCTGGAGGCTGACATCACCGACTGGGAACCAGTTAAACCAGTGGCTTAGCTCTCCCAATCTGTGCAAGCCCTTGCAGACTGGGCTGTGGTGGGATCTGCTCTGGGGCGGGTCCCCTCTGACCCTCCCCATGCCCTGAGAAACCCCCCACGCTGGCCGTGGGGTGGGAAGAGGAACTGGCACCAGCTGCCCACGTTCCAGAAAATCAGCTGGTCGGGCAGCGGGATCCCCCAGCCAGGACGCACATGGTGTCATGAGCGTGATGCACCTCGGCTGAACCATCCCTGCATCCCGCACCAGTTGAGCTTCCCCTTTGGGGCAGGAGCCCCACAGCAAGACCGGACCGTGCCTATCCTGGGGTCTCCCCATGTCCGGGATCCTTGGGGATCCCCAGCCCCGGTGTGTACCGGGACCAGGAGGGGCCAGGCTGGGGCAGCGACAGCACTCAGAGCTTCCAGGCTCTTCCTGCGCAGCCCCCTCCTTCCCGCCCCAGGCTGCCGAGCCTTTTCCTTCCCTCGCTGGCCAGGGCCGAGGCGACGCTGCCGGGGATGCTGCCGGCCTGGGCAGCTGGTCTCCATTTGGGAGGAGGCGTCCGCATTCCTGGCATAGCCGCGGTGACCAAAGAATCTGCGGCGGCGCGCTTGGCCCTGCTGGAAGGGAGAGCATCAGGCAGCTGGGGACCCCGGGGCTCAGTGCCCGGCTCCCACGGGCTCCAGGGGACAGGGAGGAACAGGCCCCTGCGGGGGCATTTCCCCCCTGGCCCCTGTGGGCAGTTCCTCCTCATCCTCCTGGAAAGGTTCAGCTGTGTGTGAGGGGCACCGTGCTCTGCGGCTCGTGCCAGATCCAGCCGCGCCAAGGCCTGTGTCTGATGGCAGCATTGTGCTCGTGCTCCCGTCCCCGTTCCCATGCAAAGGACACGGGCAGGGACACGGGCAAGGACACGGGCAGGGACACGGGCAGGAACACGGGCAGGGGCAGCCAGGCTGCTCTTGCTCCCAGATTGTACGTACAGATGGGCTAAAACCAGACGATGGAGAGGGATGTGGGAGACTGGAGGGGGGGGACATGTCCTCCCCTGTGATGGGGTCCTGCTGTGGCTTCACTCCCAGCCATGGCTCTCACCTCCTGCCACCCCCGGGGGGTTCCCCAAGGCTTCCCAGGGACGGGGCTGCTGTCCCCAGACTTCGCTGCCGGTCTGTGCCTGGGGAGGGGGGGACCTGCCCCCCATGAGAGGTTTGGGATGCACGCTGGGGCCGTACCTGAGCTGCCCCCTTGCTGTGCCCTCCCAGCTCGCCCAGAAGTACGACCCGCAGAAGGAGGCCGAGCTGCGGACGTGGATCGAGAGCGTCACGGGGCAGCAGATCGGGCCCGATTTCCAGAAGGGGCTGAAGGATGGGGTGATCCTCTGCGAGTGAGTCCCGCGCGGCTGGCCGGGTGATCCCGGGCCCTTGCCCCCTGCCCCGCTGGGATGGGTATGGGGGACACTTGCCCTCCAGGGACCCCCGTGGTGGGAAGGGTGGGATGGGCCCAGCCGTGCCCGCACCGGGGGGACCCCCCAGTTAACGGCAGCCAGAGGTTTTTCCTGTGGTGCTGCCTGGCTGGAGTCACCCTCAAAGCGCCTGCGTCTGGGGGGAGACCTGGGGAACAGCAGGGACCTGGGGAGGGGGGAATCACCTCACGCTTGCAGGGGAGACTGGGGCTGAACCTTCCCTAAAGGGGCCCGTGCCCTGCTGCCACCTGGGGTCTCTGCCCCACCGCAGCCCCCGCTCCCCCCTCGCCTTCCCCCAGGCTCATGAACAAGCTGCAGCCCAACTCGGTGAGGAAGATCAACCGCTCGGCTCAGAACTGGCACCAGGTAGGTGCCAGCAGCCCTGCCCGCAACCCGGCCACCACAGAGCCCCGGCCCCTCTGCCATCACCCGACAGGGTCTCACCCCCCTCTCCTTCCTCCCCAGCTCGAGAACCTCTCCAACTTCATCAAGGCCATGGCCAGCTACGGCATGAACCCCGTGGACCTCTTCGAAGCCAACGACCTCTTTGAGAGCGGGAATCTGACGCAGGTGCAGGTGTCGCTGCTGGCGCTGGCGGGCATGGTGAGCGTGGGGGGCCGAGCGGCTGGGGAGGGGGCACAGCCCACCGGGGACCAGCTGGGCAGACCCCCGCCTTGGGGTGGTACCCGTGGGACCCCATGGCTCAGGGTGCGGGTGGGAGGTGTGGGACCCCCATCCTCCCTCACCACCCCTACCCGGCAGGCCAAGACGAAGGGGATGCAGAGCGGCGTGGACATCGGTGTGAAGTACTCAGAGAAGCAGCAGAGGAACTTCGATGAGGCCAAGATGAAGGCTGGGCAGTGCGTGATCGGGCTGCAGGTGGGCTGCCCCGGCCGTGCTCCCGAGGGCTAGGGGGCTGGGTGAGGGGGGCCCAGTTTTATCAAACCCTCAGCACTGGCGCGGCTCCCGGCGTGGCTGGGGGGACCCGAGGTTCAAGGTGCCTCAAGCGCCCGCAGGATCTGGGACCATCTCGGCTCCATGTCTGGCACTCAATGGGGGGCAGCTGGGCTGGAGAGCACTGGCTGTGCCCCCCCGGGCTGCAGGGGGACGGGTAGGGAGGAGAAGGGACACGTGTGGGGCAGATTCGGTCCTCACCAGACCCCCTCGTCAGATGGGCACAAACAAGTGTGCCAGCCAGTCCGGCATGACGGCCTACGGCACCAGGAGGCACCTCTACGACCCCAAGAACCAGATCCTGCCGCCCATGGACCACTCCACCATCAGTCTCCAAATGGGCACCAACAAGTGTGCCAGCCAGGTGAGCCAGCGCCGCCGCGGTGGGGGACCCGGGGGGGGAGCACCGCAGCCAAGCCCTGCTCCATCCTGTCCTTCCAGGTGGGCATGACGGCTCCCGGCACCAGGAGGCACATCTATGACGCCAAAACAGGGACGGAGAAGTGCGACAACTCCTCCATGTCGCTGCAGATGGGCTCCAACCAGGGCGCCAACCAGAGCGGCCAGGTCTTCGGCCTCGGCCGCCAGATCTACGACCCCAAGTACTGCCCGCAGGGCAGCCAGGGTGAGGTGGCCAACGCTGCCGGCGACCAGAGCGGGGACCCCTGCGGCTACCACTACTACTGCGAGGAGGAGGAGAGCTACTGAGCGGGATGTTGCCCAGCCCCGTCTCACCATCTCATGTACAGACCCTTCTGCCAGCGACATTCCAGCCCCTACTTTCATCATTCCCTCTTTTTAAACTCTTTTTTTTCTAATTTTGAAATTAATCTATTTTTCTGAGCAAGGAAATAAAGACCCCGTTTCTAGAGAAGAGACTGGCTGTTTCCCGCAGCCCGCGGGAGCCCCACGGCCCCAGCACACCCCTGGCCTTTGCAGTGGGACAGTGTTGGATGCTCCAGCGCCGAGAAGGGGGTGGTGTCCCCTCTCACATGGCCATGAAGATGTGTTCCTGCCCGGCGCCCACCGCGCTGCCTCCGCGATGCTCCGCCGCGGCAGCACTCGCGTCCCTCAGTGAGGATGGGTGGGGGGGCAGCCACCCACGCTGCCCCTGGCACCACTGCTCATCCCCATGCTGGCGGGACCCGGCTCAGCGCCGCGGCGCAGAGGGGCTGGAGGGATGTGGTGGGAGCACGGCCGGGAGAAACCCCCCCAGTGTGAGGAGAGCCCGGGGTGCTGCAGGGCCTCAGCCGGGGGACGGGATTTTGTGTGAGTGTGTGCGAGCGTGTGCGCCGGCAGCAGCCTTGCGTGTACGTGTGATCTCTGGAGGCGAAGCTGGAAATGCCTTTTTTTCACAGAACTCGTAGGGACCGAGTATCTGAGGCTGCGGTGGTGGCCGCAGGGCTGGGCTGGGACCCAGCACACCCGGCCGCAGATCGGGAAGCCGCAGCGATCCGATCGCCTGGCACCGATGGCCGCATCCTGCACCATGGGGTAGCGTGTGGGGCTGGGGACGCCGGTGCATGGCGCAGCCCCCTGTGTGCCCCTTGGTTTCTTGGCCTCCTGGGGGGGTTTAATGCAGGTGCTTATATCAAAACCATTTTTTTGGAAAAAAAAAAAAAAAAAAAAAAAAAAAAAAGGAACCCTCTTTTTAACTGAAGCAGGAGACGGTTTCTGGTGCAGGCTCCTTGTGTCAGTGCCTATGCCAGGGGGTGGGAGCTGCCACAGACCTGGGTGAGACCCCCAAGTGCCGGGGCTGTGGGGCGGGAGGCTGCGCTCTGTGGGGCTGAGCTGAGCGTGGCCCCGGTGCCTGGGGGGGCTGGGAACTGGCTGCGGGGTCCATGGTGCCGCCGTGCGCTGGCGCTGAGCGTGGGCAGTGAGAAGCTTTCCGGGGGGACCCGCGGTGCCATCCCGTGGCAGAGCGGAGCTGGGCGCAGCGGTTAAACGCGGGGCAGCCGCATCCTGCGGGGCTCAGCATCGCCCCAAGTGCAGCCGGGGGTACCCAAACCCGAGGGGGTTCCCCCCCCCGGGGAGCCCCAGGGGCCGTGTGTCCCAGCGCTGGCCTTGAGCTCGTTGCCCTGGCCGTGCCTGCGCAGGCCCTATCTGGGCAGGGATCCACCTTTTGGGGTGAAACGCTGCATTTCAGCGAGCAGTGCGTTCCTGCCTGCTGCAGCGGGAGCAGCTTGGCTTCGCTCCGGGGGGGGCAGGGGGGGGGCCTGGCCGAGCTGCTGGGGGTCCCTGGTGCCAGCACGGTGCTGCCAGTGGCACTGCTCACCACCGCGTGACCGGTGGTCTCACCCCCCCACCCCAGGGACCAGCGCTGCCGCCTGGCACCCCAGTGCCCCCCCAGTGCTCCCCCTCCCACCAGGCTGTCGCAGCCCCGGGGACCCCGATGGAGGAAGGGTCTGTCCCCGGGATGGGGGCTGCCTGTCCCCCCACGGGGGTCTCAGTGCACCCCAGGCCGGGCTGCAGCGTCCGTGGCGGGGGCTCTGCTGCTCCGTGGGAGTCCCACGGGCGGGGCAGGGGTGGGGTGGGGCGGAGACGGGCTCTGGCCCCTTTCACGCCGCCGTGACGCGCCCCCCTCCCTCGCGCCGCACGGGCCCCTTTAAGATCAGTTTCCCATGACGTCACGCCCAGAGCTGCTTTATAGCGCGGTGCCTGCGCGTGAGCCCGGCGGAGCCTGCGGGGTCTCTTAAAGGGGCCGCGCGGTGGCAGCGTCAGCAGGTAACGGGGGTCCCAGGGGGCGGGGGGCCGTGCCGCCGGCTGCTGGCTTCGGCTTCGCAGCGTCCCCCCGGGGTTGCCTGCACCTCCCCCGTCCCCCCCCGGGATGTCCCCGTGTCCCCGTCATCCCCCCCGGGGCTGTTCGTGTCCCTCCGAGATGTCCCCCAGAGGTATGTCCGTGTCCCCCTCTCCCCCCTCGCCAGCTCGGAGCTCGGTGCGGCGGGACCGGGGCTGGGGCGGGGCGGGAGCCGCCGTGCTCCCGGTTGCAGCGATGGGGCGTGTTTGTCCCCCGTGGGATGACTGAGCAGATTCCCACGCGAGTCACTTTCCGGGAGGCGGCTACTGGGAGGTCCCAGTGGTTTGTGTTTGTTCCATCTCAAAAGAGCCGCTGCCCCCCCGCCCCCCCCCCCCCCCCCAGCCGTTGCGGCTCCCGGCGAGTTCGGCTCGGGGGGTCTGGAAGGCGGGGGCTGGCGCTCGGCTGCCCAGGGAAGTCCCAGGGGCCGGCCGGGTGTTGGGGTTCACTGGGGGGACTGGGAAGGGCCGGGGCTGGGGCCCCAGCACAGCTCGGGGGACACCTGCGGGACCCGGGGGCCGGAGCTCACGCCTCGAGCCCGTTGCATCGGGGCAGTTTCCCCTCCCAGGGTGCTGAGGGTCCCGCCAGAAACGCTCAACCTCGCTGCTGGCGCGGCCACATCCATCACAGAGGGAAACTGAGGCACGGGCAGGTCCCAGGCCCGCCCCCCCCCCCCCCCCCCCCCCGGGGCTCGGAGCTGCTGCGGGGGTGTCCGGCGGCTCCCCGCGGGGTGTGAATCCCGCCCAGGGCTCCCCGCGCCGGCCGGGGGCCGCTTGCGGAGCTCTTGCCCGATTTCGCTGCTTTTGGTTTAGAAAGGAGGGAGATTTGAGGGCTTTGCTCCGGGAAGGAGCGTCGCTGCGGGAATGCCGGGCCGGCTCCCGGAGCTCAGCCCTGGGCCCGGTGCTGCGCCCGGTGTGCGATGAGCCCCGACCGTCGCCCCCAGTTTGGTGCTGATCCCCCCACCCTCCCCCGCAGGCTGAGCCGAGCGGGACGCGGGGCACGCCCCCCCCCGTGCCCCCGCCATGGCCGTGGGCACCCAGCTGGGGCTGCTGCTCTGGAAGAACTTCACCTACCGCCGGCGGCAGCGGGTGAGTGCGTGACCGGGGTGAGCGGGCACCCAGAGCCGCTGGGTCCTGGCACAGGGACACGCAGGGCTCTGGGCACCAATGGGGGCAGGGACCCCCCCCCGATCGTGGGTGTCCCCCAGATCCAGCTGGCCATCGAGCTCCTGTGGCCGCTCTTCCTCTTCTTCATCTTGATCTCGGTGCGGCAATCCCACCCACCCTTCAAGCAGCATGAGTGTGAGTGTCCCGTGCCAGCCCCCGCCGGGCCACCCCCTGGGTTGGCAAGCCCCCCCCCCCCGCCTCGTGCCTGCTGGGGACCCTCCCTGCGTGGGAGCCCTGTGGGACCTTGGGGTGGCTCCGGGGGAGACAGACGCGGGAGGTGGTCACGAGCTGGGGGCTCACCGGCATCTCCCCACTTGTGTGTGTTCGTGGCCCCGGGGGTCCTGCGCTGCACCCCCCCGGACCCATCTCTCGCTCCCCCCGCAGGCCACTTCCCCAACAAGGCCCTGCCCTCGGCCGGGACCCTTCCCTGGCTCCAGGGCATCATCTGCAACCTGGACAACCCCTGCTTTCGGCACCCGACGGCGGGGGAGGCCCCCGGCGCGGTGGGCAACTTCAACGGCTCCATGTGAGCTCCGGGGGCCAGGGGGGCTGCGGGGCAGAGCCGGGCTGGGCCCGGGTCTCACCCCGTTACCCCCACAGCCTCTCCCGCCTGCTTGCTGAAGCCCAGCAGGTCTTACTCCACACCGATGGGCAGCGGCTCCGGCGCAGCTTCGCTCAGCTCCTGCCTGCCCTGCGCCAGCTCCAGGGGAGCGGGACTCAGCGGAGGGGTGAGCAGCAGGGACGGGGAGGGGGGATGGGGGAGAGAGACCTCCCTGGTTGACCCCTGCACCCCCAGCCCTGCCCGTGAGGGACTACCTGAGACCGGACGAGACCTTCTCGCGGTTCCTCCGGACCAACACGTCTCTGCCCCCGGCGCTGGTGGATGAGCTGATGGGGGCTCGGCTCAGCCCTCGCATCGTGAGTGTCGACGCAGCACCCGCTCCCGGTGCCCGTGGTGCCGGGGGGGCTGTGGCGTGACCGGCCCTTTCCCGCCAGCTCTCCTTGGCAGGCAGCCCCCTCCCGCTGAAGGCCGTGGTCTGCAACGCCTCGGAGCTGGGGGGCTTCCTGGCTGGGGGCGACCCTGACTCCACCGAGCGCCTGCGGCAGGGGCTCTGCGCCCTGCCCAGCCCCCAGCTCCACGCCATGGAGGGCTCCTTCCTCTCCCAGCTCGACCTCCCCCGGCTCCTGGCGGTGAGCCCCCAGCCCGGCCGGGTGCTAGAAGGCACTGGGGCAGAGACCCCCAGCCCCCCAGAGGGGCTGTGATCCCCTTCACGTGCCCCCCTTGTAGGACCAGCTGAGCTTGGAGGAGGGCGGCATCACTGGCACCGTGGAAGCCTTGGAATCCTTGGGCACCTTCCTGCGGGATGCAGTGTCCCTCCTGGAGGAGGTAGCACTGCACCCCAGTGCCGCCCCACTCCTCAGGGTGTCCCTGGGCACCCCTGTCCCCTGCAGCCCCGTTCTGCTCCCCATCCTAGGTCTCCTCCATGAGCAGCCTCGCCGAGCTGTGGCAGGAGCTCGGGGCACTGATAGCCCCCAACGCCAGCACCTCCGGCTCAAGCACCTTCAGGGCCCTGTCACGCATCGCCTGCGGGCACCCCGAGGGCAGGGGGCTCGGGGTCCCCTCCCTCAACTGGTACAAGGACAGCGACTTCAAAGCCTTCCTGGACCGCAACAGCTCCCAGCAGAGAGCCGCGGCTGCGGGCAGCGCCAGCAGTGAGCGGGCTGGGCACTGGAGGGGCTTGGGTGGGAGCTTGCTGGGCACAGCCCCCTGGGGGTGACTGGGTGGCTCGGTGGGGGGAACTGGTGGGGAGGGCTCGGCTCTGCCCCCACCCCCAGGTCCCTTCTGCCGAGAGCTGGTCCGCAGCCTGGAGTCCAGCCCCATTTCACGGATCTTCTGGCGGAGCATCAAGCCCCTCTTTGTGGGGAAGATCCTGTACACGCCGCCCGGCCCCGGCCCCGACAGCATCATGGCCGAGGTGAGCAGGGGGCTGTGGGGGGGGTTCGAGGGGGCTCACCCCGGCCCTGCCTCACGCCCCACCTCGCGCAGGTGAACCGGACCTTCCAGGAGCTGGCAGTGCTGGGGGAGGTGGGGGGTGCCTGGAGGGAGCTGGGACCCCACATCTACGCCTTCCTCAACGACAGCCTGGAGATGCGGATCCTCCGGGTGCGTGACCCCCAGACCCTCTCCCCATCGGGGACAGGGGTGCAGTGGGAGGCAGCTGGGGCTCCTGGCTGGGAGCAGGGTGTGGGGGGGGCTGCATCGCCCTGCAGTACCCTGGTGCTTTGCAGGACATGCTGCTGGCCCCGGGGACGGCCCAGATCCTCGACGGGTTCCTCAACGGCAGCTCCTGGAAGGTGCAGGCGCTGGCCGGGTTCCTGGCGGGGCCAGCGGCGGGGCCGGGGCTCACCTGGCACCGGGTGTACACCGATGCCGACGCGGTGCTGAGCACACTGTCACAGCTCACCGAGGTGCGTGTCGTGGTGGACGGGTGGGCTGGCTCCCCGGGCCCCCCCACCCTGAACCCTGCCTGCGCTGCCCGCAGTGTGTCTGCCTGGACAAGATCGAGGCGGTGGCCACTGAGGAGCGGCTGGTGGCCCGGGCCCTGGAGCTGCTGGAGGAGCAGCAGTTCTGGGCAGCTGTGGTCTTCCAGCCCCCCACCAATGCCACAGCCCCCACGCTGCCCCCCCACGTCCGCTACAAGATCCGCATGGACATCGACGACGTGGCAAGGACCGATGAGATCACGGACAGGTCGGGGGACGTTTGCTCCTCCAGTGTCCACAACCACCCGAGCAGCCTGTGCCCGTGGCGGGAGGTCCCCCCACCCAGCACCGTGCTCTACCCCCAGGTTTTGGGACCCGGGCCCCGCAGCCGACCCCTTCAGTGACTTGCTCTACGTGTGGGGGGGGTTCGTCTACGTGCAGGACCTGGTGGAGCAGGCGGTGGTGCGGGTGCAGACCGGGGCTGCCCCGCGGACAGGCATCTACATCCAGCAAATGCCCTACCCCTGCTACGTGGATGACGTGTGAGTGGGTGGCGGGGGGCAGCATCAGCCCCGCCAAACCCTCAAGTGCCCTGCTGCTGTGGGGGACAGGGCTGAGCACCCGGCAGCATCGCTGCCCCAGGGAGGTGGCCCAGGGGTGCTCCGTGCCCCGGGTGGCTCCTGCCCGGTGGTGGCCCGGGGGTGTCAGGCGGGTGCTGGAAGGCTGGTGCCACCTCCCCAGGTTCCTGCGGGTCCTAAACCGCTCGCTGCCCCTCTTCATGACGCTGGCCTGGATCTACTCAGTGGCCATGATCATCAAGGGGGTGGTGCACGAGAAGGAGACGCGTCTCAAGGAGACCATGAAGACCATGGGGCTGAGCAGTGGCATCCTCTGGCTCAGCTGGTTCCTTAGCAGCTTCATCCCCTTCCTCCTCAGCTCTGCCCTCCTCGTCCTCATCCTCAAGGCAGGTTGCAGGGCACAGGGGACAGCGTGAGTGACACGGGGAGCATCAGGCTCCAACCTGCCTCTATCTGCAGCTGGGAAACATCCTGCCCTACAGCGACCCGGCCGTCATCTTCCTCTTCCTCAGCACCTTCTCGGTGGCCACCATCAGCCAGTGCTTCCTCATCAGCACCTTCTTCCTCCGTGCCAACCTGGCCTCGGCTTGTGGTGGCATCATCTACTTCTCCCTGTACCTGCCCTACGTGCTGTGCGTCGCCTGGCGCAACCACATCACCTTCCCGCTCCGCATCCTCGTGGTGAGCACCCCTCGGGTGTGCTGGGCGGGGGCCTTTGGGGCTGGACCCCCCCCAGGCTGGTCTTTGTGCCCACGCTGCTGTTCTTGCTGCCACCAGAGCCTGCTGTCTCCAGTGGCCTTCGGCTTCGGTTGTGAGTACTTCTCCCTCTATGAGGAGCAGGGGGTGGGCATCCAGTGGCACAACCTGGGTGCCAGCCCCGTGCCAGGAGACCCCTACAACTTCGCCACGGCCATGGGGCTGCTGCTGCTGGACGCCGGCCTCTACGGCCTGGCCACCTGGTACGTCGAGGGTGTTTTCCCAGGTAAGCACAGCCCCCGCAGCCCTGGCAGCCCCCCCAGCCCCAGCCCCCCTCATCCCCCATCTGCTACAGGTCAGTACGGCATCCCCAAGCCCTGGAATTTCCCTTTCCTGAAGAGCTACTGGCTTGGAGAACCATCCTCAGCCGGGTACCCCCCGTACCCCACCAGCCCTCTCACTGCGCCCCAAGGTGAGCCCCCCGCCCACCCCGGAGCCTCATGGCTGAAGGGCAGCGGCCATGGAGCTGGGTTTGAGCCCTCCGTGGCGGGGGGTCCTGCCCAAGACGTGACCCTCTGGTGGCTTCCAGTGCTGGTGGAGGAGCCACCCGCCCAGCTCCAGCCCGGCGTCTCCATCCGCAACCTGGTGAAGATTTACCACAACAGCCGCGTGGCCGTCGATGGGCTGAGCCTGGACTTCTACGAGGGGCAGATCACCTCCTTCCTGGGCCACAACGGGGCTGGCAAGACCACCACCATGTGAGCTGGGGGGTCAGGGGCTGGCTGGGGGGGGCTGTGTGGCCACGGGCAGGGGCAGGACCTGAGCCTGGCTCTGCCCTGGCGCTGTCCCCACCTGGGTCCCCACGAGGCCGGGCTCTGAGCACCCCACCTAGAACGGGGCACCCCAGCCCTGAGCCCCCCTGGTCCTGCACTCTGTGACCCCCATTCTCCCCCGGTCCCCCCCTCCAGGTCCATCCTGACCGGCCTCCTGACCCCCACCGCCGGCACTGCCTATATCCTGGGCTGGGACATCCGCTCCGATATCGACAGCATCCGCAAAACCATGGGGACCTGTCCCCAGCACAACGTGCTCTTCGACATGTAGGCAGGGGCAGGGCGGGCGGGGGGGGGGGGGCAGCGCCAGGGTGCTGCCCAGCTCACCCCCACCCACCCCAGCCTGACGGTGGAGGAGCACATCTGGTTCTATGGGCGGCTGAAGGGGCTGTCGGAGGAGCGGGTGCGGGCGGAGATGGAGCAGCTGATCCAGGACACGGGGCTCCCCCACAAGCGCCAGGAGCAGACCAGGAACCTCTCAGGTGCGTGTGGAGGGGGCAGTACCGGCACCGGGATGGGGGGGTCCGCAGCCCCGGGCCCCCCCCCCAACGCCATCCCTGCTGCCCCGCAGGCGGGATGCAGCGGAAGCTCTCGGTGGCCATCGCCTTCGTGGGTGGGTCCCGGGTGGTGGTCCTGGACGAGCCCACGGCCGGCGTTGACCCCTACTCCCGCCGCAGCATCTGGGAGCTGCTGCTCAAGTACCGCAAAGGTCAGGGCTGGGGGGACCCCACTTCCCCCCCCTTGCGCTTCTGAGCCCCCCAGCTGTGGTGAACCAGCAGCAGGGCCCGTGGGGCGAGTGGGGAGATGTGCTGGTGGGGAGATGACCACAAAGGGGTTGGGGGTCCAGCCTGCTGTCTGCCCCCCAGGCCGCACCATCATCCTGTCCACCCACTACATGGACGAGGCGGAGCTGCTGGGGGACCGCACGGCCATCATCGCGCGGGGCCGGCTCTGCTGCTGCGGGTCCCCACTCTTCCTCAAGGCCAGGCTGGGCACTGGCTACCACCTCACCCTGGTGAAGCGGGAGGGGGCCGGGACGGGTGGCAGCACCGGCCCTGACACCACCAAAAAGGTGGGCTCCTTCACCCCACTGAGCATCAGCCAAGAGAGTGGCCGGTGCCTCCACCCTGGGTATTGGGGAAGGGGTGCTGAGCCCTGGGCTTGGGGCCAGATCCTGCCACGGGGTGCCAGGCTCCCGACACCCTTTCCCACAGGACAGCAGCGACACGGGCCTGGGCAGCGAGGCCAGCGCCGTGGGTGAGGGTCCCGTCCCTCCCCCTGCCCTCAGCACAGCATCACCCCCTGGGTGCTCCCCACATATCCCCTGGGGCCCCGGGGGTGCGTTCAGCCCCACACCCTGCCCCACTGCCCGCTCTCAGCCCCCCTGCACTAGTGGGGCAGACGGGGGTCCCTGCCCTCCCAGTCCCTTCCAGCCCCCTGGGGACCCTCAGACTGGGATGCAGGGCACATGCCCGCTTTGGCCAGCTCCTGCACCAGTGCTGGCTCCTGTCCTGGGTTTCCAGCCCCCCCGGTCCCCCCAGATGTGACCCAGCTGTCGGCGCTGATCCAGAACCTGGTCCCCGGCTCCCGGCTGGTGGAGGACATCGGGCACGAGGTGATCTTTGTCCTGCCCTACGGCGGGGCTAAGGATGGGGCCTTCGGGGACCTGTTCCGCGAGCTGGACGCCCGCCTTGGGGATCTGGGCATCTCCAGCTACGGCATCTCTGACACCACCCTGGAAGAGGTACCTGGAGGAGCTGCGGCTGGGGGGCTGCTTGCAGTTCCCGGGGTGCCCACCCCCCCCGAGCTCTGCCGGGGGGATTTTCCTCACCTGGAGGTGGTCACTGGGGGCCGTGTTTAATGCCAGCCCCCTCCCATCCTCAGATCTTTCTGAAGGTGGTCCATGACATGGGGGTGGACGCTGACATGGCAGGTAAAACACCTCGGTGCTGGCTGGAGCTGAGCATCGGGGTGCTGGGGTGCAGTGGGGGGCAGGCTGGGGAGAGATGCTCCATAGCCCAGAGCAGAGGGGCGCAGGTGTCCCCAGCACCCCGTGTGGCCCTCGCCCTCCCCAGGGCTGGGGTCCCCCCTGAGAGCGCCCATGGGTGCAGGGGGGTATCATAGGCTCTGGCCTCAGTCCCACCCTGGTGCTCTCACCCCTGTTTTGCCAGGCTCCAGGAGCGGAGCGGCCCCCAGTGAGGGGGGAGACATGGAAGCAGCCAACGGGGAGCTGGGTAAGGAGTGGGGAGCTGAGACCTGGGACCCCCGAGCTGCTGGGTGCTCCCTGCCTTCACCCCCTGGGCTGGGGCTGGGGCACGTGTCCCTCCGGACAGACACACATCCCTCTGGACACATGTCCCTCTGGGTGGGCAGCAGGTGGGGGGGGCTCAGTCACAAGGACGTCCCCCAGGACGTTGGCAGGGTGTCAAGTGGGGGTGGGGGTGGGTTTGGGGGAGCCCAGCTCTGGGCAGGGATTGGGATGGGACGTGAAATCCCAGGGGATGTATCCAGGCCCCTTCTCCTGGAGATGGAGCTGGTGTGGGGGCAGCTTCAGGAGTCTGGGGGGGGGCTGTGATACTTTGGGGAGCTGGCTCTGCCCTGGGTCAATGCTATCCCTGGTTGGGCACGTGCTGGCATGGCTATAATCCCTCTTTCCTCTCCTTTACACTGATCCCAAGGAGCCCGGCGAGGTAGGAGCTGGGGGGCTCCCGTTGCATCCCTGCATGCAGCACCCCATCCCCAACGAGGTGGGGGGACACCCCTGCCAGCACCCTGTCCCCCCACATGCCACCCAACACGAGCCCCTGCCCCTCGTCGCCAGCCCTTGCAGCGGAGGAGCCCCAGGAGACAGAGCTGCTGCGGGGGGCCGGCGGGCAGGCCTGTGGCAGGGTGAGGGGCTGGGCACTTCCCCGCCAGCAGCTCCGCGCCCTCTTCATCAAGAGGATGCTCCACGCCCGGCGCAGCACCCGGGGCTGTTTCGCGCAGGTAGGGCCTGGGGGATGGGGCTGTGGTGGGGAGGGGATGGGGCAGGAGGGTGCAGAGCCCTCCCTGACCCCCGGCCCCCCCGCAGATCATCCTGCCCGCCGTCTTCGTCTGCATCGCGCTGCTCTTCAGCCTCATCGTGCCGCCCTTTGGGAAGTACCCGCCGCTGCACCTCCAGCCCTGGATGTACAGGCAGCAGTTCACCTTCTTCAGGTGTGTCCCCATCCCTCTGTCCCCGCCATATCCCTCCATCCCGCACTGCCACCCCCTCACTCCCGCATCTCCCGGCAGCAACGATGCCCCGGGGGACCCCGACACGGCTCGGCTCCTGGCCGCACTGCTGGCCGAGCCGGGCTTCGGCACCAAGTGCATGAAGGATGCTGGAGAGGCGTGAGTGCCTGCGCCCGGGGGGGCTGGGGGGGGGGGGGACTTGGCTCCTGCCTCGGTGCCCACCTGCCCCCCTGGGAGCCGCCCTGCCAGCCAGTGCAATGCTCTGGGACCCCCCAACCATCCCCTGGGGAGGGGTCTCGATGCCTCTGGCTCACACCAGGCTGCTGACGGGGGTCTCTCTCCCCCCACGGTGCCGGGTGCCCAGGACGGGGCCGTGCCCACCAGCTTCCCACCCTGATGGCTTCAGGGCCCCCCCAGCCCCCCCGGCGGTGCTGGAAGTTCTGCGGCGCGGGAACTGGACGCAGGCTGAGCCGTCCCCCCCCTGCCAGTGCAGCAGGCCGGGGGCTAACAGGATGCTGCCCGACTGCCCCGAGGGGGCCGGGGGGCTCCCGCCACCCCAGGTAACCCCCAGCCCACAGTGGGGCCGGCCCCGGGGCACCGGCGGTGCTGGGAGCGGGTGCAGGTAATGCTCCGGGGAGGCCAGCGGGGCTGTGTGTCCATGCAGCCCATCTGTCCGTCTCCTCAGGTGCAAAGGGGCACAGGCGACGTCCTGCAGAACCTGACGGGCAGGAACATCTCAGACTACCTGGTGAAGACCTACCCCCAGATCATCCGCCGGGCGTGAGTGCTGGGGCTGGGGAAACCGCGGGGATGCTGCGGGGTGCTGCAGGATGCTGTGGGATGCTGCGGGGTGCTGTAGGATGGTGCAGGGTGCTGCAAGGTGCTGTGGGATGCTGCGGGATGCTGTGGAGATGCTGCAGGGTGCTGTGGGGACACCATGGGGATGCTGTGGACCAAGCCCAGCCAGGGCCGGAGGCAGCACGGGCACCCCAGGGCAAGGGGGAACTGCTGGGGCACTCGTGACCGAGCATGCGGGCGCTGCTGCAACGTATCCTTGGGGGTATTTCGACACCCCCCTCGCCATTTCTTTCAGGCTGAGGAGCAAGAAGTGGGTGAATGAGCAGAGGTGAGCACAGGGAAGGGCTGGGGTCTCGTGTAGGTGGGCTGGGGGGGGCAGGAGCAGAGCCCGAGCGATCTGCGGGCAGAGCCGCCATCCGCGTGGCCTCAGCCCTCCGCTGTGTGCCCCTCGCCGTGGCGTCTGGGCGGGTGGAGGGTTGGGTTTGGGCCGGGGTGGCGGCGGAGAATGAGCGTCAGGTTTGGCAGTGCCCGTCTCTCCCTGCAGGTACGGTGGCTTTTCACTGGGTGCCGGTGGCTCCCAGGCCCTGCTGTCAGCGGCGGAGGTGGACAAGGCGGTGCTGGAGCTCCGGGCGCTGTTCAACGTCACCCCGGTACGGCTGGGGCTCTGCCCCCCCGGCGCTGGGATGGCTCTGCCCCCAGCCTGCCCCTCACCCTGTGTCCCTCGCCCAGGGCAGCTCCTTGGACCAGCTCCTGGGCAACCTCGGCCGCTTCATCGAGGGCTTGGACGCTCGCAGGAACATCAAGGTGCGCCCAGAGCCGGGGGTCCCGCAGGGGCGAGCACTGGGAGGCAGCGGGGGACGTGGCACCAGGGTCCCCATCCGGGATTGGAGGAGGACTGAGCCCCATGGGGAGCGGGGTACTGTGTGCGCAGCCGGCAGCGGTGCTGGCGTGGGAGGGGGAGCTCTGAGCCGCTGGGGTCCCCTGTTGTGCAGGTCTGGTTCAACAATAAGGGCTGGCACGCCATGGTCTCCTTCGTCAATGTGGCCAACAACGGGCTGCTGCGTGCCCGGCTGCCCGCCGGGACTGACCCCACGCTCTACGGCATCACGGCCACCAACCACCCCCTCAACCTCACCAAGGAGCAGCTCTCGGAGGCCGCCCTGTGAGTGCCCGGGGGGCCAGGGGGCCCTCGGGGCCCGTCCCCACCCCCAGCTGAGCCCTCCCTTCATTGCAGGATGGCCACCTCGGTGGACGTGCTGGTCTCCATCTGCGTGATCTTCGCCATGTCCTTCGTCCCGGCCAGCTTCGTGCTCTTCCTCATCGAGGAGCGGGTCAGCAAGGCCAAGCACCTGCAGTTCGTCAGCGGGATGAAGCCCATTACCTACTGGCTGGGCAACTTCGCCTGGGACATGGTGCGGGATGGGGATGGGGACGGGGTACAGCTCCTGGGGGCGGGGCTGGGTCCCACTCATGACCCCCTCCCCGGCTTCTCCGTGCCTGCAGTGCAACTACGTGGTCCCTGCGCTGCTGGTCGTCCTCATCTTCCTCTGCTTCCAGCAGAAGTCCTACGTGTCCTCTGCCAACCTGCCCGCCCTGGTGCTGCTGCTGCTGCTCTACGGGTGAAGGGCCGGTGGAGCCCAGCTGGGGCTCAGCCCCCCTCGGGGCTGGACCCTGGGGAAGTGGGGGGGGACAGGGGGCTCTGCGCGGGTCTGGGGGCAGCCCTGGCTCCGGGGCTTGCAGCGATGGGGGGTGCGTGCCGTGCCCCCTGGGATGGGAGGTGCGCCTTGGCCAGCCCCTGCCTCTCTGCCCCTCCAGCTGGTCCATCACCCCCCTGATGTACCCGGCCTCCTTCCTCTTCAGCATCCCCAGCACCGCCTATGTGGCCCTGACCTGCATCAACCTCTTCATCGGCATCAACGGCAGCGTGGCCACCTTCGTGCTGGAGCTCTTTGTAGACCAGGTGAGCCCCCCAGCTGCCCCAGACCCCCCTCCTGGCCCTGTGGGGCTGGCACCAGCTCCCCCACCCCTCTCCTCACGGCCCTGGCAGAACCTCAACAACGTCAACCGCGTCCTGAAGAAACTTTTCCTCATCTTCCCCCACTTCTGCCTGGGTCGAGGCCTCATTGACATGGTGAAGAACCAGGCAATGGCTGATGCCTTCGAGAGGTTTGGTGAGTCTGAGGGTATCGGGGCTGCTCCCCCTCCCCAAAGCCAGGCCAGTGTGTGGCCCCCATGGTGTCCCCCCTCCTCTATCCCCTCTTGCTGCTCTCAGGGGACAGGCGCTTCGTGTCCCCCCTGTCCTGGGACCTGGTAGGGAAGAACATGTTCGCCATGGCCATTGAGGGTGTCATCTTCTTCCTCTTCACCCTCCTGTTGCAATACCGCTTCTTCCTGCGGCTCGGGTGAGGACTGGCCGTGGGGCGGCCGTGGGGCAGCTGTGGGGTGGGCAGCCCTGGAAATGCTCCTGCCGCTGTTGCCTCCAGGCCACGGGCTCTGCAACTTCCCTCGCTGGGGGAGGAGGACCAAGACGTGGCCAGGGAGCGGGCGAGGGTGGGCAGCACCCCCCCGCATGACCACCTCCTGCTGTTGAAGGACCTGACCAAGGTGCGTGCCGTGAGGCCAGACCCTGCCCCATCCCTCGCCGTGGGGCCAGACCCTGCCCCGTCCCTTGCTGTGGGGCTCTGGTCCCTCCCATAGCTCCCAGTCTCGCCGGCGGGTGATGGTTGGGGAGCACCCAGCGCCGCCTTGGCTCTGCCGTGCAGGTGTACCGGCGCGGGAAGGCTCCAGCAGTGGACCGGCTCTGCGTGGCCATCCCCCCCGGGGAGGTGAGTGCCAGACAGACGGACAGACGGTGCTGTGGGCAGGGCCGGGGCTGCCAGTAACCCCAGTCTGCTGCCCACAGTGCTTCGGCCTCCTGGGGGTGAATGGTGCGGGGAAGACCTCCACCTTCGCGATGCTGACGGGGGACACGGAGGTGACGCTGGGGGAGGCCTGGCTGAAAGGGCACAGGTGGGCGAGATGGGGGGGGGGGGACCCCGCAGCCCCCCCGTCCGTGTCCCCACAGCACGCGTGCTGTCCTCCCCGTCCCCGCCCTCTGCTCCTCCTTGCCTTCGTCCCTGCAGCACGCTTGCGCTCGGCTGCACCCTCATCCTCCTCATCCCTGCAGCGTGGCTCATCCCTGTTCCCGCAGCGTGCTCGGCCTCGGCCGCGTCCCTGGAGCTTGTCCCCCCCGTCCCCGCCGCGTGCTCAGCTGTGTCCCCGTCCCTGCAGCGTGCTCACCGACCTCCAGTCCGTCCACCAGCACATGGGTTACTGCCCCCAGTTTGACGCCATCACGGACCTGCTGACGGGGCGGGAGCACCTGGAGTTTTACAGCCGCCTGCGCGGCGTGCCGGAGGAGGAGACCCCCAGGGTAGGGCCTGCGCCTCAAGCCCCCCCAAACCCAGGGGACCCCCCCCACCCTCATCCCCTCGGCATCTCTCGCAGGTGGCTCAGTGGGGCATCGCCAAGCTGGGGCTGGGGCCGCACGCGGACCAGCCGGCAGGCAAGTACAGCGGGGGCAACAAGCGCAAGCTCTCCACAGCCATAGCCCTCCTCGGCTCCCCGCCCGTTGTTTTTCTGGTGAGTGGGGGCAGTGGGGGGGGTCCCATGGCAGCCCCTGCCCCTGGCCCAGGCTGATGCCGCTGCCGGGGCCGGTGCAGGATGAGCCCACGACGGGGATGGACCCGCGAGCCCGGCGGTTCCTGTGGGATTGCATCCTCAGCGTCATCCGCGAGGGATGCTCCGTGGTGCTCACGTCCCACAGGTGAGTGTGGCACCCCCCGAGGGGAGTACCCTTTGCCCCCCCCAGAACCCCCCTCTGCCCCCCTGAACCCTCCTGAAGGGAGCACCCTCTGCCCCAACAGAACCCCCCAAGGGGAGCACCCCATTGTCCCCGCTGACCCCCCCGAGGGGAGCACCCCCTGCCCCCATGGAACCCCCCTGAGGGCCACACCCTCTGCCCCTGTGGATCCCCCCAAGGGGAGCACCCCCTGCCCCCGCTGACCCCCCTGAGGGGTGCACCCCCTGCTCCCCAGGGCCTGACACCCACCCCCCACCCCCGCTGACCCCCCTGAGGGGTGCACCCCCTGCTCCGTGGGGCCTGACACCCACCCCCTGCCCCTGCTGACCCCCCTGAGGGGTGCACCCCCTGCCCCCGCTGACCCCCCCGAGGGGTGCACCCCCTGCCCCGCGGGGCCTGACGCCCACCCCCCGGCAGCATGGAGGAGTGTGAGGCGCTGTGCACCAGGATGGCCATCATGGTCAACGGCCGGTTCCGCTGCCTGGGCAGCGTCCAGCACCTCAAGAACAGGTACCGGGGGGGGGGGGGGTGTCCGGCAGTGCGGGGCGGCCACCCTGCGGGGACAGGGACCCGGGTGGTCCCTGCCGTGACACCCCCCACATAGGTTTGGGGATGGCTACACCGTGACGGTGAGGGTGGGGGGCCCCGGGCCCGCACCGGTGGAGACCCTGATGCGGAGCCGCTTCCCCGGCATCGTGCTGAAGGAGCGGCACGGGGGGCTGCTGCAGTACCAGCTCCCCCCCCGCGCTGGCTCCCTGGCCAGCGTCTTCAGCCTCCTGGCAGCCCACCGCGGCCCCTGCCACATCGAGGACTACTCCGTGTCCCAGACCACCCTCGACCAGGTGACGGGGGCGACCCCGGGTGCGGGGGCCAAGGTCCCGCCGGCACTGCCCCTCACCCTGCTCTTCCCGCAGGTCTTCGTGCACTTTGCCAGAGAGCAGAGCGATGAGCACCCCGGGGGGGGCTCGGCCCCAGGGCAGGATGAGGCCCCCAGCCCCGGGGTGGGGCTGACACCACTGTCGGAGGATGACAGCTACCAGGAGAGCGCTGTCTGAGCAGGGCCGTGGTGCCCCACGGACCCCCCCCCACAGCCGTCACCCCAGCACGACCCGGGGTCCTGGCACTTCTGGCCACCCCAGGCCCCCTGAGCTGCAGGGGGGGGCTTGGCCGCATCCTGCCCCCCAGCACAGGGCTACCATCCCCACGGGACTGGGTGCTGGGGGGGGGTCAGAGCACCCAGGCAGGGCTGGCCCCTGCTCTCCCCCGGCAGGTTTGTACCCTCTGGGGGCTGTTGGACACAGGAGTGGGGTCTGTCCTGGGCCTCCCCCCTGCCTTGGGCAGAGCCGGATGCTGGGGGTGGCCCTGGGTCCCCCAGCTGCGCGTCACCCGAGCAGAGCCCACTGTAAAAGTGCAATTAAATAAAGACTCGCAGTACTGCTGGGGGGGCTGGGGCACCTGTGCATCGCTGCCGCCTCAATGGGGGACGGGGGGCAGAGCGGGATGGGGGGCACAGCGGCATGGCCCTTGCACGGGGGGGCACAGCAGCCAGCGTGGTCCCCTGCCACCCCACAGCCCCTTCCCTGAGGTTCCCTGAAGGTCAGCCAGGGTCTTCCTCACCCTGGGTGGTCCCTGGCTGGGGGTCCCTGCCCACCACCCTCCCTGGGGCTCCTTCCTCTCCCCCTCCGGGGTGCCCCAGCTCAGGGCACAGGTCTCCCCCCCTCAGCTGGGTGTTCCCTTGGGGTCTGCACTGCCCAGGGACCCGAGCATGACTGGTCTGAGCCCCCCGGGCTGAGCGGTGTGAAAGTTTTGGGGTGCCTGTCCCCTCCCTCACCACTGAGACCTCTCTCCTATGGTGGTGAGAGGCGGGGGGGGCACAGACCTTCCCCACGGGGCCGCGCCTGGGGCTCCCCCTGAGCGGGGCTGGCACAGCCCTAGGCACGGGGTACCCCCGGCACGGGGCGGGGGCCCAAAAGGGTCCACCAGGGGCGGGGTTGCGATTGTCCTGAATTTAAAAAAAAAAAAAAAAAAAAAGAAAAATATGGAACGCTTCACGAATTTGCGTGTCATCCTTGCGCAGGGGCCATGCTAATCTTCTCTGTATCGTTCCAATTTTAGTATATGTGCTGCCGAAGCGAGCACGAATCACGGTCTGCCCGAGGCAGTATTTATACCACTTCTACATGATAGTTTTTGAAGTCATGGTGATATTCTTTCTTAGTCTTCAGCGCCTGTCCTATTAACGTGATACCCCCAAGAGGTGTCCATCCGTTTAAATACTCAAAATCCTCCTTTTTTTGTCAGAAAACTTGGCTTTTCTGAGGCTGCTTTGCCGTACTTTGCGGCCGGCCACTCGCGGTGCATTGCGGGAGGGCCCCTACTTTGCATGGCGGGGCGGGGCCGAGTCCCGTCCTCCACCGTCCCAGAGTTCCCCGGTGCCGCCGGCGCAGGCGCGTTGCCGCAGCCGTCGGTGCCGGTGGGGGAAGATGGCGGCGGGGCGGTGAGGGGCCGGATCGGCTCCGCACCGCGCCGGCCGAGGAGCCCCGTCCCGCCCCGGTGACGGATCTCCCATGGCCGCGGGGCCGGCCCAGGAGCCGCGTCCCCGCTGGGCCTCCTCGGGTCGCGCCGCTGCCGCGGCCCGCTGACCCCCGGGGCCTGGCGCGGGCCCCGCCGGGCCTGACTCGGTCGCCGCTCCGGAGGCCGGTTCCGCGGCCGCGACCCCTGAGGGGAGCGGGACGAGGTCAGCGCCCGCCCCGAGCGGGCCCCGGCACGGGGCCTCCCCCCGGCCTCTCGAAGGCAGCGCTCGGCGCTCTTCCCGCGTCCCCTCCGCAGCGGCCGCCCGGCCCCGGGTCCGCTCCGCGGAGGAGGAGCGGCTGCCCCGGCCCGGGCCGGCATCGCCAGCGCCCCTCGGTTCCCGGCCACAGGCGTCAGGATGTCCGAGAACCAGCCGAACGCCAACAACCACCACCCGGGCAACAACAACGGGGGCGGCGGGGCTGCCGGGGGCAACAACCGCGGCGTCCGGAACCCCAACCTCAACCAGAACCCCTTGATCAATGTGCGCGATCGCCTCTTCCACGCGCTCTTTTTCAAGATGGCAGTGACCTACGCTCGCCTCTTCCCGCCCTCCTTCCGCCGTGTCTTCGAGTTCTTTGTCCTCCTCAAGGTGAGGGGCAGCTTTACGGGGGCTTTCTGGGGAGGAGCGGACGCTTCTCTTGCTAGCCTGCAGGCAGGTGCTAAGGCATAAATTCCCTTATAAAAAAGCTTGTCTCTGCTAGAGGTCACGGCCTGTGTTTGGGTCACCTGCCCCGAGCTGTCCGTTGAGCTCCCGTGGGCCACTCTTCTGTGAAAAACACGTGAATAGTTGTAACGGTCTGCGGTGGTCCCCGCACCATCAGAGCTCTGGTACCAGATCTGGAAATAAAGAGTCACTGAGCCAGCTCGTGGGGCAGCCAGGCCGCCATGGGTCAGGTCCAGAGATGAGGGTGTGAAAGATTTATATTTCTGTGTCCAAGAAATCACTGTTTTTGGGTACATTGCATACGTGAGATATTTGATTGTTGGAATCTTGTCAAAGTGATTAACGCACAACCCTTTTTTAACCCCATTTCTTTTTAGCAGTCAGCACCCTCAGCTGTGCCTGCACAGTATCACACCTAACAGGGTGAAAACCTGCCTGCGTTCTTGTTGATGTTGGTGCAGGATTGGAGACCCACCAAGGGGCCTGTTGATGTCTGTGGGGTGAACTGTCCATGGGTTAAATCCTGCACAGCGGCTTCCCAGGAGCACGCTGACACTTCTCAGCAGCGCCAGGACGGGAAATCAGAGTAAGGGGAAGCAGGAAGAGGAGCTTGCCGGGTGGCAACAGCGTGCTTCTGCTCTCAGTTTCTAAAGTTCAGCTGCTTAAAGCAAGAAAACATTTATGACAACTTGTCTCATACTGCACATATACATTTTTTTCCCTCCCAAGAAACGTTCAAGGTTTTAACTTTTTTTTTTTTTTTTTTCCTGTTGTATAACTGGATTCAAGCAGACAGGGAGACTGGAAAGGGGACAGTGCTGATGGCGAGGCTGTCGGGCAGAGCAGGGGGTCTGTCTGGCAGCGGTTCTTGCTGCTGTCCGCTGTTGATCAGGCAGGGAAGCAGGAGCGTTCACGGGGCATCTGCTCCCGCCCGCAGGGTCAGGGTCAGCCAGGCTCCAGCCTGCTCTGGGCACAGGGTATTGGTGGGAGGTGAAGTGGGACACTGGTCCTGCACGCCGCTGTTCACAGGGGCCTGAAACTGCTCGTGGTTCTGCTGACTTCATCGTGGCTCCTCCTGCCATGAGGGAGGTGTTTCTGATTTACCTTCCCTGGCGCCTTCCTATGCAGCTCCTCTGCAGATGAGATGTTTACCAGTCTGTTTATTCATAGCAAATAGGTCAAGAGCGATACGTAGCAAGGACAGCTAGTTTAATTAGGAATGAACATCTTAATGCAGTTGGAAAATGAGCGGAACTCGGCTGTACTGCTTACTGTACCAGCGCTTCTCAGGGCGTTCAGCTGTGAACTTTGGACAGCGTTGGGTAACATTGTGCTAGATTTACTATCTTCACTATAGGCAACAGATTTTATTAGTCCACTTTGTTCTGTTGTGGCTTTATAGCTGTTAATTGGAATGAGCCAGGGCAAGGGAGTGGTGGAGCTCCGTGAGCCCAGCTCCAGCAGCTCGACCTCCGCCGTGGCAGAGTCTGCAGCTCGCAGTGGCCAGTGGCACGTCTGAACGCGGAGCTGGTGGTTCTGCTGGCAGCTTGAGTTGTCCTGCTCATGTGGTGGGTTGTCGGTTGTTGAGGTTTGCTTTATTCTGCCTTTGTAAAGGTGGGCAGTCTTCTCCAGGCTTCAACAGGAAATGCTTTGTGCTGGGGAGGGAATGGTTGAACACCACGGATGTGTCTGTTTCTTTCCACGTGCTCTGGAGCCTCACCGCGCGTTGGTGCTGTGTTTGGTCAGTTTGCCTGTGGTGCCGTCGCTCTGGGGATGGCGGTGGGGCCTGTGCTTTCAGCAGGACATGTGTACTGCACAGGTATCAGTGGCAGCTCTGGTCTTGTGAACAAGAGGAGATTGTCCTTGCTGCTGTCTTTGTTGTGTTCCCCTGTTGATACAGTGCTGAAGTTACCTGAATCTGAGCTGCTTTATTGTTGATGCGGAGATCACCGGGGCTGCAAAGCATTAAAGCTCTCGTCCACTTGTGAATCCATTTGTCCAAATTAATCCGATGTCTTCATGGGCAAAGAAGAGATAGTTAAAACGGGGGAGCGTGTAAACAGGCCAAGGATGGTTGGGCTGATGGTCTCTGCTTTGTTTCTTGCTCTGTGTAGGCTCTCTTTGTGCTCTTTATCCTGGCTTACATTCACATCGCCTTCTCCCGCTCGCCCATTAACTGCCTGGAGCACGTGCGAGATAAATGGCCACGCGATGGCATCTTGCGGGTGGAAATACAGCGCAACTCGAGCCGAGCCCCCATCTTCCTGCAGTTCTGTGGTGTTGAGAAGTTCCCAGGAGTGGTGGTTGAATCCACAACTGAGGAAGAGGAGGAGGAAGAGGAGGAAATGACTGTGGATATGTTTGAAAACAGCTCTATCAAGGTAAACACGTATTCCCTCTGTACATAGGAGATGGGAACCTGGGTATTGGTTTGAGGAGAAATAAGCCATTTCACAGTCCTTCTGTGATCCCTCGGTCACCTGGAAACAGAGTGTGTTCCTTGGCTTTTCCTGAATTTCCATGTTAGTGTCTGATGGGTTAAGACAGAAATAAAGCCTGAGAAACTGGTGCCTCTCGTCCTGTTGGTGGTAAAGGCCTTCGCTGCGGGCACAGAGGGAGCACAGGAGACGGGACTCGAAGTGACTGCTAACATGACTTTCCCTGCCACGGTTTTCCAACAGTTTGAGCTGGATATTGAGCCCAAGGTGTTCCTCAAGCCATCCCGGGTGAGCAGTACTGAAGCACTGTCCCACAACGAAAGCCAGGAGTTCTCGTTTAGTGAAGCAGCCGCTAAAGGTATGCAGCCTCTGAGGGAGACTGTGTCCGAGTTTGAGATGCTAGCCAGAGCAGGTAAAGACAACTTACACTGCTGTCTGTGCTCTTCCCTTCCCCTGCCCCATGCATCTTCCCTGCACGTCTCATTCCTCCTGGCTTCTCTGGGCACATGCATAGTAACCTTAAATGTCTTCCCTGACGCATTCACCGGTGGTTAATATTATCAAACTAACAGTAGGTCCACAGCAAGATCTTTCCTGTGGCTGGAGGGAGGCTGCGAGTTGGGGGTTGTCTGGGCTATAAAATCTGCTGAAGTCTCCTGGTCTGGCATTGTCTTTCTGCAGTGATCTGTGCCACATATTTCAAATGAATGTGAACTTCCCTCTTCTGAGCAGTTCGCCATCTTTTTGAGACTATAGAATCGCAAACTGGTTTGGGTCTGAAGGGACTTCAAAGCCCACCCAGTCCCACCCCCCTGCCCTGGGCAGGGACCCCTTCCCCCAGCCCAGGGTGCTCCCAGCCCCGTCCAACCTGGCCTCGAACCCTTCCAGGGAGGGGGCAGCCACAGCTTCTCTGGTCACCCTGGGCCAGCACCTCACCCCCCGCACAGGGAAGGATTTTTTCCTTCTATCTAATCTAAATCTGCCCTCTGTCAGCTTAAAGCCATTACCCATTGTCTGTCCTCACCCTGCCTGACAAAGAGTCCCTCCCCACCTTGCCTGTCCCCCCTTTAAGCCCTGGGAGGCCGCTCGAAGGTCTCCCCAGAACCTTCTCTTCTCCAGGCTGAACCCCCCCAACTCTCTCAGCCTGGCCTCGCAGGGGAGTTGAGGTCTGCAAGGATCCCACTGACAGCGCACATTCCTCCTTGTATTTAACAGGGTTTGGGCTGTATTTTGTGTCCCTGAGTCAACACAAGTACTTGGAACAGCTAATTAATCCTGAAAGCCACTGAGCAAGTTTTAGTGGATTGCAAGATACAGCATTGCTGTTCTCCATTGTTCAGGATATCATCCTGCTTTATCCCTCCTCTTGTTCCAGCGTGACTTAAGCTCTCATAAACTCTAGAGGGAGTTTTAGTGGCTTTGTATTACTTAGAATGGAATTCCAGTGTTGGAAAACTTCTGTTTCTGGTGGTTAGGGGAGGAAATGTATTAAAGTATATTTATGTTAAAATAGAAACATGGCAATTAGATTCTTAGTTAATTTGCCTTTTTCACCTACACTTTTATCTTTGGAGCCACTGGAATTCTTTGCTCTTCAGAAGTACTGGTTGTTGTGGCTGAGGAGGATTGTGAGACTGGACACTGCAGTAGCACCGTTCCCTTGGTCTTGCAGTGGTTTTGCTTGATGCGGATCCAGAACTCATTAGTCCTAAGATCATTAAGTCACATAAGACTAGAAAGCAGTAAGTATTTTTGGTGCAGGACCTTTATTGACAGTTGCCTAAGTTCTGTAAGAGAGTCTCATTGTGCAGTGCTGTGTGCATGGATGGGCTGTTCCATGATGTGCTGAACACCTGGTTGGAAATAATCCAACAACATGGTGGGAGAGAGAATCGTGCTGCTTCCCAGTGTAGTTAAATTCATCTTTTAAAATGGGGTTTATTATTAATACCTGGGTTTATTGCTTTTTATTCCAGGTTTCTTCTGTTACAACTACACCAAATTTGATGTTTAGACAGAATATTTTACCATGGAAGAATGTTTATGATACAAAGGAAGTCATTCTTTTGTTGATATTTAAACACTATTTCCATTTGAGCTTAAAACAGTTTTATAATGGAAACAAAAGGTGAAACAAACACAGCAGCCTGTGTTTGCTGCCCAAGAAGTGGGATCAGAGGTGGTGAGGTGGGTATTTGTGTCAGTGGTGTGTTGCTGTAAGTCAGAAGAGTCAGGTCCATTCCTTTTAAGTTATTGTTTCCTTTTAACTTTGCTGCTGTGTTGTTGTGAGATGCCTGACAGCTGCCTCCCCTCCCCTCTTGCAAGATACACTGTGACAGCTTGAAAGATCAGGGATTAAATCAGTTGGCGCTGATTTAGCAGGAGGTTTTGTCCTTTCAGAGATGATGTAGCAACAAGCATCTATTTTGAACCTTTCTTCAAAAAAATAAAAAAATCAAGGAAACTTCAGACACCACCATTTTTTTTTTTTTGGAAAGCCATAATTGCTCCTGCCTTCAGTTTTGAGATTTGCAATTGCAGCATGGCCTCTGTCTCCTGAGAATTGCGGTGCTCTTGCCTTGTGGGGTGTTTACTTGGTGTTCAGCAGGTGTGTCCTGGTTTCAGCTAGGATAGAGCTCATTTTCCTTCTCAATAGCTATAGCTACAACAGTTCTGTGTTTTGGATTCATCATGGGATTTGGGATGAGAAGAATGTTGATAATGCAGTGATGTTTTCAGCTGTTGCTGAGACATCAAGGACTTTCCAACTCCCATGTCCTGCCTTTGCACAAGTACACAAGAAGCTGGGAGGGAGCAGAGCCAGAGCACCAGATCCAGATTGGCCAAGGGAATATTCCATATGTACAATGTCATGCTCAGTGTATAGATGGGGGTTAGCTGGGAAGCACGAGACGCTCTCTCCCAGGATTGTGGTTTGGGGATTTTCTCTTCTCCAGGATCACTAGCTGGGAATGGGCTGGACATCGGTCGGGGGGTGTTGAGCAATCACACTGTGCATCACTCGTTTGTATATTCTGTTATTACTATCATTATTACTTTTATTTTATTTCAATTATTAAATTGTTTTTATCTCAACCTACGAGTCTTCTTACCTTTACCCCTCCAATTCTTTCCCCCGTCCCTTGGGGAGGGCAAGTGAGTGGCTGCATGGTGTTTGCCTGCCAGCTGGGTTTAAACCACGACCAGGTATAAAGTGTTTTTTCCTCCTGTTTCCTGAGCAACATAGAAAGCAGAAATTGAACAGAGCAAGAACAAGAGCTCTGGGGCTCGCCAGGCAAAGATGTGGGCAGAGGCTCGACAGAGCTTGGAACGGCTGCCCTGAAGCTTTCCCAGAAGTTTCACATTAAGGACTAATGTCATGGGAATGGGCTGCAATTTCAAAGAATTTATATTGATTTGTTTTTAATTGAAAGAACCCTAGAGACTGTGTTTGCAACTGATTCTCTCTTCAGGAATGTGGTGGGAGGGAGGGAGGGAATCCAGGGGTGCTGATCCTTTTCGGTAATTGTTTGCAAGCCCTGCTGTTGAGTCTCCCTTCTCGCCCTCTCTTGCAGTGTGGCCGCAGGAAGAGTACATTGTGGAGTACTCGCTGGAGTACGGGTTCTTGCGCCTGTCCCAGAGCACTCGGCAGCGCCTCAGCATCCCGGTCATGGTGGTGACTTTGGGTGAGTGAGGGAGCCAGCCCGTGCTGGCGTGGGTGAGCGCTCTGCAGAGACACCTACGCGCCGCTTCCTCTTTAGTCTTGTGGAAACTATTTATATCAGGTGATGGCGCTCATTTTCCACGTAGGAGAGCTTCTTTGTGAAGTCTTTATTGCTTTAGTAGGTCGTACCTCTCTAAGAGGAGTAATGTGAAATGGTGGAGCCTGTTTCAGTGAGCCCTCACGTCATGTCCAGCACAGCTTCCTCATTGAGGAAGGAAGAGCCTCATGGTACTGAAGGTCTGAGCTCAGCACGGAGCAGCAGCGCGGCGTTAGAGCAACTGTGCGTGTGTCTGGGGCGATACTGAGCAGAGCTGCTTGGCGCTGGCTCTGCGTACTGTGCCCCTGTTAGCACCAGCAAACCATTTTCCTGGAACAGTGTTCTCTTCTGGCATTTGCTCCATTAAAAACTTTCCAAGTCAGGAATACAGTCTCAAACCTTATCATGCCTGTGAACTTAATTGGTCTGTAACGGGCTGTTAGTGCATCAGTCAGCCTAGATTTCATTCCTTACTCCTAATCAAACTGCAGTACATCTGGACTGGGGTATCAAGTGGTTATCCTGTATAGATAATGGGCAATTTCCATGTTAAATGTTGATTTACCAACCTGGGTTTTCCAATTCAGCTGGACAAATTCCTTCATGAGGATCCTAGTAATTTACTGAAAAGCTGTTTGTGTTTGTGCTTCGTTTTGCTTAGATTTGGGTTATTTTCACAAGCTGATGTACAGTAGAATGCAGCACCAACTTCATGAGATGACTTGAACAACCTCGTTAGTGCCCGGAGCCGTGGGGAGGCGGGTGGGGGTGGCAGGCCGGGCAGCATCGTGCGCAGGCCAGCTGATGGCTACAGAGCCTCAGCCTGGCCTCTGAGCCTTACCAGAACTTGTTTCTCTGGGCCATTAGTTGGGCTGAGCCTAAGGAGATTGTCCAAGCCTAGAAGGCAAATTCCCTTTATGTCTGTGCCAACAGAGGGTACGACAGCTCTGATGTAATTCTTGGGGCATGACTGACATCAGCTTTTTGACAGCATGGCCAGATCTGCCCAGGTGTGGCATTTTCCCTCCCAGTCCTGCCCAATTTTATTACATTGCCGAAGGTCCGAGCACAGACGCAGGCCCGTTGGCAGTTGTGTCCTGAGTGATGAGAAGATTGTGTGCTCGCCTTGCCGCCCCTGTGGCTTAAGGTATGAGCAATCTGAATGGGTTTCTGTCTTCTCTCTAGATCCTACCAGGGATCAGTGCTTTGGGGACAGGTTCAGTCGCCTACTGCTGGATGAGTTCCTGGGTTACGACGACATCCTGATGTCAAGTGTCAAAGCTCTAGCTGAAAATGAAGAAAACAAAGGTAAGGCTCGGAGGAATTGCTTTCAGCAGCTGTGCAGAGCAGTTGATGTTTTTTCTGTGGATGCATGAATATAATTTTCTGACTATTGATTAATCTTCAATGCAGAGCACAGTTCCCTGTGTTATGTAGAGATGTTATTGTCAAGGACAAAATGAATCGAGCCTGAAGGGAAGAGGTGTCTGCAAACGTGATTTCCTACTGCCTTATTGACTGCATAACAATAAGAGTGCTGCTGTGAGGAGGTGTTTCCATAGATTTGCTTTAAAGCCTGTTCCTTCAGAAGGCACTGGAAGTTTGTTCTCAGTATGTGGGTTAATCACACTGAGCTTGTGTGTTTGTGTTTGGTTCTTTTCTCCAGGTTTCCTTCGCAATGTGGTGTCTGGGGAGCACTATCGCTTTGTCAGCATGTGGATGGCTAGGACTTCTTATCTGGCAGCCTTTGTCATCATGGTCATATTTGTAAGTTGCCGGGAGCTGGGCACTGCCAGCACGCTGTTACATCAGCCTATCTTTGATGTAACAGCACAGGCCTGAGCTCTCATCAGCTGTTAAAGCTAAGCTGATGGAGTACAAGGCTCTATTCTGTTTTTTATTTTTTTTTAATGAGGGTTCTTAAAGTCCTAACAGTGAAACAGAGGAGCTGAACTAGAATGAAGTAATGGTTTTGTTGTCAAAAGGGAGATTCAGGTTAGAGAGTCTCTAAGTGTAGTTAAAATCATCAGGCTGCCGAGGCACAAGGTGCAGAAGTTTGTCCTCTGAGACTTTGAAGAACAGGCCTAACTAATTTGCCAGGAGCAATCAAGTCTCCTGTGATTATGTGTGAGACGAGGTGGTTACAGATAAGTAGTAGACAAGATCCCAAGTGATAACTAAGCCTGTGTTCAGAGTCTTGGGTGACTGTCTGACCGTGCACTGATGCAGCTCCTTGTGCAACGGGTGAGAGAGGAGGAAATGATGCTGGGTGACCGTTGGAGAGGTGTTAGGAGCTGCTGGGCACAGCGCAGCCACGGGACGGGAAGAAACCCCAGTGCCAGCTCTGCTGCTGCTGTTTGGCTTGGCCCCTGCTCAGATATTCAGATTTGGTCTCTTTACAAACAAATTACTATTTCACTGCAGTAATAACAAAGGTTAATTGCTGCTTGTGAAGCCCTCGTTACTCTTTGGGAAGTCGGTCTGCGTAGCTCCAGCTAAGGAGCGTGGGATCTGCACAGCGCGCTGTGCGGCGCGGCAAGCCCAGGCTCGCCTGCCCGGGAGCGGGGGGCGGCTCCCCGGACCTGCGTGGCTCTGACACTGGCTTCTCTCCTCGTATTCCAGACTCTGTCCGTTTCGATGCTGTTGCGCTACTCGCACCATCAGATCTTTGTCTTCATTGGTAAGGATTTTTCTAAGGGATTTAGGGTGTACTGGACACCGTGCCTGCTGCAGCGCAGTGAATCGTAGATATCCTCTTGGCTGTTATTGACAAGGGTCCTGCATGTAGCAGCACAGGGGATATATCCCCTTCTGCCCTCCTCACCCTGCCTGCGAGAGCTGTTCTGTCTCCTGACAAGGGACAGTGAACTCGGGACAGTGCCCTTGACTGCACGTTGCAGTGCTCCAAATGGGGAGTGACGTGGGGGCAGAGGGTTCTGTGGCCCCGCATCCACTTTGTGTTACAGTATGCTTTCCTCCTTGCAGTTGACCTGTTACAGATGCTGGAAATGAACATGACAATTGCGTTCCCTGCAGCTCCCCTCCTCACTGTCATTCTGGCTCTAGTAGGTAAGGACGTTAGCTCGCTGCTCGTGTGTGTGCAGCGTGTCCCTTTGGGATCCCCAGAAAGTGTAATTCCCTGTCCCGACCCGGCCGCGGCAGGTGGTTAGTGCATCTGCTTGTCACGAGGTGGAAGGCTCTGGAATTTGATGGCACAGTGAGCTGCATTGTCCTTCTGGGTTCCCTGGGAAAGCAGTTCATTTGGAATTCATGTAAACCAAAGCTTTGTCTGTCACTTTAGTTCATTTCAGATTCACACTTCTGTGACCACATCGCATTAGCACAATTTGAATTTAAAAAGAAAAAAATACCTGAAATCTGTGCTGTCCAGACCCAGCTGGTCCTCTGGCCTGTGCAGCGACTGCAGGCAGCGGTGAAGCACGTTTGCCTTTAGCTGCTGCTTTAAACAGAGCTGACTCACCCTGCTGCGGTCCTGGCCCGACGGTCGTACAGCCCCAGCTCTGAAATGACAGAGGATTCCTTCCCGTGCCCTTTGCCAAACGGTGCCCGCAGTGTGCTGATGTCAGACACCCTCTGTCCTGTAGGCATGGAGGCCATCATGTCAGAGTTCTTCAATGACACCACAACCGCGTTTTACATCATCCTTATCGTGTGGCTGGCTGACCAGTACGACGCTATCTGTTGCCACACCAATACGAGCAAGAGGCACTGGCTCAGGTAGGAGCTGGGACCGCTTCTCACGTTGCGAGTTCCCGCTGCGTGTCCTGCTCTCTGGTGGGGGAAGGCTGCTCAGGTCCTCTCCAGCCCCCCCCAGGCAGGAGGGCTTCCATGCCTGATTGCTGCTGTGTGTCCTTGGGAGCTGCCCTGCATGTTGCAGGGTCCAGAGTGCAATTGCTTCCACTTTGGGTCTCGTGCCTGGGTCTCAAAAGTCACCTCAGTCCTTTGCATGCCCTCTGTCTTGCCCTGTTGGAGGCCTGTTCATAACGAGGCAATTCTAGTTACCCATGAATGGGAGTCTGCACCACCCTGTGCAAAGTGCCCCAGCTGAGGACGGAGTTAAGGGTAGAAAGAAACTCACGTTTGTCCTGCACATTGATGTGTCCTGATACTTATTGCTCTCCTGTCCAGGTTCTTCTACCTGTACCACTTTGCCTTCTATGCTTACCACTATCGATTCAACGGGCAGTACAGCAGCCTGGCACTTGTCACCTCGTGGCTCTTCATCCAGGTGAGTAGCTCCACTTCTGCTGCACTTCGGTGCAACCAGCCTCATGGAGGCAGTTGCCATCCTGTGAACTCGTCCTGGACACTCCACAGACCTCAGAGCTCTGCCTGCCTGCAGTTTGAACTGTTACACTGCTGGTTTTAACAGCACAGCCAGCGGGAGCAGAGTGAAGGAAATCAACTGCATTTTGGGCTTTATCAAGCTTCTTGTCAAGATGAATTTGAGTAGCAGTCTTTATTTATATAAGAGATTAAACAATCTCTGGTTTGGAAATAGAACAGCAGGAGATGGCTTTCAAACAGCAGGACTTGTTGGTCACTGGCTCAAATCCAGCCATGTGGCTGACAATGGTCTGATGTCAGGTGAGTTTTGGAAGGTGTTAGAGAAGGATTTATATCCTGCCTTTCTGGAAGAAATCCCACTGAGGATCTCGTGTGCAGAGGCTGAGGAGCTGATCAGGTCCGTGCCGTGAGGATGCTGGTGAGACCAGCTCCAAATCAACAACTCCAATATCCTGGTTCAAGCAAACCTTTTGTGTGTCTGGCTATTGACCTGCCCCCTTTCTCTGCTGCAGGATGGATTCAGGGAACTGAGGACAGGCCAGGGAAATGCCTTTATCCTTCTTGTGCTTAGCCCTTAAAAGGGAAGAGGGGTTGTACTCCATTGCCTGTCTTCAGAGAGAAACTGTAAAATCTCTGACAGCAGCTTGCAGGAATTGTAGTGGAAGGGATAAATCTTTCCTAAATTTCTGTCAGAGCAGCAGAATTCTCCAGTCGCTGTCTCCACAGCGAGGGGATAGCGCGGTTTTCTAGGGTACGTCTGGGCACGCAGCCCAGGCCCAGGGAGTGACTCCTTCCCCTTTGCCTTCTCCAGCATTCGATGATTTACTTCTTCCACCACTATGAGCTGCCCGCCATTCTCCAGCAGATCAGGATCCAGGAGATGCTGCTGCAGAACCAGCAGGTGGGCCAGGGCACGCAGACGACGCTCCAAGACAACCTCAACAACAACACTACAGCCGCCCCCGTTGACGTGGGGGGCCACCGGCCCCCCCTGGCCGCTGGCCCCTCGGCCGAGAGCGCCAACCCGGCTGCCCTGACGCCCAGCGAGGCCTCCAGCGTCATCGCTGCCACGGCAGCTTCTGTCGGGAGCGATCTGAACTGGGTAGCCGAGACGGCCGCCATCGTTACAGAAGCCTCGTTCCTCTCCGACCTGAGCACTACCCTCCTGGAGCCCAACGTGGTGCGCGAAGCCGTGGCCAACGCCAGCCCTCAGGATGCCGCCGCCTCCGGTTTGGTTGCCCGCATCAGGGTCAGCAGCGACCACCCAGAGACGGCCGTGGGCTCCATCACCATCGAAGTCACTTCCACGTCCGTGGTGGCCGCAGGCGACGTTCCCCCCGCCGCAGAGGCGGCCCCAGCTGCGCCCCTCGTCCCGCTGCAGGAGGAGGGGGCCGCCGTCCCCAGCCCGGCCCTTCCCGAGCAGACTGAGGCTGGCGAGGGCTCGGACAGCCGAGCAAAACCCAGTGGTAAGAACTGCGCTGTGGCCAGCAGCGTGGCAGAGACCCCTCCAGCCTTTGTGGGGGACACTGAGCAGGACGGACGTTTGGAGCGTTCTCTCGGGGACCGAGGGGAGAGCAGCCCCTGCCCAGCACCAGCGGATAGTACACCTAGCTCCAAACCTTGCTCGGAGCCAGACTTGAGGAGCCTGTCTTGAGCCCCCGTTGCTGTAATTCTGGACTGCCGGGAAGGCATTTGGATTTCGTTTGTTACTATTTCTCACTTCACCATCATCCTTAACCCACAAATTCCTCTTCGCGGAGGCGGAGTGGCTGGGGTGGAGGGAAGGTGCTGCGGTGAACTTCCCCCGGCGCGCGGGGGGCTGCCGGGGGGGAGGGACGGGGCGCTCGCTCTCGGGGGCCTCGTGCAGTCGTGCCCGAGCCCCGCAGTCGGCTCCATGCCCCCCGCTTTTCCTTGCCCCCCACCTGCCCCAGCTTTGCCCCCTGCGCTCCTCTTCGCAGTCCAGGTGCTGATCACAAATGTGAGCTGATTTGGGACGGGCCGTGTGTGTGTTTGTGGCAGCTTTCTGGTTAAAAGAGCAGCTGTGTCTGAACAGGGAGAGTGTTTTCAGATTTCAGCCCCCTTGGGAGAGCTGCAGGAAGTAGAGGAGAAACCTGGTAAGCTTTCCTTCTCTGTAAGGGGAAGAGGAGCTTAAGAGCTTCCCCAGACACTAGATTTGCTCGCACCAGGGCAAAGCTGGGCAATAACCAAAGCAGAAGCTGCAGTTCAGCCCCATGTTTTCTGTCCTTGAACTTCCCTCAGTCACTGGTTTTGGGGGGTAGAACCCACCGTGTCCAGGTTGGAGCTTCTGTCCCAGGAGAGAAGCACTGGGCTAAGCTCGGAAGCAGCGGGGGCAGCTCCCAGGCTGGAGAAGTGCTGTCCCTTCTGCTGCTGGTGACCTCGGCGGGGGCTGTGGGAATTTGGCCACTCTCGGATGTCTGTGGCCAGTGTGAAATGGGAGCTCCTGGCCCGCGGTCTCAAGCAATACCTGCTGGGAGCGGCTCCGTGGCGCCGGCGGCTGGGGTGAGGGCGGCAGCTCTGGCTCTGCCAGCTCTGGGCACCTGCCGCTGGGGGTGATGTAGTTTTGCTTTCAGTGCCTTGTCCCTTCGATGGGACACGTTTGCATTTAAGATCAGCCCCAGCCCAGAGGAGAGAGATCGGCTTTTCACTGAACTGTTGCATGAGATGGTTTAGCAAAGAACCAAAATGCTAAAGCCAAGACATTTCAGCTACTTTTCCCTCATTTCCCTGGCAGTGGAGGTGAAGCTGGCCTGGCTGATGTACTGAGGGGCTGCGATGGGGACAGGCTGGACCCTCACAAGGACATGGCTGGGAGGAGTTTACACGCGTAGATAGAGAGGAGCGACGCAGGAGCACGTCGTGTGTAGGGCTGAGAGGAGGGAGAAGCTTGGGGAGAAACGTGGCGGAAAAGGGCAGCGCTGGGAGGTGACGTGTGGGGTGCTCTGCTTCTCGGGGGGGGAGCTGGGGTGCTGTAGAAGTGTCCCCCAGTTCAGCCTTGTCCCCCACAGCTGAGTCAGTGGAGTCCATCTCCCTGGGGGCTCTTGTGTGCGTTGGGGTGTCTTCCTCCAGGAAGGGGTCTCCATGTCGGCACCACGGGGGCTCGGAGCTGCCCGCTTCACTTTCTCTGCATTTTCCACCCAGGTGTCACCCTTTTTTTTTTTTTTTTTTTTTTTTTTTTCCCTTTTTGTCTCAAGAAGCCCCCTGGGTGTTGCTCTGAGGTAGCGAGGAGCCTGCTCATGGCCAGCACCTTGGACCCTTCTCCGGTCAACCTTCCCGGGAAGGAGCCGCGGTGGCCACCGGCTCCCGGTGCGGATGTGCCAGGTCGAAGGAGCGATCGCAGGCTTTTAAGAAGAGCGGGTGGGTGGGAGGGGAAGTGGGGGGAAACAAACCAAATGCTTTGTTGAATGAAGAGTAGAGTTCATTCTATTTAATTAATGTACAAAATGTGTTTGTATATAATAATAAATATTATATCTAACAGCTGCGGCGGTGTCCTGCGAGCGCTTGTGCTGGGTTCCTGCTGGAGGTTGAGGGGTGAGGAGCCTGTGGTGTGGGTGCAGCACGGGGAACCCTCGGTACTTCGGGTGCCCCCGCCCCTGTCCTGGGGTGCCAGCACCCGCCCTGTTACGGCTCGGGGGGGGGGGGGTGGCAGGGCAGGGGGGACCGAGCATGAGTCCCCAGCCCCTTGGTGCCAGCGGCCAGGCTGCGGGCAGGGAAGGCGTTCTGCTCTGCTCTCGCCGCGGCCTCCCCCCCGCGTCACCCCCAGGGGGACTCTGCGTCCCTGGAGCCCTGGGTGGGGGGTGCGGGGCCTGCGGGCTTTCCCGGCGGGCTGAGAAGGGGCCGGGGCCCTCCCTCTCCCACCTCTGCCCGAGGAAGACTCTGGTTCTGGTTCGAGGTGGCTCTGGAGCTCAGCCTGCCTTTGCTCCCCTTGAGCGGGCTCTCCCCGAGGGGAGGTTTGAGTCTCGGCCCCTGGGACGAGGGCTACTCACCTTCCTCCTCCTCCTAATTGCCGCTGGCCCTGGCTGCCGTGTGCCTGCGGAGGAGGGAGGGGAAGGGTTACCCTCGCCCCCAGCCTTGCTGCATTTAGGGTGCAGCTGGAAGCGAGAAAGCAGACTTTATTTTAATCCATCAGCTTTATTTACACGGTTTAAAAGCAGCGTCACTGAGGGGGCTGTAGGGGCCCCCCCACCTTCCTCAAAACCAAACCCCCTCCTCTGCGGCTGCAGTTTAAACCCCTGGTGCCAGTGGTAGGGAGGTGAGGAAGAGCGGGGTGCCCCAAGACCTCCTGCCCCCCCCAAAGGCCTTTTTCCTCTTGTCCCTCCTCTCTGCTCCCTCTCTGCCCAAGGGAGCAGTGGGATTCACCCCAGAGCCGCCCACCCTGGGGTGTTTTTGGGGCTGCCTGCCCCCTCCCCGTGCTGAGCGCTGCCCCGGCCCCCCACCCCGTGTCACCTCTCGTTCCGGGGCTCCTCCGGGGCCAGGGTGGGTGCCGTTGCCCGGCCGCTCTTCACTGTGCCCAGCACGGCCACCAGCTCACTCTTCCTCGCCAGGGCCAGGCGCAGCTGGTCCCGCATCTCCTGGATCTTCTCCTCCAGCTCCCGGAGCTCACTCTCGCCGGCCGCCCTGTCGGGGGGCCGCAGCACCCGCCCGTTGCTGGGGTGCCGCAGGGACCCCTCGCCCTCGGGGGGCCCTTTCTCCAGGTGGAAGCGCACCCGTCGTGCCTCCTTCCGCAGGGCGCTCCAGGGCTGCCCCGCCGCGGGAACCGGCCTTGGCTGGAGGTCACAGCTTTTTGGGGAGGGGGAGAGGGGGTGAGCTGGTGGCTGGGAGGTCCCTCTGAGGCCCCCCGGGATGGTGGATGCCCGGGAGGAGGAGGAGGAGGAGGAAGGGGAGAGCCGGGCAGGCACCCAGCCCCGGCCGTACCTCTGCTCCAGGCTCAGCTGATGGCTTTTCTGCTCCTCCATGCCCATATTCAGAGCCCGGTGGATTTTCTGTGGGGAGCAAGGGAAGAGCGAGATGGGGGGGGGGGGGGTGTGATGGTTGTGAGGTTAACTGGGGGTGTGACAGTCCTAGGAGTAACGGGGGGGTGTGGGTGTGACAGTCCTGGGGTTAACTGGGGGTGATGGTCCGAAGGCAGAGGAGGGCAGAGGTTGTGCAAGGGACGAGGGAGCAGCGGCACAAGGGGCTGTGGGGGTGTCTTTCAGGCACTGGAGGCTTTGGGGGGTGGTGGTGGGGTGTCTTTTGGGCGCTGGGCAAGCCCCCTCCCACCAGCCCCACCTGGCTTGTGTGCAGCCAGTAGTTGAATTTCTTCTTGCGCTTGATGCGGGGCAGGACGAGGCGGTAGAAGACGTGCTCCCCCAGCGAGGTGAGCAGGGAGCCGCTGAGCCCGATGCAGAGCAGCACGAAGAGCCCTGAGAAGTGGTAGATGCCCATCTGCAGGGTCTGCGGGGAGAGGGGGGGGGGTGTCGGATGGGCTGGAGGGGGTGTCAGACACCCCCACCCCCCCCCCCCCGAAGGAAAGGCCCGGCCACCCGCACCTCCGTGACCGCGAAGACGCGCTTGCCGCAGGGCACCATCTTGTACCACTTGTCATGCAGGAGGTCGATGAACCCGGCCGACTTGTACCGGCTGATGAACTCGGAGATGTTGGAGGTCAGTGGCGAGTTCTGGGGGAGGCCGATGCCGTAACCTGGGGGGGGGTGGGGGGTGGGAGGAGGAGAGAGCGGCAGTGCTGGCGCCGGGGGTGGGGCACAGCCCCCAGCACCCACCTTGGTGTGAGCACCCTCCCCACCCTGCATGGCCGTGGCAGGGCATGGTCCCGTCCCAGCTGCAGCCAGAGCACACGTGTGTGGACACACACACACCACACACACACACACAGAGACACCCCCCCCGCCCCCCAACCCCCCCCCCCCCAAACCTTCAATGGCGAAGGGTTTGCCCACGGTGAGCAGTTTGCAGTCGGAGTCGATGGAGACCTCATAATCCAACAGCGACTTGTCCATGATGAAGGCGTTGAGCTTGGGGGGCTCCGTCCTGCACCAGCGCAGGGGGACCCTCAGGGAGGGGGCTGCACCCCCCCTTCCCCAGGGTCCCTCCAACCTGACACCCCTCCCTGGGGCTGCAGGGAGCAGGGGGGGTGCACAGGCTGCAGGGAAGGGGCAATGTCTGCCCCGAGAGAGGTAAAAGAAGGGGACCTCCCCCCCCCCCCCCCCCCCCTCACTTGAGCATGGTGACCCCGGCGGGGGTGGTGGGAACGTTGTAGCGCCGCATGTACTCGTGCATCTCAGGGAAGCTCTTCTGGATGTACTCCTCCGCGCTGCTCTCCCACACCGTGCCGAAGCGGAAGCCCTGCGAGGGGTGATGCAGCTGGAAGGAGGCACCAGAGCATCAGTACCTCCAGCCCCGGCAGGACCAGCCCCCCATTCCCCGGGGACACGGCCCCAGGCCCTGAGCACACGCAGCTGGGGGGGGTCTGGGCATCCCGTGGAGATGCAGCAGCTCTTGTGGGGCACTTGGCAAAGAGCCCCCCCCGCCGAGGGCCACCTCAGCCTGAACCCAGCCCACTCCTCCCCTGCCCTGGACCTGAGACCAAGATTAAACACCAGGGTTGGAGGGGGGACACACAAAACTTCCTGGGGGCCTGGGAAGAGCCCCGCAGCCTCGGGACGGGCTGTGCTGCAGGACTGGGGCTGGGGAGACCTTTCACACTCGGCCACTCTCCTACCTTTGGGTCGTGGATGCCCGAAAGCTCCTCAAAGGTCTTGTCCCCCACCATGACGGCCGCGAGGTTGGCCGTGTAGCTGGAGAGCACCAGGAGGCAGAAGATGGCCCAGAGGTTCATGAGGAAGCGGCCAGTGCAGCACTTGGGCGTCTTGCTGGACACGGTGCGCCCAAAGAGGATGGCGTAGCAGAGGTTGAGGGCTGAGGAGTAGGAGAAGATCTTCATGCGGTTGCGGCCGTGGGGGGTCATGCCGTAGGGGCTCTTCCACTCGTACAGGGTGAGGAAGAGCGCCGTCGTGTGCAGGGCCACGAAGACGCCCACCCACATGGTCCAGTGCAAGGGCCACATGAAGGCCCCAATAGGCGACGCCGTGTCCTTAGTCCTCACCAGGATGACCAGGCTGGTGGAGAAGAAGGGGCTGGTGAAGTCGATGACTTTGCTACGCGCCGAGTTGATGCTGAAGGAGGTGACGGCCATGTGGGCCGTGCCGCTGAGCAAGTCCCCCACCAGCCCTGTCCAGCGCCCGTTCTTCCAGGCCCCGTATTTCCCATCGCCCACGATGTAGAGCTCAAAGTCGAAGGGCACGTCCTCAGCCAGCTTCTCCAGCAGGTCAATGCAGTACCCGTAGCAGCACTTCTTGTACGCCTGTGGCACCGAGCCGTTGTCGGTGCTGAGCTCCTCAAAGAGGGCGTCCAGCACGGCCGAGTCGTTGGTGCCGGGGTCCAGGCAGAGCTGCCCGGCCGGGCAGCTCCCGTCCTCGTCCGCCTCCCTGGTGAAGACGAAGGGGTGCTCCACCAGCGTCACCACCCGCAGCCTCACACGGGCCCCCCCGGCCCCCTCGCCGGGGCTCTTGCGCCGGCGCTGGCTCTGCCACGCGCCCTCCTCCAGCTCCAGCTTGCCGTGCCACCAGGTGCCCACCGTCACCCAGGCAGGGTCCCCCCGCGGGTCCCGCTGCAGGCTCCAGACGCGGAACTGCTGCTCCGGGCGCACCAGCGTCGCGTTCTCCACACGCACGGGCCCTGTCCGGCCGTGGAAGGACGTATTGGCCAGGAACCTGGAGCGGGGACGGGGCGGGGGGGGTGTCACAGCTCCAGCGTCACCGTCTCCGGGGTCGCAGCCACAAGGGACAGAGGGAGGGGGCTTGGGGCCGGGAGGAGGATGTGCCCGACTCAGGCACAGACGGGCAGGGAGGAGCAGCAGGATCTGGCCCTGCTGCCCTGGAGCTCGCTGTGCTGGCAGGGCCGAGTGTTATTAATATTTATAGAGCAACCGTGCTCGGGCAGCATTAGGGAGATCTGACGTGACACGTCACCCCCCCGCGCAGGGACCGAGGGGGAGCTGAGCCCCACGGCGGCGGCTGCACGCAGCAGGGACCGCAGCGGGCTCTGCGCCCTGGGTTCCCCCAGCTCTGCCCTCACCCCATCCTGGGGCTGAAGCACAGCCCCCACCGAGCATCTGATGGAGCCTGGGGTGGGGGAAAGGGGCACCCAAGCCCTGCCCGTACCGGGAGAGGAAGAGCCCCGAGGACTCGCCGCCCGGCCGGCGCCGGTCGTTGCAGTTCACCGTCGTCTGCAGGAGAGCCAGGTCGGGGCGGACGCGGGCGGCGCTGGCGATGGCCCGGGACACCAGCTCCACCGCGTCCTGGATGAAGAGCTCCAGCGGCGGTCGGTTGACCTCCCCGTAGGCCAGCAGCCCCAGGGGAAGCCCCTCGGTCTGCAGCTCGCTGGCGCTGAGCGGGGAGCCCAGCATCCAGTGAAACTCCTGCAGCAGCAGCCCCAACTCCTCGGCTGCCCGGAAGATGAGCCGAGCGCGCCGCAGGTCGCAGCCGAGCACCAGCACAGGGCTGGAGAGGGCCCTGAAGCGCTCCCCGTGCTGCCGGAGGTGGCGGTTGGCCCCAGACTCATCCACGTAGCCAAGATCCAGGACAGTGCGAAGGAAGAGCTGGGAGCGGTGGGCCCAGAGGCCGAGGAAGCCAGAAACATCCCAGGGGTGGCAGAGCACCAGGCTGGTCTCCTGCCAGTCATTGGCTTGCAGGACGCTCACCAGCACGTCCACCAGTGTCTCCAGTGAGCTCTGCCGGTCCATGTGGAAGTGGAAAGGGCTCTGCCGACACAGAGGGGCTGTGGCTGTCCCCCTGCCCAGCTCCTGCCCATGGGAAGAGCCCGGAGGCAGCACCAGACACGGTCCCTCCCGCCCTAGAGCCACCCCACACCTCCTGCCCACTCCCTGCCCCATCCCAGCCTGGGTAGATGGTTCCCCCCGCCCTCCCCAGCACTGGCCATGCACCCACTGTGAGCCAGAGGGATGCCCAGTGACCAGAGGGAGGAGACCTCCATGGCACCCCTGGCTGGGTGGGCATGAGGGTTCATCAGCAGCTGAGTCGCGGGCTGTGCACCCCCCTGCCCCCATGCCCAAGGGTCTCACCCTCCCGGCCAGGCAGACGAGCAGGCGTGGAGGGTGGCACAACCTGCAGGCGTTTGCCCCCTGCCCGGGCATCCAGGAGAGGGGTCACCTCCCCCCAGGCACAGCCTGGGGTCAGCGCACACATGGAGGGACCCAAATGCGACGCAACCCTGTGTGGAGGTGGTCTGTCCCTGGAAGGAACTGGCCAAGGGAAGGGAGAGGGACAAATCCAGCCCCAGGGACAAGGGGCTGGGGCAGGTCTCAGCCTGGCAGGGTTTGGGTGTGCCCAGACATCGTTCCCAGGACAGTGGGGCTGAACTGGGTGGCACTGGGCTACTGCAGGGATCCAGCACCAGGGCATGTCCCTGGAGCACTTCGGGGGCCAGACCAGGGTCAGGACTGGGGCTGGGGGGGCGTGGGGCTGCCAGAGGAGCCAGGGAAGTTGCCTTGGAGTAGGAGCTGGGATGGGGCTGGGATAGAGCTGGGCAAGGGCCAGGAGCGAGATGAGATGGGGGCTGGGATGGAGCCAGGATAGAGCTGGGATTGAGGCTGGGATAGAGCCAGGATGGGGTTGGAATGGGGGCCAGGAGGGGGTTGGTATAGAGCTGCGATGGGGGCCAGGCTAGAGCCAGGATGGGGCCCAGGGATGAGGCTGGGATAGACCCAGGATGGGGGATCAGAATAGAGCCGGGATGGAGGCGGGAATGGGGGAGAGATGGGGCCGAGGTGGGAGCTGGAATGGAGCCAGGACAGAGCCAGGATAGAGTCGAGATGCAGCAGGGATGAGGGGCTGAGATAGAGCTGGGATCAGAATCGGAGCCAGGACTGAGCCGGGAGGAGGACCCGCGGGATAGAGCCGGGCTGAGGACCGGGATAGGAGTCGGGGTGGATCCCGGGAGGGGGACGTCCGGGATAGAGCCGGGATTGGAGCTGGGATTAGGACCGGGATTGGAGCAGGGATGGAGAGGGGACGGAGCCGGCACGGCAAGCGGGGACGGGAGCGGGGACCGGAGCGGGGACGGGAGAGGGGACGGAGCGCCCGAGCGAACCGGCCGGGGCGGGAGCGGCTGCCCCCGGTGCGGGTCCTACCTGCGCCCGGAACGGCAGCGGCCCGCGGGCGTCGAGGAGGCTGAGGAAGGGGAGCTGGAGGGCGGCGGCGAGGAAGTCGAGCTGGAGCAGCTCCCGGCGGGAGCGGGGCAGCGCCAGGACGGCGGCCACCCCGCGCCCCGCCAGCGCCCCGCAGAGCCACCGCGCCAGCGAGCCGGGGTCCCGCGCCGCCGGGGCCCCCGCCACCACCTCCAGGCTGAGGTTGTGGGGCAGCGCCGCCCCCCCGGGGGTCCCCCCGGAGCTGCCCCCCACCAGCGCGGCGCGGAGCCGGGCGCGGCCGGGGGCGGCGGGCGGCAGCAGCGCCCCGAGGCGAACGGCGGGGCCGGGGCGGGCCGGGCCGCGGCAGGGCTGCGGGTGCCCCCCCGCCGCCCCCAGCGCCGCCGCCAGCAGCCAGAGCGCCCGCAGCCCCGCCATGCGCCCCGCCGCCCCCGGCCCCGCCGCTCTGAGCCCCGCCGGGGCGGGCCGGGGGTGGGGGCGGCTCCGGACGGGCGGGGCGGCGGGGACCCCGCCCGGCTCCGCAGCCCCGGAGTGCGGGCAGGGGCGGGGGGGGGACCCGCCGGGCTCCCCCCGGGCTCACCCCGCCCCGGCCCCGCAGCCGAGCGGGAGGGTCCGCGGCGGCCCCCGCAGCCCCCGGTGCGCCGTGGGACGCGGCCCACGCAGCGCCCGGCGCGCCCGCAGCGCCCCCCCGGCCCACGCACGCCGGCCGGGCACTCGCCCACGCGCGGCGCCGGTCCCGCACCCGCCCGGTGCTGCCCTGGGGGGGGGCTGAGACCGTGGGGTCCCCCGGGAGGGAGCAGGAGGTGCCCCGGCAGAGGAACCCCCGCGGTTCCCAGGGGGGGCCCGGCCGCGTTTGGACCACCAGGATCTTCCTCCTCCTCCTCCTTTTCTTCCTCCTCCTCCTCTTCCACCGGCCGGCTTCCCGCCGCCACCCGGGCTGGGAAAAGCTTCCCGGGGAGGTTGCTGAGCCGGGCTCAGAGCTATAAACTGCCCCCCCCCGACCCCCCCGGTAAAGGCCACAACCGGATCCCCCCATCCCTCCGCAGCCCCAAAACCGGGGGTCCTGGGGCTGCAGGGCCCGTCCCGCTGCGTGGGGAAGGGGCAGCGTAGCAGCCTTCCTCCACAGGGTCACCCTTCTCATCTACACCAGGGAAACCGAGGCACGGCCCAGGGGCTGCTCACTACCAGGAGCACAAACATCAGCTGCCAGGGGGATGGAGAGCCTATGCTAAATTAATAAGAAAAATAAAGTGAGTAATGGAGCCAAATACCAGCTGGCAAAAAATATTGATCACCAGACAAATTTAATGAGTCAGAGCTAATGAATTCCCCTTGCGGAGATGGGCCCGGAGGGGGGGAGGCCATCAGAGCAAACTCTGCCAGGGCCAGGGGAGCGCTGGTGGGCCTGTGTTGGGGGGTGCTGGTCCCCTCCCAGAGCAGGATCCCGGCTGCGGGGCCCCGGGCAGCCCCTTCCCCCAGGGGCCCCCACAGCCCCACGCAGGAGCTCTTGCTCTGAAACAGCCCCCCCAAACCCCAGCCTCTCCCTGGGTGCTCCCCCCAAGCACAGTGCCCTGACCCAAACCCCACTGGGGGAACTGGGAGAGAGTGTGGGATGACTGGGGGGGAAGGGCTCGGGTCTGGGTTTGGCAGGAGCAGGCTGCCCCCTCCCCGGGGGGGGGGGGGGCTCCCTGGGGCTGGAACACACTCCCACTGCAACCCCCCAGCTCGGGCTGACGCTCCCCGCTGCGGCCAGTTAATGCTGATGGGAAGCGTCGGAGCAAAAAACAAGGGAGACGGCGCTTATTAAGCTAAAAGCATTATCTAAGGGTGCTGGCAGGAACGTGCTCGGCGCCGAGGCTCGCGGGACCCAGCTGCGCTTTAAATCAACTGCGCTTACTTCTGGTGTATTAACCAGGGCGGTGGGGTGGGTGCGCACGGGGAGGGGGGCACAGTCCCCAAGATTCAGGGGATGCCCCTCCAGCCCCATGGGGAGAGGAAGCAGCACGATGTCTCTCGGGCAAGGAAGGGCTGCCAGGTACGGGGCCGTGGGTGAGAGAGCTGGGGCCACCGGCAGGGGTTAAAGAAAAAGCTCAGGCATCTTTCACTATAAAAAACAAATCTTTTATGTAAAAAATAAACCTAAACAAAACCCACAACCCCCGCTGCCATGCTTGTGACAATACAAAAGGCCGATTCCCCAGAACACCGTGAAAACAAAGTAGCTGGATCCAAATATATATAAATTGTCAGCTTACAAGATTGGAAATAGCACCTTGCTGGCCCCCCCGGCCCTCCCCGAAGGAGTCAGCCCTGCACCCTGAAACCACCCCCCGCACTCTGAGCCCAGGGACACCCCCCACAACCCCCCGCTTGCCGAGGATGGATGGGCAGTGCAGGAGTCCCATCTCCAGGCGTGGTAGCCTGGGGACCCCCTGCCTGTCCCCAGGCGGCACCTGCGCTGCCCCCCCGGGCACCCCCAGGGGCAGGAGCTGCTCAGCCCCCGCTGTCCCGAGAGCAGAACAAGCCCACGGCGGGATCCCGGCTCCGAGGGGTCCGGCGATACCGAGCAGTGTTTCCCAGGGCAGGATGGGCGGAAGGGGTCTCCAAAATCCAATCTCAAAGCGGTATTAAGAGAAAAACACTTTTCTGTCTGCACTGCAGGGTCAAGTAACGAAAAGAAACCAAAAAAGGGCCAGGGAAAGAGGTGGGGAAGGAGCAGGAGCTGTGTCCTGAACCCCTCCCTCGGAGCCGGCGACGCTCCTCCCGCAGCCAGCCGCTCCGAGTCTGCCCCCGCCGGCACCGAGCAGCGAATCGGGGTGAAAACGGTCCCTGTGTTGTCCCGCACGCAGCAGCCCCGCAGCCCCCGCGCTCATCTCAGTCCCGTGTTGTGGAACGGACGCCAGACCGAGCGGGCAAATGCTCTGGCGTGCGCCGCGTGGCAGGGGCTGGCGAGGACGCGAGCCAGGCGTGCTTGCACGCGCTCGCACGTCGGCGTGTGCAGGTGCCCGAGGGTGGGCTGGGCAGGGAGAGGCAGAGGGGTGTGAGGGCAGGGGGGTGCCTCTTCATTTGGTTGGTTTGGTGATGATGCGAGCGGAGAAGTCAAAGAGGTTCTTGTTGATTTTCCGGAGGGTGCTCACCTCCTCTTCCAGCTCGCTCACCTGGATCGTCAGATGCTCCTGGTCTCCCACCAGGTTCTGCGGCAGAAAAACGCAACAGAAAAGCATCAGGCACCCGGGTCTCGCCTCTGACAAGGGGAAGCTGGTGCTCACCCCAACAGCAGCAAACCCCAAACCCTTTCGTCCTCTCCCTCCTCCATCTCCTACTCGAACTGCAGTCCCTCCTGCCTGCACCATCAGCAAATTCCAGGGCTTGCTCCTCCCACCCCCAACTTGCACGGGGCCCTAAGAACCGGTTCAGCCAAAGAGAGGACCCCCCCAAGGGGTCTGTACCAGAAGGACGCGATTGCCCCACCTCAGAGCAGCTCTCACCTTTTCCCTTGTTGAGTACATCTGCGAGTACATCTTCTCAGCCTTCTCCAGGTAACTCTCCCCAGACTCCTGCAGTGATGAGACGGGAGCGATTGATACAGGAGACCCAGGCCTCTCCCGGCACAGGGATCGCCACCAGAGTAGGCAAGGAAACCCCCCCCCCCCCCAGCCCCGTGGGATGAAGCAGAAACTGAGGAGAGACTCCAGCGGGGTACGGCCAACTCTGCGGCACCAGCAGAGCCTGGCTGGAGCTGCAGCCCCATCCTGAAACGGAAGGCCTGTGCGCAGGGGTCCCGAGACAGCCCCCTCGAGAGTGCCTTGTGCAGGGCCCCACGGGCAGAGCGCCGGGCCACAGGCTGCTCCCCCCGGCACCACGCTGCGAGCGGAGGAGCCCGGCGCTCTGCGGGACGGACGCTCCCGAAGCGGCACCTGAGCCGGCCCCGCGCCGCCGGCGTGCTGGCCCCTGCGCCGAGCAGCGGGCAACCGGCCCCTCCCGGAGCGGTGCCACCCCCCGACACGGAGCTCACCCCTCTGTCACTGTCACTCGCCCAGGGACAGAAGCGCTGGGACCGGCAGAGAGGCCGGGGGCTGGACCAGCACGGCACGCAGCGGGCCTGGGATCACCGGTGGTGGAGGGCACCCCCCCCCGCCTGGGGACTGAGGGACAGCAAAGCCAGCCCAGGCCACGGCACGACACAGGCTTTCACCACGCTGGAGAGGGGTGTTGGGGGGAGGGAACAGCCTCTGGCAGCAAGAAGTAAAGATACTGTGTGTGGGGGGCTCCTGACGGGCAGGACTTTGGGCAGAGCAGAGCTGCAGCAGCCCCCAGCCCCGCCCCACCACAACTGACACCAGGGAGATTCCAAAGGGACGCCCTGTGCCCCAGCCAGGACCCTGCTCCACTCAGAGACCTCAGTGCAGGGGTTCCTCTTCCCGAGCTGGGAGCAGGGGAAGAGCCTGTCTGCTCCCCCCTGCCTGATCCCCCCTGCCTCCTTGGCTCCCCCCACAACAGTTAACTGGGCAATTCCACTGCTTTAAAAAACAGAACTTGGGGAAGTTTAGCAGCATGGGGGAAGGCCAGAAGAGCAGTGGATCAGCACGGACTGGATGCCACTGCTGCTCTGGCTGGAGGAGTTTATCACCCTCCAGCACAGACCCCCCAGCCAACCCCTGTCCCCACCTTCCCCAGCAGCCTGCTCGTCCCCAGTACCTGCTGGTGGAGCCCGAGGCGCAGTGTCACTCCCTCGTTCCCCTGCTCGTCGTTGCTCTCGGTGCCGTGGAGGTGTTTGCTGAATTTGGGGAGAGGCACGCTGGGTTTCCCATCCGGGTTGAACATGTTGGCTGGGGCCAGCACTATGAAGGCGTTTGTAACCGGACCTGGGACGGCACAAGAGGAGGGGATGGGTCAGACTTGCCCCCTCCCTGGGTTTGCCTCTTGCCTGGCAGCCCCGGATCAAGGCGCGCACCCCACGGCACAGGCAGCTGCCAGGACTCCTGCCTCCTCCCCCAGAAGCCGGGAGCAGGCAGAGCCCCTCTCCCCGTCCCTGGCAGCAGGGGCACGGCTCCACACCCCAGGGAGGAGGATCTATCACACAGTCTTGTTTGGCAGGGCTAATGAGTGCTTTAATTACTGCATTTACCCACAGTGGCTGTTGCTTTCTGTCAGCAGCCCCCTCCGCCCTCTGTTCCGAACTCGTGCTCGCTGGCAAACTCCCACCACTGTCCCCCCACACCCCAAATCTCCACCCGTCAGACACAGACTCCCCGAAGCCCCCCGCACTGCCTGCAGCACACCTCCAGCAGCCAGTGGGCTTGTGCGCGAGCAGAGTGGCTCAGTTACCACCAATAAATCCCCGACCATCCATCTTCCCCCCCCCCCTCCGAACTCGACAGCACGAAGGGAAAGGTTAAAAGGATCCAGATGCACCTGAGCAGAGGCAGGCTGCTGCAGCGCCCGCCCGGCGTCCCCGCTGCCCCGGGGGGGCCCCGGGAGGCTTGAAGCTGCCTGAGGCTTCCAGTCTCTGCAGAGGAGATGGACAAAAGCACCTCTGATGCAGACCGGAGCTCCCTCGCCATCATTTCCCCCTCCAGCTAGACCAGAGCCTGCTCAAAGCCTGACCTGCCCGGGATCCAAGGCTGGATCCCACTGGCCAGCCGAAGGCTCTGCCAAATACTTGGTCCAGAAGCTGCTCTGCCAGCACTTTGCTGTAACAAACCATTTGTTTTCCTCTTGGTCCCTCCCTAAAGACAAGATTTCTTATGAAAGTATCCATTAGTGAGATCACCGCTGCTGGTTCACTGTCAATTCGAGGAGCAACTTGAAAGGAAGGGACAAGAAAATGGGGGAGGAGAAAATCTCATGAACTAGTCCAAAGATCACTAAATCCGGTCACCATCCAGGCACAGACCCCCCGGCTGCTCTTGGGGCCCAGTGCAGATGCAAGTCCTGTCCAAGCCCACCTCGTCACGACGGCTCGGGCACCAGGCAGTGGGTGACACCCCACCAGTGTGGGCAGAGGGACTGGACTCCACGGGAGGAGGGTAAATAATCTGGCTTCCAACACTGGCAGCTGCCAGCAGGACGGATGGGCTGGAGCATCCCTGGGGGGGCCTTGCAGGAACGAGCCCTTGGGGATGGTCTGTGCCGCACAGGGTTTGCAGAGAAAAGGATGGAGCTCCCGTGACAGGATGGGAACCGAGGCCTGGAGGGATTCTGGGGCAGTGCTGGCTCACAGCCTCATCCCAGTGGTCTCCTGCTTCCCCTCGGAGCAGTGCCAGCCACGCTGGGTGACCAGCAGCAGCCCTGCCTTGCCCAGCACAGTCACAGCAGCCCATCCGCCTGCCCGTGCTCTCCTGCCACCTGCCCTCATCAAGGACAAGCAAACCTTGCTGGAAAAGTCCCTTGCCTGCAAGGCCACGCTCCTTTCAAGCCCCAAGCCACGCTCCAACCCCTCTGATCTATTTGCAGCACCATCATGTGGGGAGGGCAGTGGTTCCTGCCTGGCCCCCAGCTCTCCCGAGCACACCAGGCCAGAGGCTGCCGTCATGTCAGCCGCAGACGAAAGCCTGTGTCATCTCTGCCTGGGGAAGGGAAAGGTTCAGGGAACATGCTGGTGGGGGCGAGTGGGGTGGCAGCAGGGAACAGACCTTGCTGGGAGGCTCACGACTGCTCGGAGAGGCAGCAAGAAAGGCCAAGGGGAGATGGGGACCTGCTGGGAACCAGCGCTCCAGGGAGCTCGCTGCCCCACTAAGACGGGGCAGCAGGGCTGCTGACAAGAGGCAGCGCTGGGACAGAAGATGCAAGGAGGCTGCGGGGAGCCTGCGCTCTCTGCGGGGACCCTCCACCTCCAGTCCGGCTCTCTGGGGGTGAGCCCCCCTGGATGGCAGCTCTGGATCCACAATACAGCTCCTACCCCACTCCTGGGCTGGGATTAAGCACACAGCAGCAGCAGGGTGGCACTGGGGAAGCCAGATCCCTGCCCGCAGGAAGAAGCGAGCCAGGGGAAGCTGCAGAAAGCCCCCACACCTCACAGCCCTGGCACCCAGCGGCACGGTCAGCCTGGTCCTGCCCCTCAGGGGAACAGCTTGTGTCCATCTGCACTCCCCTGCAGCCTCAAGGAGGGTTTTAATGCCTGGCTCGCAGTGAGAGCTTGCCCCCTCCTCCTCTGATGACATACAGCTCAGATTTTTGTCTGTTTTCACCCTTCTAATGCTAGTGGAGCAAGGCTGGATGGCAGCTGCAGTAGGTCCCCATCAGAAATGGTCCTCAGTAGCAAAAGGAAAGAAGGAAAGCGTCTGCAGGCAGCCTGGCTTTCAGCGACTGCTCTGAGGCAGCACTTTGCCCATCTCCGTCCAGAGGCAGCATCGCAGAGGAACGGGGTCTGACTTTCCCCACTGTCGCCTTCTGGGAGGGTTTAGGCAGTGCCCGGAGAGCAGCACTGCCAGCCCCGCCAGCGAGAGCAGCGTGAAGAGACCAGAGACCCCCACAGCCAGGTAAGAAGTCCACTGTTAGCAACAGCTCAAGTGAAACAGGAGGGCTACATCTTTCACTGCTCTGAAGCACCCAATTGCTGATCTGAGCCCGTAAAGGTTTGTTTGCATGGTTTATCGGGGCCATTACACTGAAATCCCAGACGACTGCTTATATCGGATTCACTTCAGACCTAATGAGCTCATGGGTGGTTGTTGCAGGGGTCACAGAGACAGTCTCTTCTCCAGACACATCCTCCCCCTCTCACAGCCTCCCCAGGCGTTGGGGTGCGTGTGGGGCAACCGCTCCCTTTGGAAAACAAGGAGGAAGATCCTGGATGACCTCAGTGACAGGGTGAAATCTATGACTCACTCCCCGACAGTGCACAGGGCGGTTGTTAACAGACATGGACAAGGTCAAAACATCACTCCAGACAGCTGAGGCGTCCCTCTAATGCCTGTACCCTTCCTGGAGGTGTGAAGCAAGCAGGAGAGAAACGCCTGAAGTGCTCAGGGCGGCATCAGAGCAGCAGAAGTGAGACAGCAGCCGCCTTTGGCAGTCAAGGAGGAAAGGATCCCAGAGATAAGGGCATGCCTACCTTTGTGATTCATCGTCTTCAGGCACTGCTTGCTCTGGATGTCCCACAGCCGGACTGTTTCATCGTGTGAGCCGGAAAGCAGCAGGCTGCCATCTGTGGAGACTGACAGACACGTCACCTGGTTCCTGGAATGGGGAAGAGGAGGTTTAAACCCAGGATGACCCGAGGACTGCCAGAACCTGGTGAGGTGGGCAGACGGGGGCAATGAAGTGTTTGGCAGGCATGTCTGGTCCCTCACCTGTGCCCTTTGAAGACCTTCCCGTTCTCCCGCTCAGTCTGGAAGGTCCGGTCTCTCTGGACCGGCTGCAGAAATGAAGGAAGGAAGGAAGACAGCGGTTTAAACTCAGGAAGACTGAAGCCAGCAGGTTCATCACTGTGTCCGGAGGGGGCAGAGGAGAACCAGGGGAACCCAGGCCCTGCGATGCCCTGGCAGGTCACACCAGTCACGCAGGCGGGGAGGTGACAGTGGCACGGGGTGCCACATCAAGAGCAGCACCAAGCAGATCTGCAGCCCCACGCACTCACCCAGGCACAGAGGTCAACCTGGAAGATGGATCCGTCCATGCCACCACAGAACATGTGATACTCGGAGAGGTCAAGAGTCACAGCCATGATCCCCACATCGAAGAGTACGGAAAGCAGGAGCTCCCCAGATGAGATTTCCCAGAGCTGGAGTGACGAGGGTACAGGAAAATTAGGGGCTTAAACGTTAACTGCAGGATCGGAAGAACACGCTGCTGCTTCTCAGCACCTGCCCAGCAGCGCGCTGGCAGCTGGCACCGGCAGCTCTGACCAGCATCCCCCTCCTTGCTGCGGCTGGGGAAACCGAGCCCAAGGCATAACCACGGCAGGACCCAGGATCAGCCTCTTGGTGACCATGAGATGTTCCCCAGGCAGCTCCAAAACAGCCCTTAACCCCCTCCGGTGCCTGTCCTGCCCCCCAGGGCAGTCGTCCCTGCAGGGCAGGAGCAGCAGGCTTCAGGCTCCAGCTCTGCTCCCTGCTCTTTGAAACTAAAGGACATCAGTGAGGGGGATCAGAGGAGCTGAGCCCAACATTCCCCAGGAGAAGGCCGACTGCAAAGCACGCAGAGGCCCAGCCCGAGGGCAGGTGCACAGAAACTGCTGGTGTTTGGAGAGACAAAGCCCATTAGGTCTGGCAGCTCTGAGTCATCACAGAGACAGCCAAGAAATTCAGCTACTGCAGCCCTCACTGACAGCTCTGCTGCAGCTCAGCAGCAGCTTTGCTTTAACCCTGTGGGGCCTGCACCCTTCCAGGACTCTTGTCCGGTGGGATGGAGCCGAGCCTTACCTTCGCTGTCTGGTCAAGGGAGGCTGTGGCAGCTCGTGCCAAAGGCCCTCCAAAACCACAGCACAAGTCCGTGATGGGGAGGCTGTGTCGGGACCAGACGTGGCGAGGGTCAGGGATCTGGGAGGGCTCTGCCTGCAGCACGCTGGAGGGGAGAACAGAGACATGGGTTGGCACGGCAGGTCAGCACGAGCAACGCTGGGGATGCCAGAGCGAAACGGCTGTGAGGAGAGCTGGGCAAGGCTCCGCTTCCTCCGGGACAGCTCTCCTGGCTGCAAGGGCCAGGCAAGGACACAGAGGCCATCAGCAGCCACAGCACTCACGATCCTGAGGTCGAGGCCCACTACTGAGCTCCCCATCCCAGAGGGGACAGACCTCAGCTGCCATTAGCAGGGAAAGGGCACAATCCACTCCGTGTCAAGCAAGGAAAAGAAGTCGGAACCATATGGCACAGCTTGGGAAACTCAGATGAGATGCTGGGAAAAACCTCTCTGGCAGCATGGATGACAGCAGTGCAACGGCCGCTGGAGGAGGGCACAGACACCAGCAGGCTTTATGAACAGCTCAGACACGAGGGCTGTTAGAGCTGGTTCTGCCTCCAGGAAGCCACTGCTGATCTCCTGTTCTGCTGTTCCTCGCCCAGATGCTCCCTGTCCCCCACACGAACGGGGCCAGAGCTCCCCGTGGGCCACCGTTACCTGTAAAGGTTCCACACCAGGGCCAGACAGTCCTTCGCCCCTGAGAGGAAGTGGCTGCTGTCGTCAGTAAAGCAGAGGCATGTGAGGTCCTGGTAGTGTCGGTTCAGGATGGCCAGGAGGTTCCCGTTGGAGACCTATGGTGACGGAGAGGGCAGGGGAATATTAAGAAAGGAGCATTGAGACACCCTGGAATAACACAGCACCCTGCCCTCAACGGCTGTGGGTGAAGCAGCACCTGCAGCTCCATCCCCAGCCGGGCACAAGCGGAGCCGAGAGTCCCTGTGCCGGAGCCGCGCAGAACAGGGCGGCGAGCGGAGCGGAAAGGGAAGGTTGTGTCGACCACATGAACACATTTGTGCCTCACTGATGGCAACGGGCACAACCAAGGTGCAACCGGTACAACCATATACGCTTATGATCGAAGGTAAATACAGGAAAAGACAGTTTGTAGAGGTCCTGACCTCATTAACTCTGGAACCTAGTGATGCCAGTGACATTTCTCCGGTCAAGACACAAGCATGCAGTAAAGATTTCCTGTTTACTGTTAATATTACTTTGACAGCTTCTTCCAACCTCCCACATCTGATGAGGTGGCTGCAGGGGTTATGAATGCTGCAGGAGGTTGTGTGCCACCCCAGGGGTTTTTGCACTTCAGCACGGCTGCATGGTCTTAGGCCAAGGGAGGCTTCAGGGCAGACGAGGAGTTCCCTAAATCCGGAGCTTTTCTTGTTAAAAGGCAACACTGCAGATGGGGAGGGAACTAAGGAGGCAGCAAGGGAGCCCCGTATAAAAGAACAGAATCGACTCCCTCTCTTTGAATTACACCTAAAAATTAAACGAAACTGCAGTTCAGTGGAGAACAAGCAGATTGACAGAGAAGGCACAAGATTAGGGCTCTTGGGCCCATTCCCAGCTCTGTGACGGTTCCCACACAGCCTCTCCAGCGCGGCTGTTCCCTCTGGCAGAAGGACGGTGCTGTCACCCGCTCCAGGCGGACGCTCGGAAGTGTCTGAGAGGCTTGGCTCACCGGGGGCAGACAGAAAGGGCCACCTTCTGCAGGTGAGGCAGAGCAGGGACCAGCTCAGAGCACCACGGGCAAGGAACTCCTGCTTGCTGCAGCCTCAGCCCAGCATTCCTTCTGAGGCCTTTCCTCCCAACATTGCCACAAGCACATTTTAAAACAAAAATCTGATGAATTAAGATAGAGCTGCCCACATAACAATGCTCGGAAACATCTCCCAGGACGGAGAGCCTTCCAGGTTAGACATCTCTACATTTCATCCCAGGGCCCAGAACCAGCCTGTTTTGCTTGGTGAAGTGCTCAGAACACAGTGTAATCTCCGTGTAAACACACCACCAATTAAAAATAGGTGGATGATGACCAGAGCAAAGCAGTCTCTGCAGACACCCAGATCACAAGTCACACACAAATCTTAGGATAAAACATGGAAGAAGTGCTAAAGCAAAACTAGGTCCCATGTTTCTGCTTTGAGGGAGCAACACCTGACCCCTGAGGCACCCATAGCAGCTTGGAAAGAGAAGGAAAGAAAGAACACACCTAAGCCTCACCCAGCACCTCTCACTGCAATTTCTTCCCCTCTCCCTGCTTTGATGAGCTGCGCCACGGAGGCAGGCATGCCATGGAGGCTGCCAGCAGCCAGCCCCACGGGGCAATGTGCAGCCCAGACAGCACCAGGACAGTGGAACATGACCCAGCAAAGCCTTCGCCCCGCTGTGGAGCACAGATAATGTGGATTTCCTGGCTCCTGACAGGACAGCAGCAGTCACTGACAGTCCAGGAATCAAAACATCCCCATGTGCCAGCTGGCAGCCCCCTCACCTCCCACAGGTAGATGCTCTCAGCAACCCCAGCCAAGATGTAGAGCCCGTTGGGAGAAGCTGTCAGACAGGTCACCGGCCCAGGGCATATGATCTTCTGCTGGAGCTGGTCCTGGGGGCAGAAAGAACATGGTGGCCATTCAGTATGGGCTGGAGTATGGGAGGGAGAGAGAAACAAGACCCTGGTTCAGCTAAGATCAGCCCGTGGGGGAAGAGGCAGAGTTCCATGTTTGAGCCGTGTCCTCAACCCACATCAGCACTGCCACGGTTTGGAGATTCGATGCCAAAGAGGAAGATGAGGGAGGAGCACAGTCCATGAGTGCAAATCACATAAAATTGCTCGGCATTTGGCTAGTTTTGTTGCAGTTGCTCTGTGTTTAGCCCCGCAGGGAAAAGGTAAATTCCCTTCCACCCTCCTCCAAGCACAGAGCTCCAGCATCACGCAGCCATCCGAAAGACGAGGGATCTGGGTGCAGTTATGCTCCACAGCTGGGAAACCCCGGAGGTTCAGCACAAAACAGGCTCAGAAGATTACAGCAAAAACTAATATTGATAAAAAATAAAAAAAAAAAAAAGGTGATGAGAGGTCACAGTTTGGGACAGCAAGCAGCAGGTCTGAGCAGCTCCTCGCAGCTTGGCGGAAGTGGAAAAAACAGACCCCAAGCTGTGGCAGCGAAGGGGCTGCGTGTGCTAAAACCCATGGGCTGCTGCTGCTCTCTGCAGCCACTCTGAGGGGCACAACAGGGGACGGGGAGATGACGGCTCTGACTGCTGCTGTCCTGCCCTAGTGTGAGCACACGCCAGATGCAGCGAGCAGGAGGAGGGGGGTACAGCTGTGTAGGGACAGGCGAGGTTTGACCGGCTGCATTTAGGCTTCCATTTTCGGCTGAAAGGCGCAGAGCGTGGGCTGAGGTGATGGGAGGCTTCAGGCGAAGTGGCCCCAGCATCGCCCCGGGGTCTCCCTCAACGGGACGGTCATGTTATTGGGCAGCCCTGGGAGACGCGACGCTCCTTTGCAGCCTCGGGAAGGGGAGTTGTGGGGCAGGGGGGTGCAGCTGGGGAGACACCGGCCTGGAGAGGAGCCCAACAAGCAATTCCTCCTGCAGAAAACACTTTTCCTGGTTGTTCCCGTGTGACAGGCCAGGACCCCCAGGGAGGGAGCTGGGCCTTACGGGACCTCCGAGCCAGGGGGTGTTGGGGGCAAGGCAGGGAGGGGGCTGCAGGCAGGTCCCCCCGGAGATGAGGGGCTCAGGGGCATCGCTGGGGGGGGGGTCTCTGCAGAGAGAGGGGTGTCGGGCATCTGCCAGTGGGGGGGGTGTCTCCATGGAGGGGGGTGCCCGGCCATGGAGAGCGGGGTCTCTAGGGAGGCAGGGGCCCTCACCACAGACACGGGGGGTCTCCAGGGAGGTGGGGGGGGACCCTGGCGCATCGCCCCCGGGCCGGCAGGTGGGGTGCAGGGCCGCCCCCCCCTCCCCGAGCCGAGGCCTCCCGGGCCCGCCCGCCGCGCTGGTACCTTCCTCTGGAGCTCCCAGACGTTGATGTAGCTCTTGCCGAGCTGGGCCCCCAGCAGGTGCTCGCCGCCCAGCAGCGCCAGTCCCCGCGGGCCGCTGTTGCCGCCGCGGTAGCCGGGCAGCGCGGAGCCCGAGTGCAGCTCCCAGACCGAGCAGTTGCAGAGCGGCCCGGCGGCGTCCGAGACCAGCGCCACCTCCATGGGCGCCGCCATCTTCGCGGTCCGCCAGGGCCAGAGAGAGCTAGGCGGCCGCCTAGAGCGCCGCCCGCCCCACGGCGGCCAATCAGGAGCGGCACCGCCCGCGCGCGCCAGGATGCTCCGCGGGGGCCGGGGCGGGGCCGGGGCACGGACACCCCGAACTCGCAGGGGGACCCCGGGGACCCCCATGGACACCCTGCACCCCCCAGGGGGACCCCATGCCACCCCATAGTCCTGTGTGGACGCCCATGGGCAACCCACACCCCGCGGGGACCCCATGGCACCTCATAGTCCTATGGGGACACCCCGCGGGGACCCCCTGGTACCCCATAGTCCTATGGGGACCCCCATGGACACCCCGCACCCCCAGGCGGACCCCATGGCACCTCATAGTCCTATGGGGACCCCCCGGACACCCCGCGGGGACCCCCTGGTACCCCATAGTCCTATGGGGACCCCCATGGACACCCCGCACCCCCAGGGGGACCCCATGGCACCCCATAGTCCTGTGGGGACCCCCATGGACACCCCGCACCCCCAGGGGGACCCCATGGCACCCCATAGTCCTGTGGGGATCCCCATGGACACCCCACACCCCGCAGGGACCCCAGACACCCCATGGGGACCCCATGGGCAGCACCCCACAGCCCTAGGGACACCCCATGGGCACTCCATGGTGACCCCATGGACACCCTCTGGCCCTATGGGCACCCCACGGCCCTATGGACACACCGTGAGGACCCCGTAGGGACCCCATGCACACCCCACAGCCCTAGGGACACCCAGTGGGGACCCCATGGACACCGCATAGTCCTATAGGGACCCCATGTACACCCTGTAGCCCTATGGACACCCAGTTGGGACCCCATGGCACCCCATAGCCCAATGGGCACCCCGTGGGACCTTATAGACCCACGGACACCCCATAGGTCTATAGGGACGCCATGGATACCTCAAAACCCTATGGACGCTCCATCCATGGACACCCCATGGCTCTCCAGGCACCCCATAGCCCCGTGGGCACCCCATGAGCACCCCATAGCCCTATAGGCACTGGAGAGGCACCCTATAGCTCTGTGGGCACCCCCTGGGCACCCCCAGGGACAGAAACACTGGACAACTTTTTTTTTTTTTTTTTTAATATTTCATCAACTTTACAGGGTTACAATTGTCTTAAATATTCTGAAGTTTAAATACAATCTGTATAATAATGTTATTATAAAATGTAAACTTTCAGTGTTTTTATTTTATTTTATCTTTTTTTTTTTTTTTTTAATAATCAAAAGTTTCAATACCTGAATGTTTGCAAAACTGAAATATTTCACCGGGGGCCTGGGTGCGCCCGAGGCCACCGCTCTCAGAGGTAGAATGTGGTTTTTATTCTTTTTCTTTTTTTTGTCTTTTGTGTTTTTTTTCTTTTTCATTTTTTACCTGAGTTAAGATATGCACGCTGGGTAAATGCGTCTGCAGCTATGTCCGTTCCTTTTTTCTTTCCAAACCCCAGAGAAACTGATTTAGGCTTTTTTTTTTTTTTTTTTTTTTTTTTAAATCGATATGCAAAAAGAAAAATAAAGTGGAAGGTAATATGCTCTCAAAAAAAAAAAAAAGAGAGGGAGGGAAGAGGAAAGGGGGAGGAAATAAAAATAATTAAAAAAAAAACCAAACAACCCAAAACAGTGACTGTACAAATGCAAAAACTCACTAAGAAAATCTAATGCCCACCCTGGGCATGAGAAACCCCCCCTGGGATTTCTCCTTGCGGGGAGCAGGGCTGGATTCTAACAGCAGCAGGAGCCGGACAGAGCCCCCCCCGGACCCCCCCGACTGATGGGGTCCACGGAGCCACCAAGGGGCATTTCCAGCTCTGGAGAGGGGGAAAAAAGGCTAAAAAAAAAAAAAAGAAAAGCTGGAAAAACCCCAAATCCCCTGAGATCGCCGCTTCCCCAAGCAAAAAAAAAAAAGGGAGGGGGGTGTCCCACCAGCACAGGACCCCCCCAGGCACCTGGGGAAGGGGGGAAAAACCCTGTGCTCGAGGTCGAAACCTGAGGAATCGAGATACCGAGTTGTGTGTCGGGGGGTGGGTTTCGGTATCGGGTCGCGATTGTGTCTCACGCAGATGTGGGCGAACGTTTTGGAGGGGGCGGGGGGGGGGGCAAAAAAAGTCTAATAAATTGCAAAACAACCACCCCAAACCTGGCTGGCTGGAGAGATATCAATGTTTAAAATAAATCCTTGGGGCTGAGGAATGCTCCAGAGCATCCCACAGCCCCCCCCCCCCCCCGAGCATCCCCATCCTGGATATAAGCTCCCGCACCCTGTTACTAAACTGGATATTTTATACTGGCTCCCCCCTCTAGAACCAACACCCACCCCCCCCCCAAACGTTGCCTGGATCCTGCTCACACCAAACTGCTTATTTTTGGAGGTAAACATGACCAAATTGGCTCTGCACAGTAGTATTATTGGAGGGAGGGGGGAGAATAAAAATAAAGATTTGCCGGTGCAGCTCAGCTCCTGGCCCCACATCACACACACCGCCCCCCCAAACCCCATGGGGATGGTGGGTGGGATGCAGGGGGGAGCATCCTGCCTTGGTCGAGCACATCGGCCCAGCGGTAAAACCTGGATTGCCGCTGCAGTTTAATGCCGGACCCCCTCCCTGGTGTGGGGTGGGGGTTTGGGGTTCATTTTGGGGAGGGTTTGGGGGGGTGGGCAATGGCTTTCGGCTCAATTTTCTCTGCTGAGAAAATAAAGCAACAGCCTGAAAGCAGCGGGTTCCCCAAGGATGTGCCGGCCAGGCAGGGGGGGCAGCAGGACGGGCAGTGGGACAGGCAGCGGGCACCCCCCCCACGGCACCCCCAAAGGTGGGCACAGACCCCCCCTGGCCCCGTACAAACCCCCAGGTGCTCAGGGTGCCCGCGGGGCTCCCAGGGGAGGGGGCAGAGCTGGACCTGGCCACCGACAACAAAAGGAGAAAGGAGGTTACGCGGCTTCCAAGCTCCCATTTCCCTGATGAACACTAATATATATCATTTGCATGTTAAAGTTCGATTCTTTTCTCTTTTCTTTTTAGAGAATAAAATAGAAGCTATTTACAACAAAACAATCAAACAACAACCTCTTAAAATCCCATATAGTGAGTGTAGTTCTCAAAATAAAGGGGGAGGGAAAAGGATCTAAATGAATAAAATATCTCCCGATTTCTAATTACTTTTTCTTATCTTTTTTTCCTTTAGAGAGTGCCGGGGGGTTTCACTAAAGCTCGCGTCGGCAGGCGTCCATGCGTCTGTCTGGAGGTAACACGAGTTAAAAAATAATAATAATAATAATAATAAATGTACAGTGCAAAGTGTGATGTGAGTGAGGTAAACGGTCCCGGACCGGCGCGGCGCAGCAGGACAGCCGGCGGCTCTGGCAAAACCCCCGGGCTAAAGCTTTTCTCCTCGCAAAGGAAAACCCAACAACACGAGAACAAGGGCAGAGCCCGGTGAGACCCCGGCCAGACCCCGGCCCCCTGCGCCCCGGCCAGGGCTGGAGGGGCGAGCTCTGCCCCCCGCCGCGGCTGCCGGAGCTGGTGAGGGGGGGCCGGGGGGCCGGGGGTGTTAAGGCGAAGCGTTGTTGGAGGTAGAGCTGGGGGGCACGGCCAGGCTGGCCGCGGCCGTGGGGGGGACACTGCCGCCACCGCTCCCCCCACTGCCACCGCTGCTCCGGCTGCCGCCCCCGCCGCCGTTGCCTTTGCTGTAGGCAGAGGAGGGGAGCGAGGAGGAGGAGGAGGAGGAGGAAGAGGAAGGGCCGGGCGTCTGGGCGAACAGCACACCTGGGGAGAGAGTAGGGGTGAGGGGGCTGAGCTGGGGGGGGTGGCACCACGGCTGAAAATGGGGCGGATGTCAGCAGGGGCTGCTGGGGACGGCAGAGGTGGAGCAGCCCCCGGCCCGTGCCGACAGCGGGGGGGGGGGGACCCCCTCACCTGTGTAGACGATACCGTTGATCTCAACCGACATGCTGATGCTGTTGGTGCCGTTGCTGCTCAGCCCGGCGGTGGAGTCCTGGCGGTTCTCTGCCGGGGAAGAGCCGCGTTACGGAGGGCGCCGGCAGCCGGGGCGGCGGGGGCTGCAGCGGGGGGGGGGGGGCCGGGGCCGGCACTGACCTGGCGAGCGGGTGCCCTGGCTGTTGATGCGGATGCTCATGGGCAGCTGGGCCGTCATGGCCAGGAGGTTCTGCTGCAGCGCCCGCTGCATCAGCCGCTGCTGCTCGTCTGTCACCAGCGCCATCTTCTTCTCCGGGGGCTCCCCCGACTCCAGCTTCTCCCGCAGCTGCTCCAGCGCCGCGGCCTGGGCCGCCGCCGCCACCTGCACCGCGGCCGCCTGGGCTGCCACCACGGGGTGACCGGCCAGCGAGACGGGGAGCCGGCTGGGCATGGAGATGGGGATGGGGGAGTCCTCCTCTGCGTGGGGAGAGCGGGCGACTCAGGGGCGGATGGGTGCCGCCACCCCGGGGTGTCCCCCGGCCCCAGCACAGCGGCTCGGGGCCCCTCCATGCCTCGTGGCTGCGCCGGCGGCTGCCCGGCACCCCCTGCCCCTCCAAGGGCCAGAGCCGGGCGACCGGAGGCAGGGTCCCCGAGATGAACCCTGAGTGCCCAGAGCCCGGGGAGGGGACGGGAGCGTGATCCCCCCCTCCCCTGCCCACGGTGCCCAGCTCTGCGCCTTCCAGGGCTGTGTCCCCGGTGCCGGGAGGGGGGGCTCAGCCCGCGACCTGGACCCCGCGGTGGCCGTTACCTTTCTTGATCTTCTGGACGGGAGCGATGGACCCGCCGTTGGTGGCGGAGGCCAGCCCCAGGGCCGGCACCGGCAGCTTGGGCGAGGAGAGGAGGCCGTGGGTGCCGCCGGGCGAGTAGGTGAAGAGGGAGCTGCCGAAGCCCTGCCGGCGGCCCTCCCGCCGGTTGCTGTCGATGGCCGCCTGCAGCTCGTTGGGGTTGCTCAGCCCTCGCTTCTCACATTCGTAGGGGTACAGGTACTTCATGTACCTGCCGGCAGAAAGGGAGGGGGGCGGTGAGAGGGATGTGGCGGCTGGGCACCCCCGTCCCTCCCGCCCTCCCCATTGTCCCTATTGTCCCGGCACCCCACCCTGGGCAGCGCTGACCCCAGTAGAGGCTTTGCCCGCCCCCCAACCCCGGCGTGGCACCCAGCCCCCCTGCTCACTGGGTGCGCAGGGTGAAGGCAGCGCTGGTGATGGAGGTGGGCAGGTTCAGTCCCTTGGTGATCTCCCGCCACAGCTTCTTGTTGATGACCTCCACCAGGCCGCCCTTCTCCGTCACCAGCGTGTACAGCATGTACAGGTCCAGCACCTGCTTGGCCATGATGGGGATCCGGTTCACGGGGGTCCCTGGGGAGCGGGGGGGGGGAGACACCAGGTCTGGCTGCTGCTTTCTCACCCCTAGGCAAAGAGGGGGGGGGAAGCCGGCGAGACCCCCACGAGGCAGCGTGGGGGGACCAGGGAGCTCCTGCTCCTCTCTTCCCATCCACCATCCCCTTCCTTCCCTCCTGGGGACCCCCCTGCCCGCTGACACCCCGCTGAGCATCAGCCCCACCAACAAAGGAAACAGAAAGTCGCAGTTTTCAGCCACAGCCCCCAAAACGGGGCCGAGCGTGGTTTCTCAGGCTGAGGTTGGCGGCACCCGGCAACACGAGTTATTTATAACGGCGGCGGCGCTTCCCGGCTGCGAGGGTCCCGCCGAGCCAGGGGCCGCATGTGTGCGGGGGGGATCCATCCCTCCAGTGACGGGGAAGGGGCTGCAGCGTCTCCTCGCCCTCGGGGGTCTCTGCCCTCCCGGTGCTGACGGGTGAGGGGGCTCAGGAGGACTCCAGCGGGACACAGCCAGCGCGGGGCCAGCGGCTCCCCGGCCCCCCCCCCGCCCCGTGCACACACACGTGCTTCCCCCAGCGCCTGCCTGACAAAAGGCTGAAGGCGCTGATGCGTCAGCATTTCCACCGCTGTTTTCCACGCAGGAACCAGACCCTCGTCCAGGCGAATGCTTTGCTTTCAGCCCTTTCACACCCCGCTCAAGCCCCCCCTGCACCCACACCCTACCAACCCGGGCAGATCCAGAAGGCAGCGAGGGGCTTCGCCCTCTGCAATAACCCAGGGAAAGGACAGCGGGGGGAGGCAAAGCCAGGGGCAACACGCCCAGGAGGGGCCAGACCCAGCGGGGAAGGGGCTGCAGCACCCGGGTGGGCTGGGCGAGGGGGGGCCGCAGGCGCCGGATCCGGCCCAGCAGGTTTGACCCCGCTTAGCAAAGAGGTTAAAAATTAACCAGTGTCCCAGCCAGAGCTGTGACCTCGGGGTTGTAATGAGGGGCGAGGAAATGAGCCCCCGGCCCCGGGAGGGTGTGGGGGGAGTGGGGCGGGTGTGTGGGGGGGTGGGGGCTCACCTCGCTTCTGCATGAAGCTGAAGAGGTCGTCCAGGAACTCCTTCCTCCTGGGGTCGCCGTCCAGCTCGTAGAGCTGCGCAACGAGAGGAGAAAAATGTTCAGAAAACCCCCCTACTTGTACCCCCCACCACCCTGAGAGCCCTGGCCCTCCCGAAGCAGCACCCTGGGGGCTTGAGCCACTCAGCCCGCAGGATGCTGAACGGCTCAGGGGGGTTCCTGCACTGGGCTGTGGGGTCCCCAGGATTCCTGCGGCTTGGGGCCATCCCCTGCCTGCCCCACTCGGAGCTTGGCCCCGACACGCTGGTGCCGGAATCGCAGCGCTGCCCCACACCTCGCCCGCGAGCCAGAGCAGCTCCCACGCTGCAAACGCCGCGCTCGGCCCCCGGCTCCTCCCGGGAGCACCCATCCCAGTTATTTTTAGCATCTGCTGTGTGCTCGGCACAGAACGGAGCAACGCTTCGGCGTGATCCATCCTCTGAACCTGCAGTGCCAGAGGGAGCCAGTGCCGGGAGCTTGTGTGCCACGGTGTGAGCTTCTGTACCACAGCACACACCCGTGTGCCACGGTGTGAGCTCATGTACCATAGTGCATGCTTGTGTGCCACAGTGCCCGCTCATGTGGCACAGTGAGAACTCGTGTGCCACTGTGGGAGCTTGTGTGCCATGGTGAGAAATCGTGTGCCATGGTGAGAACTCGTGTGCCATGGTGGGAGCTCGTGCCTGCCGTGGTGCACTCAAAGGGGGTCCCTGGGGGTACAGTCCTGGCAAATGAAGGCCATGAGGAGGTGAGGAGGGCGGCGAGCTGGACCTGCCTGGCAGAGCCTGTTCCCCTCTGGAAAGAAGCAAATCCGCCTGGCAAGGCCGGCGCTGAGCGTGGGCTGCCCCGGCGAGGCTCCGTGCCCGTCCGACGGCAGCCGTGGGGCTGGCAGCCTCTCCTCCCCAAGCATCTTCCCCCCCGCTCACCCGAGGCACGGCTGCCGGTGCAACCCGCAGCCGGGGCAGGGAGAGCCGGGCAGGACTGGGGCACGGCTGCGCCTCCAGCACCCGGTTCTGCTGGGGCAGCTTTTGTCAGTCCCTCACCCCGCGCCGGCAGCCCGGCACATTCCTGCCTGATTTATGGCGGCAGGATCTGCCGGCCTGAGCGCCCCGGCACGCAGGCACGCTCTGCCTCGCCCCGGTGCTGGCAGCCGCAGCCCCGCAGGGCTCCTGCCTGGAGGTGCTGGCTGGTGGATAATACCCCCCACGCCCCGGGGGGGGCTGTCAGAGCAGGGGCTGTGGGGGCAAGCACTGCCCAGACACCATGGGGATGGACGCCGCAGGCCTTGCCCCAGCCCCTCGGTGCTGAGCGGCTCCCGCTTTTCTCAGTGACAACTTTGAACAACTGCCAGCGGAGCCGCAGCCGCGGCGGCCGGGACGGGGCTATAAATATTCCCCCGTAACCCACCAGGCACGCACCGCGGGGCCGCCAGCCGCACAGCAGCGGATCAGCACCGTAACCGGGTCACCGGCGCGGCACCCCGGCTGGGAGCAAGGGGGTGCGAGCCCCCCTCCTCCCGCCACCCCCCAGGAAGGACCCAGATCCCGCCAGGCTGAACTCGCCCGCCGGTGCTGATCAAAGGGATCAATGGGGCTGCGTGATAAGAGGGGCAGGGCGCCGCAGGAAAGCCATAAACCCCCAGTTCCCCTGGAAACCGCCCGGCCCCCAGCAAACCCCCAGGGAAGGGCCGGGAGCCGCCATCACCACCGGCCGAGACCCCTCGAAGCCCCTTGAAGCCCCTCTACCCCCCAGCACCCTGGCAGGGGGAGGCTGGAGGGACCCCCAGGCAGGGCAGGGGTGGGACGCGACACCGCTGCGGTTTCACGGGCTGAGCCACGCCGGCTGCTCCCGCCCCGGCAAGGGATGTTGTGCCGGTGCCAATCCGGCTTCCCCCATTTCCTCGAGCGGCTCCAAAAGCATGATCCTGCGGGGTGTTGAGCCCTGCCACCTGCAGCTCCACCACCCCCCATGGTTCACTCCGAGCCCCGTTAACCCCACTAACAGGGTCCCAGGGCTCCCAAATTGTGGCAGGCCGTGGGCACGCCTGGCCAGCACCGAACGCGGAGCTGGCCTGGCACAGCACAAGGGGAGCACGAGCAGCCCGTTAACCTGTGGAGCTCCAAATGTCGATCAGCCCCTCGGGAAAACATTGGTTTGTTCAGTTTTTATCCAGCCAGCTCCTAAATAAAGCTGCTCTGCCCCGGGTGCAGGCAGGAGCTGCCGCTGTGACTGGGATGCGCTGGTTCATTTACCGCCGCGACCCCCCCCCCCCCCGGGGCTCAGTCCCGAGGGGAATGGACGCGTTTAAGAGGATGAAAGAAAATTAACCGTCAGCTGAGGAAAGCGTGCGCCGGCCGGGCTGTGGGGATTAGCGGCAGTGGGCAGGCGAGCGGCTGCACCACGGGCCGTCCTTCCATGCGCCCCAAACTGCCGCCAGCCCTGGTGGTCCCGACTCCGCCGGCCGCGGCCGCTCTCGCCCCCTGGCCGGGGGGGGGTCATCGGGGCCAGGCGGGCAGAGGGAGCCGCGTTCCCGCCCGGCACCCTGGAGGCCCCGCCGGCACACCCAGCCGCGGCTGACGGGCAAAGGACATTTCGCAAGCTGCCGCTTGCGGCTACCGGCGAGATTTCGACAGCTCCGCGGCGCTCGGCTGCTGCTCACCGGCCCCCGCCGTGGGGAGAGGGGTTCAGCCAGGCCAGGGGCCCCCTGCTCCGGGCGCTTCCCCGGCCGTGCCCACGGAGCCCCCCCGGACCCTCATCTGGCTCTGCCACCACCAGCAGATCTGCCCAGCGCGGTGTGCGACCGAGCGACATCCGCAGAGCTGCCCCGTCCCCCCTCGCCTCCTGGGCACGGGCAGAGATGGGGAAGGGGGCAGAGATGAGCGACTTCCAGCAGCCTCTCGCAGGATTTCCTTGCATTGACGGCTTCCCGGGTGTGCTGGGACGCTTTGCTGGCAGGGACGCGGCGGAGCAGCCGCGCACCCCGCCAACACCAGGAGGCTGTGCAAGCATCGTAGGAAAGCTTAGATATTGGGTCTCAAAATAAAAATTGAGGAACAGAAACACGTTCCCATTTCAGCAGCGTGCGAAACTGAGCACACAGCTGGGCTCGGCACCGACCGGCTGCTGCCGGCACCACCGGACCGAAATCAGCAGGTGCCAGTGCCGGGCTGGTGCCGGTGCCAGTGCTCTCCCCACCACGCTCAAGCACGGTTTCTGCCCGGCACAAAGCGCGGCTCCTCGCTGGGGGAGCACAGGGAGAGGCGGCGAGGCTCGGTGCAAAGGTAACGCCGGCCACCAGGCAGCAAGCCACGGGGAGAGGCTACCCTGCCGCCGCTGAGTCAATAGATTTACATTTCATAATTAGGGAGGCTGCAGGGAGGTGGAAAGGACTTAATCTGTAACGCAGCTGCCCCCAGAATATCCTCTTATCACGGGGAGGCTGCCCTGCCGACGGGTCCCCGTGGTGCGAACGCGGTGCCAGGGGATGCTGCGGTGCAGCCGACCCCAGCCTGGCCGGGGGGGGGTGGGAGATGCCCCCCACCCCGCTGAGGGCCGGGCGTCCCGACCCGACCCGACCCGCCGCCGGTGCAGCCCCTCTGAGCGCCGTCCCTCTGTCCTTGCAGCTGGGTGAGGACGAGGTGCCAGATGGCCGGTGCCAGCAGATATATAATTAAGTGGAGGAGGAATTAGGCAGGCGGCGGGGCAGGCGGCACTGACCTCGCGGCCCAGCGCCCCGGCAGGATGCTGGCCCGCTGTTTGGTGTGGATGACCAGATCAACGTTTCAAACCAGATTACGGGAAAATCCCGACCCGTTGGCTTTCAAAGGGCTGGCGGGGAGGTGGCCCCTCGGCAATGCCAGGAATGCAGGAGGGAGCCCTCAGCACGGGAGCGGTGCGTGCCAGGGGTCCGCGACCAAGATAACCCCCCCCCTCCCGGCAGCCCACCGCCCACCGGGCTGCGGGCAAGGAGGGCAATTAAAGCGGGGAGGGGAAGCGCCATTTAATGGGGCCCCAGGAGCGCAGCCGCTTATGTTGGGGTCAGGCGAGTCTCCCCGCCGGCAGGAGCCCCCCTGCCCACCCCGCCAGGCATCACAGGGACCCCCCAACCAGTGAGCTGGGGTGTGCGGGGCTGGGGCCGCAGAGGAGCCTGTGTCCCAGCATTCCGTGCCTGAGTTAAAAACAACACACGCCACCCCCCCCACCCCCCCCCCCCAGCTCGGTTCCGGGTTTTCAAGCCTCGGGGATTAATTTTCAAGTTTCTTTTCCATCACCAGGAAGTCTCGACACTCTCGGTTTTCCTCCCTTCTCTTCGAAACCAGTCTGGGACGTGCACACCGTGAGCTAGGGGGGAGGACAGAGCCCCAAGGGCCACCCTCACAGGGATGGGGAGGCTGCTGGCAGCCCCCTCAGTAGGGCCAACCACCTTCCAGGGGCTAAAAAAGCCCGAGTTTCTGTATTTAGGGAAAAAAAACACAACAAAGGCGGCCGCAGGGGAGGGCCCACCCTGGTGAGGCGCCTGCAGCAGGTAGCAGGGCAAATGTTCTCCCTGATTGATTCCAGCCCGGGCAGCATGATGGGGGGGGGCTCCTTCTCTCTTTCTTTTCTTCCTTCCTTCCTCCGAGCGGCCCCCCGGGACGTGTCCCTTTGTCCCGCTGACAGCCGAGGGGCGATGCCGGGAGGGGAGGGGAGACCGCGCACGCTAACGAGTTATTTAACGAGGCAGGCGGTGTTTCCCATCCAGCTCCCTGCCGGCGCACGCAGCCCCCTGGCCCCCCGGCCCCATGCCGATCGCGCACCAGCACCCGCAGCCGGGGCCAGAGGGGGCACTTATTCAGAAAAAGAAAGTAATCTGTAAAAACCAGAGTGAAGGGCTGGTGACGGGCCCCGAAATGAAGCGTTTCGGGTGATGCTGGTGAGGTGGTTTCCTGTAAGATGGTGGCTGAGTCAGGGCTGGGGGTGCCCGTGGCCGCGCAGCCCCTTCTCCGGGCACAGCAGTCACGGGAAGTGGGGGGCAGCGCTGGCACGGCCCCCCTGGGC